CTTTTATATAAGGTTTAATAAAGCTATAGGTTAATAATTTATCCATTACTTCTTTTTTTAATAATAGGTATTAAATTGGAGTTTAATATTAAGGGGGGCTATTTAAAGGGTTATTAATAATAGTTTTAAGAACTATATTATATCCTAATTATAATAAGGGTAACTTATTAACTTTTACTTTTAAAAAGAATCCTTTTAAATAAGCTAGCTCTTTAAGGATTAAATAATAAATTAACTTAATATATTTAGGATTTTCGTTTTATAGGAAGGGAATATGCTTATTATTAAAGGTTTTTTAAGTTTTTTTTAATATTATTATAACTACCTTTAAGGCTATTTTAATAAATTTAATAGATATTAGCTTATTTAGGAATACCCTTTTTTTTTATTATTTCTATTTAAGGTTTAATTTAATTTTTTTAATAAATTATTAAATAATCTTTTCGTTTTAAAATTGCTTTATCTTTAGGCTTTCCGGTTAGATATTTTTTTAAAGGTATATAGCTAATTGCTTTAAAATAATATATTTCTTTATTAAAGCAGCATCTTTCCGGTTAATGTTTTATTGGATAATAGGGTTAATTTATTAATCGTTAAAAGACTTTTATATAATTTTAATTATAGGTAAAAATAGGGTAAGGGGAAATAAATCTTTTAATTAATATAATATTTAATAAATATAATTTAAAATAACTTTATTTTTAGCTAGCTATTTTAAACCAATTATAATATTATATTTAATATTAATAACCTAAAAGGTTTAATTTTTAAACCTTTATTTATTTACTTTTAAAGTAATAATAAAGTATTAGTTAATTATATTAATAGGTTATCCTTAATAGTTATTTAATTATTATAATTATTTTAAGGTAATTAACTTAACCTTTAATTAATAGTTAACGTAATAAGTTAATTTATAATTAATTATTAAATATACTTAAGCTTTAATATTATATAATATAATAGCTTTTATTTTAAAATTATTTATTTATATTTAAATAAAGTATATAAATTAAATAATATTTTAACTACTTTTTATATAGGTTAAGGATAGTTTATAAATTATTAAGGAATCTTTTAACAGTTTAATTAGTTTTTTAATTTAAATTTAATAAAAAAGGAATTAATAAGCTTTTCTTTACTTTTTTCGTTTTATATTTAAGCTATATTCTTACTCTTTTTAAAATAATCCATAACGTAATATTCTATTTTATTATAGCTAAAATAGGTATTATTTTTCTAATAGGTCTTTTTCTCTTTTTTTAAAAGCTTTATCCTTTTAAGCTTTATTATAATATTCCCTTTATTTATATTTTTCTTATTATTAAAGTTATAGTTAATAAAACTAATAACTTATTTTTTCTTTTAATAATTATAATAATAATTATAGTTATATATTACCTTTATTACCTTATTATAAAAGTATTTATATAATATTAATAGATTAATACTAACTTTAAATACTTTAATTTTAAAGTTAAAGCTAATATATTTTTATAAAAACTAAAACCATTTAGATATAAACAACTTTAACTTTAATATTAAGTTATTAAATTAAAAAATAAATTAATAAATATTAAAACCTAACTTAAAGTAAAACTTATTTAAAGCATTTTATACTTAAACAGCTTAATTTAAATTATAGTAAACCATTTTTAACATTTATACTATTTTAGCTAAATTGCTATATAGTTAAATAATAAAATAAAAGTAAATCTTAACCGCTTTTTTAACATTTTTCTTTAAAAGGAATATAATATAATATATTTAACTTTTTTTAATATAATATATTATTACATTTTCTTTAAATTTATTAGTTAACTTTTTTAATTAATTATTAAATAAATCTTTATTTTTAAAAAAAGTATTTAAAATAACTTTATAAATTTTAACCTTCTTTATATATTTTAAATTTAGGTTAATAAAGTTACCTATAGGGCTAATTGTTTTAAAAACAGCTTATATAGCTATATTAATTAATTTAAAGTTAATTCTACTAAAGGCACTTTTAACTATATTTTTTTATAGCGTTAAAGTTAAGCTACCTTTTTTCATTCAAACTTAAAAAGCAATAATCTATTTTTATAATTATTAAATTAAGGTAGCTTAATTAATAACGTTTATTTTATTTATTAGTTAAAGTAGTTTTATTAATCCTTTGTTTAAATTAAAGTTTAATAGTAAAAGTGTTATATCTTTTAATTTAAGGTTTAAAAAATTTTAAAAACTATTTTTAAACTTAATATTAATTTCTTCTTCCTTAATAAAAGGGATAGGGTTTTAAGTTAATTATTTATTAATTATAGGAACATTAAATATAATATATAATAATAATTATTAAAATCATTTTAAGTTATTTATTTTAATTAAGGTTTTTTTAATTTTAAGAAGTATAGGGTTTAATTTTATTAATTAGGTTTATTATAAGGTTATATTTATTTATTATTAAATATAAAATATAATAATAGGAAGGGGGAAAGGTTTAATTTATAAATTATAAATAATAACAATTAAATATAGGTAATATACTTATATAACATTTATTAATAAAAAGGAAAAGCTTAAAATAATATTACAATTAAAGATTTAGGGTATAGCTATATTAATACTATAAATAAAAATTTTAAACTAAAAAAAAAAGGAAAGAAAGATAAAATTAAAACATAAGCGTATATAAAAATATATATATACTAATAGCTATTATAAGTTATATAACCTTATTAATATATATTTTATATATCTCTACGGTATCCTTTTATAATGCGTACAATATTCTAATATAATATATATCTAACACGTTCATTATAATAGCTATAAGGCTACTAATATAAATTTTAATATAATTAAAGGTATTATTCCTATAAACTTAAATATTATAAACCTAAATATAATTAAATTAAACTAAATTAAAAAGATATTATTTAATTATAAAACAACCTTTATTTTATTAATTTAAACATTTATAAAATAAATAGCTATTAATTTTATTAAGTAAAAACGTTTAAAACATTAAAATTATAATAAATATAAATATTATAATAAATTAAACTATATAGTAACTAATTATAAATTATTATCTTAAAGGGAATACGTTAAGTTTTATAAATTAAAATAATAATTATTGCCTTTAAAGTTATTTAAGGTTATTTTTATACCTATTTTTAAGTATTTATAACCTTTGCAGGAATAATTATAGCTCCTAGCCTTAAACTAGCTATATAGATATTTTATAGCTTAGTTAATAGCTTTATTAAACTTCCGAAAGCTTATTCAATCTATTATAGCATATATAGCTTAATTGACGAAGGTTATAACCTGGCAAGTTATCCTTTACTTCATCACTATATAATTAATAATATATTTCCAGTATTTAATAACGATACTGTATATTGCGCCCATTATAACAATAACCCTTAAATTTTAAAACCTTTTAACCTTTTATTATAATTAATAAAGGTTAATAGCCTTTTATATATAATAATTAACCTTTTTAAAACCTTCCTATTACTTTAATTTATAGTTAAATAGGTTAAAAATAATAATTTAAATATAGGAAAGATTTATTACTTCTTTAATTATTTAATTTATATATATTTATATTATAAAAATAATATAAATATATATTAAAAATAAGGTAACTTTTAATTAAAGTATACTATTACGTTATATATTATTAAAAACTGCTTTTTTAAGTTATATTATTATTTTACCTTTTAAAATTTTAATAATTTAAATGTAAACTTTTTAAGGGCTTTTTTAAAGGTTTTTAAAGGTTTTAAAATAATTAAAAAAGCTAGTAAATAGTTAATTAGTTTACCTTTAACTTTAACTTTTAATAAAGGAATAATAGCCTTTATAAGCTATTTAATTATTATTACTTTAATTAAAGATAAATTAAACCCTTTAAGCTTTAAAATTTAAGCTATTAATATATAAAGCTATATTATTAATTAATTATAGTATATAAACTATTAAAGGCTTATTAAATTATTAGTTTTAAAGGTAAAGCTTTTAAAAAACGCTTTAAAAGTTAAAAAACAGCTAAAATAACTTAATTTAATTTAATATATTATTATTAAACTATTATAATAGCTTTTATATTAGCTATATTACCTTTTTTATAATAATCTTTTTATTTTAATATAGTTATTAAAATATTTTAAAGATTATATAAGTTATAAAATAATGGTTACTATTAAAAATTATATTAATCTTTTTAAAAGCTTTATTAAAGTTAAAAAAAGAAATAAAAATAAAGACCTATTACCTTAAAATAGCTTTTAATATAAAGCTATAAAAAACGGTAAAATATAGCAATTTCTATATAAAAGTAACATTATTTACTTATTTATATTAATAATTTATTTAAGCAATAATAATAATAATATCTTTACTTTTAAAAAATAACTTAATATTAAGTTTAAAAGGGCTTATTTTAATAAAAATAATATTAAACTAATTACTTTACTTATAATTATTTATAATTATAATAAATTTAAAGCTAGAATTAATATAATTAATTATTTATATATATATAATATTTAAAATTATAAGATTTATAAAGGTTATAAAAAATATTTTTTTTTTAATTTATCTTTTAATTAATTTTTATTAATACCTTTTTATTATAAAAGTAGATTTAAAAGCTTATTTAAAAGTTATATACTATTTAATACCTTTAAATATAAGCTATTATAAATATTATTTTTAAAAAATATAGCTTTAGTTTAAAAGTAAATAAATAAAGCTTTTTAAATATAAATAGCTTTAAAAACGAACCTTTAAGCTATAAATTAATTAAGCGGAAGTTTAAAGGTAATTGTAAAGCTTATAAAAGCTTTTTAATTAATAGTTAAAAACGAGTTATTTTAAGTAAAATAAACAGAAATATTAATATTAAAAAAAGGAATTAATTAATCTATAACTATAACGAATATAATGTAGCACTTTATAACAATAATCGTTATAATTATATTTAGTATAGGCAAAATTAGTAAAGAATAGAAGTAACTACTACTTTAGCTATTTTTATTGGCTGCAGGGGTTAAAATAGTGCCTTGGCAAGGTATGGAGTTGAGCTGGAAGCTAAAGGGATAGTATTGTATGAGACACTCTATGAAAGGCAAATTCATTCATGGTCTTTTACCGGCCACCAAAACTGTCTCACTGCTCCTACTCATGTTCAGTACTATCCCACTAGATGCAATGCGGGGTCAATCCTACGCTGTTTAAGGCTGGCGGCTAATGACTGACATTCGTCAAGATCGCGCTGATGTATGGTTATTCAACAGTAGCAAGTAGATGCGAAGTGGGGACGAATCCGTGAACATGTCCCGAAGATATCTGCAAATTAGGTAACCTACCACGAAGTCTCCCCAAGTTCCAAGCCCCCCTCTTTCTCGGGGTTTGGTTGATGTGCGCGTAGGCTTTTCCCCCGAAGTATGATTCGCCGCCACATGCTATTCCATGACGCATTTTGTTGGTGTAAAATAGCACCTTGCAAGCCCGACTTTAGGCCGAGGAGGAAACGAAACGTGAAGCCGAAGTACCGTTGCTCTTCCTTGGTTTAAGACGATCCTGGCACGCATAGCTTGTAACGATCCTAAGCCCAATGGCATCTACGCCCCCCGTCGCCTTGATCACGGCGGGAAGTGCTGGACTCGGCGCCGCAGCAGCCCGACTCTTCGCCCAGAATGGGTATCGTGTGGTCGTCAACTACAGCAACAACATAGAGCGGGCTAACAACCTGCTCAGCGAGCTGCCGGGTCTATCGTCACTGCAACAAGAGGATGCGGCGAAGAACTTCGCACTCATCAGGGCCGACCTGGGAGACCGCGAGGATATCAATCGGCTTATCCGGGAAACGGGTGAGCAGTTCGGTCGCATCGATGTCTTGTTTTCGAACGGCGGCTGGACGCGATACAGGGGTTTGGCGAGCATTGATGACAACTGCCATGAGGATGAGTGGGATCATGCTTTCAACATGAACGTCAAGTCCCATCTATGGCTCATGCAAGCTGCGAAGAAGTACCTTGACGAGACCCAGGGCGCTTTCATCACAACGGCTTCGTTAGCTGGCGTTTCTCACAGTGGCAGCTCATTGGTATGTATTCCGATGCACGAAAGCAATGTCCTAGCCTATTTGCGCACTACGCACAACGTAACTGGGACATAGCTGAATACTGACGATGGATCACGTAATCTAGGCATATTCGGTTACGAAGGCAGCGCAGCTACATCTTGCCAAAGCCTTGGCTGTGATGGCCGCGCCAAATATCCGAGTAAATAGCGGTTCGTAACCATATATAACGCATGCTATTTTGTTTCTATTTTGTATAGATATTATTCTTGTTCTGGTCAGTTGCCGGAGTGGGGGGTTGCTGTGCTGGCTGTATTCTTATACTCCAGGACAAGGCTTTCTGTGCTTTCGGACCACCGCTCCAAGCTCACGTCCACAAAGACAATTGCTAATTCACGAATGTTCGCAGTATCCCCGGGGCTTTTGATTACCAAATGGGCGGAGCTCTACTCAGATGAGCAGAAGGAAGCACATCGGCAAGGAACGAAGCTTAAGCGCATCGTGACCGTCGAAGATGTTGCAGAACAAGTCCTTACTTTTGCTCGAAGTAAAAGCACCACGGGTGTCAATGTTGTTATGGACGCGGGTTTCAGCTTATAGAGAAGGCTTGTGATTACAAATGTGATTAGGATATCCAGTGATGGCATTCTGTCTATCCTGATTCCTGCCTCCTCGCCGGTCTCCCTATACCTCAAGCTATTATAAGAAATACCGTAGGACCGGTGAAAGCATCGTGATCATTGAATGCGCATTTCCACTGCAACCATCTACCAACTTAGACACCACCTAAGTAGGCGCCTGGGGAATAGTTACTTGAGTGTGTATCAGCTTACCTACTGCTTACATACATACTTACATAGTGTATGTATGAACCGGTCGGTCGTAGTTGGCTCAGATTAGAGCACACCGCCCAGCCGGCACCTTGCTGCGGACTACTATTTCTTCACTGCTGTAACTCAAGTACCTACCGGATATTATTGGCATTGTGCTGGATAAAGAAATTACTAGGTACCTACCTAGCTATGTATCTGAATCTAGACCCTGCTGCAGTCCTGCCGAGGTGTTGCAACCTCATAATGAATCGCCTCCATATAACGTCCTAGGTTAAAGTACTTACATGGCAGAGAGGACGCGACTGAATGGAGGTAGATTTCTTTACTGCCAGTATTGCGTAGTGGCACTCGAGCTTACAAGGGCGGGATTAGAGATAAGAGGTAAGGATAATTAAAGTGTAATGGTTCAGGAGTATTAACTAATCCACCTGTTCTAAACGTTGGCCGGTTCCACTTCTCAATCGAATCTCATTTCAATACCGTCAGTGACTAAGAAAGGAACAAAGGGGCGCTTTGAATGTAATTGTGTCCTATATCCTTACTAAACAATCTGCTTTGTGCGTGTCTTAGTAGTTGGTTCTCGTCATAAGATATTGTTGCATCCACTATTTCTTTCACCTTTGAAGCTTAATAAGGATAAATAGTAAAAGAGCATGCTAACTAATCATTACTTATATGTGAAGGCCAATGGCTTTAGATATTTTGAAGAGAGAAATGCCATCAAGTTTCCTCAACAGCGCACACAAATTACATAAGGGAGTTCTTTATTCACACCTATTCCATGGATTCACACTCACTAGAAACTAGTCCTTTGACGCGAGGAGGCAAAATGCCGCAGTTGCCCTTGGAATCACGGGAGGAACCAGTCCAACGGCGCCATAATCGACAGCAAGAGAAAGTCCTCAATATCGAAGAGCTACCACCTCTCTTTCGGTGTAAATCATACATAGAGGTTAGAAATGTCATCAATACCGGCAAGGGGGCCGTAGCAGACATCTTTCGAGGCTACAACCCTCTTCACTGGTACTGCAACGCAAAATCAACTTGTCCGAAAATCATCCAACAGTTGCTTCAATCTGGAATTGATATAAATGCAGTAGACCAACGACCGCATAACCGTAACGGACCTGTCATTCGACATACAGCGTTAGGGTACGCATGTCGGAACGCCAACGTCAAGGCCGTTCATACCTTACTACGGAACGGTGCGGATCCGAGTGGACTCGCGAAACTAGACCTGCCAAAAAAAGATACGGATGGCAATGAAGTTGTGTATCCAAGCCCTCTGCAAGAGCTCCTCTGCCAACCTGTTCACGGGCCACGTCTAGGCAAATGTCCGTGGACCTACCACTTAAACGACGAAGATGAGGAGAAAGACGGTTATCTGGATGAAGAGGATCCTGAGCGGCTTCCCGAGTTCCGGAGAATAGCCGCCGGGCCATCAGAAAATACGCCCCTATGTGAACTTTGCGCAGATAATTACCATATTTGGGACCCATGGCCGGAAAATGAAGAAGAGCGGCTAGCGGCGCGCGAGCGAAGACAATCGTGTTACTACGGCCAACTCATTCGACTGGGAAACAGACTCAAGACTTGCGTCCAACTACTACTTAACTACAACCTTTCAGATCCGCCAGTCTCTTTCCCCGAGTGTGATGACCCAAACCTATGGTCCGGAATTGACTTGCTGCTGGAGACATTCTGGCGATTCTTCTACCCCATCGCCTTGTGCGAGAGCTCAAGAGGGACTTCTCTGAAAAGGGACTTCCCAGAATCTCCTGGGCAACTCACACGCATTATTTCCAAGACAGTGTTTGCGCCATATGGTGAGATTGGGGATATGTTAGTGGAAACCGCGGGATACAACGGCGAGGGGTGGGCATTTCGCGGCGAGGCACGCGGCACAAACCGTCTTGTATCGTTGATCTCCATACACCCCAATCTCGAATCTTTCCGGGAAGGTGAGTTCTTTGATGCTGATGCCCAGATTCAAGCACAGTTGGAAGCTATGTCTAACTATCAGATCGGGGTGGCGCTTTGATGAATTTGCGGAGTGGTTATAGACCTGACGATGTACTAGATATCGTATAGGGTAACCATCTTGTTGTAGCCTGAGAAACAGGAATACCTATGGATGGACGGATGGTACATATATTACATGTAGAATAAAGAAAAATTAGTACCTATAGACCAACATGAAATGGGTGCAAATAATCTATTCATCCTTGTAGAGAACAACAAAGTTATGGGGAAACTGTAGAGACGTCAAGTCCCTGTCTTGGCCAGTGGCATAGCATCATAATCCAACTTAGCTCGCCAAGGAAGAAATATGCGAGTTTAATTGATGGAATCGGATCTAGCTCTAGAGCCACCGTAGTTGGCTTGTTAGATAAGTACCCTTACGTGATGTAAGGTCTACGCTCGTGTATGCTCAATACGAGACTAGCCGTATCTTAAGGAACGTAAGCTACTACAAACATATTATCTCCAACATGAGACGTGAAAACGAACCTCAGCAATTGTTGCCTGGATCGTATCGGATCTTCATACACGAAGCTACATATACTGGAATCGAAAAGAATGAAAGGCAGCCAGGGACTTTCCAGTCGCCCGTCCTGCTATATCTCCTTCACAAAGCCCACTTCAACAACCCTGTCCATCGCCAGTCTCAGATTGGCAACCTTCGCGCGCGTATTATCTCGGATGAAGAGAAACGTCTCGAGCACAAGACGTCTGGGAAGCGAGGCACTTCCCTTGATTCTCATTTGTTCCTTTCCAACGACGTACGAAATCTTGGTAGCGAACGCGCGGTCCAAACAGGCGAGTTCCCGACGCACTTTCGCATCTTCGATCTCAGCTGGCCCGTTCCGGCACTGCTTCCCCTTCCCATTTTGCTCAAGTGGCAGGTCCTCGCTTACAGAGCCACTGCTACCTCCGGACGCGCCACTGACTTCGCCCGGAATTTCGGGCTTTTTGCTCAAATCCTCTGCGCCGGCTTGACGCACTATGAACTTACGGACCTGTTCGTAGATCAGAGCCGCTAAATCTGGTGTGATTACCTCGTCCATAAATCCGCTGTGTAGACATTGTGGTTAGTGATGACCAGGCAAAGGATTCGCACCATGTTCCAGAATGCAGAAGAACTGGCTTTGACACCTGTCCAAGGGTGGGAATGCAATAGAACTAGGGTACTAACTGGCGAACGGCGAGTCTATAGCAGCCAGGTACAGCCCCTAAGCGTGTAATGATATATCGCTCGGTGGATGGGACCGTAGGAATTTCAACGGGGTGTAGGTGGAAAAATATCATGACTTCAGGAACCGCTCCAAACTTCGTGACAAATTGTGTGAAACTGCGGGAAACTAAGAGTTAGTCGACGCCCCTAAGTAGTTAAACTCCTCACATTCCTGTGAAGATCCAGAAACCAGAATGGGGGATGAAAGTGTCTAGATAGCATACACTGTCGGTGTGAGAACACCCGTCTTGTCAAAATAAATACCAAAACCTCGGATGGGGGCAACTGAGCCACCTCCCCAGCGCGCAGCGAGAAATAGCTTGTCATCTACCCCTTTTTTGATGAGCTCGTTGACTGCAGGTCGCAGAAGTCAGCAACCACTCTTCTAAGTAAAACGGAAGCCGGTTTCGGAAGTTATGTATACTTCTGAGACAGGCTCGTGACTCTGAAAGGCAATTATGGCCTCGAAGAGCTGCTAGAATAGGAAGGAAATGATTCAAGGGGTAGCATACGGCGGAAACGATCCTCGGCTTCCGCACGCCACTGATTTTCCTTTCCGAAGCGCCAGAGCAAGAAGAGACCAGCAAGAATGGCCGCAAGGGTAAGCGTAAACCAGGCGCCGTCGGGAACTTTGTTTAAGGCTGAAGTGAGGTAAAGACCGTCGTGTGTTGCGAAGAATAGCCATGGCACAAATAGAACGTAAGGCGAAATTCGCCATACAATCAAGGCAACGAGCGTTACGAAACAAGTGTCGAAAAAGGTCACGAAAATTACGCATACGCTGTGGTCAGTCAGTCAAAAGGAAGTGGGAACTTGTAACATGAAGCTGCGGATTATAATGAACGTACCCATATGCATTTCCTAACCGTGTTGTATTGGAGTATACGGCCGTGACGAGAACCGTGCCGATCAAGAGGAGCCAGTTGAGGAAAGGAACGTAGAGCTGGCCATGAAACTTCGTGGATGTGTGGACAATCTTCACTTGAGGACAGTAAGATAGCTTCATTAGCTGGCTCACGAGCTACATTGCAAACACGTTAGTAGACCGCATTCATCTGTCAGGAGACATTTCTTACCTGGAAACATGCGGTGATCATAGCCTGTGAAGCCACAACAGCGGCAAGGACAGCAACGACTAGACTGGGATAGAGTAGTCCGGGCGGGACAGAGTTGAAGAAAGGATTGGAGTAGGCCGCTGGGTGAACACTAATATACGCGGCTTGTCCTATGTAGGCAAGCAGCAAGGCGGGATAGCAATAACCGAGCCAACTTATCTGAATCGCCCGCATACTAAAGGCACCGACTTCATCATGGCATTTTAGTATACCTCCTTTTTTTGGCTGGAAGAGGAGGGGGGGTAGGGGGCGGGGGTGAAACATCTCTAAGGGAGAAGACAACGAGAAAGCTTCAGGTCCTGAAGCGGTAATTACTTACGATCGGCGAATAGAGCTTCCACGCCAGTAAATGATAGTAAGATCCCACCAAGCCTCTTCCAGGCTTCGGTCTTACCACGGACAAAGAAGTGGATGGCGTAGTAAGGCGAGAATGCCTTTAGCACAGAATGGTCGTATTTGACTAGGTTGTATATGCCAAATGAGGCGTTAAAAGCAAGCCAGACAATGACGACCGGTGCGAATGAGGAGGCAAGTTTGGTAAGTCCCAAAGGCTGAATGGCAAAAAGCAATATCAATATACCGCTGCTGGTTCCAACTATAGTCGAGCTAGTAATGCCTGGGCTCACGACCGAGAGCCCCTGAATAGCTCTGTAAAGATAGAAGTCAGTGCATACAAAATTTAAGTTGAAGTAGTAAAAGGGATAGTGGCCACGGGGCGAGATGAAGTAAATGATGTCGACCTACCCTAGCACAGACTGTGCTGGTGTTACTAAAGCGTTCAGATTAGCTTCCGATATCATAGGTGTGTCTTGTGTCGGCATTGTAAGTTTTTCCAGGGCTTCGGAAGTAACCATAGCATTAAGGCCATGTTTTAAAGATAACTAGAAAATGGAATGACGCTGAATTACTTACGTATTCCGTCTGCAATAACCATGGAAACGGCTAAGACACCAATGGTCTTCAGAAGCCCACGGAGAAACTTGCTATCTTCCATTCTTCTGCGTACGGCATGGTTACTGGGGCTCAAGTCCTGAGTCATATGGCGTTCCATCTTGACTGACGCAGCTTCCCGAGGGTCTCGGTCGGTCAAGTTGGCCTAGATAAGCTATGTTAGCATACTTCGACAACATCTAAGCACTGCAAGCGGAAGCTTCCGTGATAACTTACATAACGTGTGAGCAAAGAGTAGCAGCTGAAAGTGCCACCCTCGCCCTGGTTGTCGGCACGTAACACGATAAGGACGTATTTAAAAGTTACCATAATCGTGAGGGACCAAACTAGGAGACACGTTAGTGACTGAATTCCAGGCAGAGCTCTTTGGTTAGACAACTGAGAAAGGAGAGAAGAGGGGAGCAGTACTAATGACTGAGAGCACCTCAACAAGGACTTCATAAGACGGTTCGGCGGTGAAGGTACTCGAGTAAACATATAGCGGTGATGTACCGATGTCGCCGTAAATGGCACCAATAGACTGATAGGCCAACCTTTATAACAGGAAATTCTGTCAGTACCAACGAAAAGCCAGCGACATCTTGATTATGAGTATATGTTGTTGACAGCCGCCAACAGAAAAAAGGGGGCTACGCTACCAGAGCAACGCTGTCCCTTTGAATACCTGTTTTTTCTTGCCATCTTCGGAGAGCCATTCGTGGTTATCGTCTTCGTCGATGCCGGCCACTTCAGTTCGGCCGTCCTGAGACGAAGTGCTACGAGTTCGCGATAAACTACGGGTGTTGTATACTCCGCCAATGCTCCGCCGCTCAGGTTTCGCGGGCTTAATTGCGAGCTCTTCATCATCTCCAATGGCAGGACTTGGGTCGGCCATGATGCGAGCCGCACGTGGCAGGTAGGGTAAGACCGTTTTGATGGAATAAAAAGTACGTAAGATCGTCGCGAGTATAGGTTGTGTGATGTATGAAGCTGAATCCGAACAACCAACTGCGCAGGTCCCAAGTTTCCAGGCCGTGGAAGAGTGATGAGTTATGAAGTATGAGATAATTATTTGCTAAGAGGGTAATAACACATATATGATAAAAGAGGTGCCCCTCAAAGGACCCGGCCGCATCCCTAGCTACATTAGTCTCCTCATCAAGCTTTTGTTTAAGGTGGCGGCCAGAGCTGATAGTATGATTCACAAAGAACCAGGGCTATGCCCGGAGCTAGCTCGAACTTATCTGTGTGTAACAGGTACATAATTGGAAGATGAGCTCGAGTTTATCGCCTTTTCTTTGTTCGGCTGCTAACAACGGAGAGTCGGGGCACGTGGTACCATCTACTGTACAATACTGCTTGATGTTGTTCTGCGGTGTGTGGCAGGGGACGTTTCTTACCCCTGGGCTGTAAGTAACCTTGTTGTGAGGTGATATTCTGATAACAACTTGATATGATCCCACCAGCTACGAGTTGTTAAGGCTAGAGCAGCTCATAATAATAAACCTTATAATCGTACTACCGTCTTAGGTTAGATGACTCGTAGCATCAATTGTTTTTTATGTGATATGAGCAGCAGGCTTGATCTTGACGAAGGTGTTAACGCTGTGCATGTAAAGGATCCCTACCTGCATGCAACTCCATCTCACCCCCTTGTTCTGGTGAATGATTGCTCTATAACAGCTCCCCAGAGCATTATCATACGTACATACCTCTTCTCTCCCATTGACTCCTTATCAGAGCACTGGTAGAAGCCCTATTCTAGTAATGTGCGGAAACTAAGTAGAGACATCTGCTGAGCGACGTTGACAGGGCAGTCAACAAGCAGACAGCACTACGTCGTTTTAGTAAAACTAGCAAGGTTTTCATAAGCCGAGGCGCAACGCATCCAAGATGGTGATTAGATAGTTCCCGAAGCTCTCTCGTCAGCTGAGATGGCGTAGCTGTGATGTCACGTCGTATGCATGTACAATATCCCTACAGTAACATTTTAAGACATTGTAATTGCCCACTCAGAGCTCGTGTGGTTATCGATTTTCCTGTACCTAGCCGTACTGTGCACAATGCGGGATCAGCGGTTTTCATCATCTAGCCTGCCTGTCTCATTTCATGGCCGGTAGCTAGGTGAGCGAATATTGAGCACCGTGGGTAGCTTGAGGAGAAGCAGGAGGCCTCTCGGGGGAGACCAGCCGTTCTAGGTAAGCCGTCGCTATGCGCATGGATCTCCAGGGCTCGAAGGGCACGTTTTCTATGTGATGTCAATTAGTGAAAGTCAAACAAAATTCAATTCCGTTTCGATGTATAGCTGGTACATGGGCGTATTTGGAAACACTTTGCAACCCTTCTGTTTTTGGCCGAGGCAAAGGGACATTAAAAGGTAGGGAGGGGGCTTGTGTGCTACACAAAAGCTACTAATGCATATCTAGATTTTCAATTATGCTGCCTGCTAATGGGAAGTAATCCTGGAATCGTATACCCATACAGTTCGCTATTTTGTCTTGCCATCTTGTCTATCCAAGGCCAAATATAGATTACATAGTCTCTTGTCTAAACCTTACGGATGCCTAACGACGACGACGACGACGACGACGACAACAACCACCATAATTCTCTGATATCTGCATAGTCTGGTTAATTCCCGGTGCCATTTGTCGTGTCCCGCGTTGCTACCTTCTTTCCGTCTTCTAGAGTGACGCGAGTACACCAGTTCTGCTCGTCTGAGACTTTCCCAAGCTGTATAGCCCTCAATTGAGACAGGAGCTTCGTGCAGATGGGGCCGATGTCTTCTGCATCTTGCGTATCTGGCGCGTAGGTGACCTTTTCAGAGTCCTGATCCGACGATAATCTCTCGTGCTTTCCAATTGCTGAGGTAATGGACTTTGGCGATGACGGGGATTCGCGACGGGTGATTGACCGAATCGGTACGAGGGCTGCTGCTGTGCCAGCTGCCATGACTTCGGTGAAGGTGGGAAGTTCTGAGAAAGAAACAGGTCTGTTTTCGACCTTCCAGCCGAAGCTTCGTCCAATATCTACTATGCTTTCGACTGTTACACTCATGATGACATTCTTGGAGTTAGGTACCACCAGCGTTACATCGTCACCCTCCACCTTAGCTCCAATAAACCCACTTGTGCTAAATTCGTCAATCTCGGAGCGCGTGGCGCTGTCAAGATGCAGCGTAATGCCAAAACCTTCGGCTCTTGCTTTGTCACTCCACCTCAATACCCTAAACATAGATTGATTTCATCCCATTAGCCACGGAAGAGCAAAACTATGATGAAAGACCACGAGTTAGAGAAAACGCGCTTACGGTGCATAGTTTCCCCCAATCTTAGCACTACCAGTACCGTTGGGCGCGGAGCGATCGAACTCGTCGAGAATGAGGCACTTAACCAGGTGAGTGCCATGGTAGACACCAGTGGGCATGACAAAAACGCAGAACATGTACTCTTCCGGCGGGGACAGGCCTAGCTGAGCGCTGGATCCGTAAATCTGTGGGCGAATGTACATGGCGGCACCAGTCTCGTGAGGCGGCACGAACTCGGCGTTGAGGGAGACGGCGGCCTTGACGGCGTCTACGAACAGGTCTTCGGGCACGGTCGGACACGAGATGAATTCAGCAGAGCGCTGCATGCGGGCGGCATTTCGGTCCGGGCGGAAGATGGTGATCTCGCCGCTGGGTGTGCGAAAGGCCTTGAGTCCTTCGTAGGCTTGCTGGCCGTAGTTGAGGGCAGGCGCCATGCCGTGGATGCGGATGTAGGGATCCGCGACGAACTGGAGAGGCGACCATTTGCCCGTCTTGACCGAGTAGTGCGACTCAATGTGGCCGTTCACTTTTGCCAGTTAGCATTTGCGAATCGGTGAGCTGCGTAGTGGAAGACTCAGGCATTTACCTTCACGCACACGAAAACCGACATTGGCCCAGTCAATGGTGTCAACGGGTGGCGGTGGAAAGGAAGATGCCATGGTCCTTTTTTTGTCTCTTTTTTTTTCGCGCTGTCAGAGCCGGTTGTTGATTGTCGGTTATCGATGGAGCACAGGATGAACACAGTCGTGTCTGTGTATCCTGTCGTAACGATCGGGTTGAGCGGCGCCGGCAGCGAGGTGTGCGTTGAATTAATAATGTACCTGCCTAGGTATGGTGATGTTATACAACAGTCAGAAGATTAGTAGTATACTTGCTTGGTGGGATGCTCTTAGCTCCGATTACGGAGAGCGCCGTCTTACACATCAGGCTGTCCTTTTTATTTTTATTTTTATTTTTAATTTTTTTTCTTCTTTCCTTTTCCCTACTTGTAAGTGGGGCACTGGAGTACAGGTATAATGCGTGCGCGCCCTCCGCCTGGGTACGTAACATGTACATGTAGGTATCCAACTAGACATGTATTATATTACATATATGTACCAGCTTCGTTGAAGAACCGTGTACACCATCGAATAGGTACGTTGGATAAGATATGAATACCAACCTAGTGATGCCTACCTAAAGAGTAGGTAGTGTTTGGGTTAGCTCAGGCATAGCTACATGCCTACTAACTTGACAAGATCTTGTACTTAACAGGGCGCGCATCCCACCGGACCTTGGTATCAAAGTATCATTAATTTTGAACTTGGCTCGTGCTCATACTCATGTCATGCTAATGCTTGTAAAATATATAGGCCTTCTGCATACGTTCAAAGGGGGAGATGTTCCTTCGGCAAACAAGCATACCTCGCCTGTTCTATAACTCTTCCGTAGCTAATGGCAGTCGATGCGTAACTCTCCTCGTCCGCAGCTAAGCTCAAACTTCCAATTTTAAGACATCCAATTCGAGGACATCTGAGAGCTGCTGCGAGACCTCCGCGCCTGTCTCGAAAGGCTATCGAGGATATAGTTGCGGTATGCAATGCACCTCTCTTCCTAGGAAAGGCTGGCAAGCTTTTGAAGGGTCACAAGAACGCCTGGACTCTGTTAGATGCATTTTTTCGGATAACCAGAGAAGCATGGAAGTATGACATACCGCTTACAGCCTGCGTTAGGGTCGTCCTGGCCTCGGTATTTCGGTTGCTCACGGTTACAGTAACAGCATTTTTGACATCACCGTCTTCTTGTAACTTGTTGGCCCAACGGAATACCTTTTCATCATCACGACCGTCACCTACAACCATGAGAAAATCCGGCTGACCACCATGATTCTCGCCATCTTTGGTTTCCTTTATGTGCTCATAGATATGGGCGGCTGCGGTGTCTTTGGTCCAGTCATGGGATTCAACCACTACGCAGTCCTCAAGCTGAGTCGCATGTACGTGTTGATCTTCACAGGATTCATTGATATGAGCTGTCCAGTCACTCGCTTGTCTCTCTGCCATCGTATAATCTTCGGCATTCTTGAAGTGGAAGATGAGAGAACAACTCCGATCTTCAATCTCGGAGCCTGGTGTGCGCTCTAGGTAGTACTGAAGAATGCTCCTAACAGACTGTTTCCATGATGCAACCTTGCTTCTGTCTGCGAATTCAGTCCATGTGCTTTTGGAGGGATATCTAATGAAGCAGCCATTCTCGGCGATCAGGCCTAGGTTCGGCACCACCCGAAAGAGACGCTCGAGTTCATCGGCTCTTCGCGCAGACATAACGAATACGGTATTCCGGTTGTCATATACTAGATCGCTGAGCACAGCAAGTACGCGCTAGGATCAAGTTAGCCATGGACATTACGCAAGTGGTTAATGATCACGTACATGAGGATTGCTAACGACCGCGTTCTTTGAACGCTCATTTGAAACAAGTGTCCCTTCATAATCCAAGAGGAAAAGTCTTCGCTCAGATTGGCTATATTGTTTACCTAACTGGTTTAGGTTCAGCCGTGGAATGGAAATTTGGTCATGGCGGTGTTGGATCTCGTAGCTTTGGTCGAGTCGCGACAAGAAGCTGGTGAACCAATGGCTGCCAGTTTGGCGGCTTACTACTTCGCGAAGTGATGACCACCTGGAGGCCCTCTCCTCACTGGACATCTCCGCTGCTTGTTTAATAGCCTCGGAGCACTCACGGTAACTCCATGGATTGACTGAAAGCTGCTGGCCACCGAAAAGCGATGAAGTGCCGGTGAACTCGGAGAGAATAAGAGACCCATGTTTTTGGTCGCAATATGCTCCATCTTGACACACAATAAATTCATGGGACGTCAAATTCATTCCCTCCCGCTGACTCGTGATCATCAGAGCATCTGCAATCGTCAAGAGAGCAAGATACTGGGAGTACGGGATATCCTGCTTCAGGTATACCACCGGCTGATAAGAAAGATTTGCCCAAGTCGAATTGATCCTGGCAACAATGTCCCCGACAGCGGCATCTAGGCCGCTCTTCTCAGTTGTTGACAAGGCGACCTGAATTAGAACTATCTTATCTCTCCAAGAAGGATTCTTGTTGAGAAATAGCTCAAATGCCAGTAGTTTCTGGCGCACACCACGTACAAGATCCAGTTTATCTCTCGCGACGATGATCTTCTTGCCTCTGTAGCGGTCCCTCATCATACTGACCCATTTCATTACTTCTGGATCTTGGCGGTGGAGGTTTAAACTGACAGGGTCAATACCGATAGCAGTATTCATGACATCCACAAAACGATCTTCTAGTTGAATACCTTCGCTCGTGGTCTCACATGAGAGAAGCCTGCTGCAAGTCTGAAGAAAGTGCCGTGTGTACTCGGCAATCTGGAAACCGACAAGGTTCGCGCCTAGCATACCTTCTAGAAGTTGCTCACGAGCAGCTAGACAGCGGAACACTTCGGAAGAAGGGAAAGCGACGTGCAAAAACAACCCGATCTTGGCCTCTGGGAGCTTTTTACGAATCATACTGGGGAGCAAAAGCAGATGGTAATCATGGATCCATATAGTGTCACCACGCTTCCAGTTCTTGACGATCTTATCTGCAAACGCTTGGTTGAGGTTGACGTAGAATTGCCAAGAATGATCCTCGTAGGCCTTACTCTTAGGGTTGTCGGGAATCTGGTAATGGAAAACTGGCCACAAAATCTGCTTACAAAAATGTAAGTAGTGTCCATCGAAGTCCTTGTCCGAGCAGAAGACAGGCAGCATGTTGAACTCAGTCGCCAATCGGTCGTAGATATCTTGCTTTTGCTGTGTGCCATTTAATGCATCCGTGGGCATGCCTAGAGTTCCTACCCATGTGACCTCATCCGCGCTGCCATCCCTCGCCGCGGCTTCAGCGGCGTTACGGAGACCCCCGTTGCCCTGGTCTGCGTTCACGACACGCCAATTGGCATTCGCAAATACTTTGTCATGGCTGTCACTCCGAGATGTGCGAGGTTGTAAAACGCCTTGCCTGCCCAGCTGCTTTGCTTTTTCAAAGGTCTTTTCGTGCTCAAGGATTGAGGCTGGAGGGGGTGCATCTACACGAGATGTTGGTTGAAATTTCCGGCCGCCCCAAGACGGAGATTCCTTATCCGCTGGACCCCTAAACTCAGCATCGTTCACGGCTTGGACAGGCAGGCTATCTTCATTCATAAACAAGTCATCGTCAAGTGCAGTCTCATTTTCCGTGGGGGTAAGAGGTGGTGTATTTGGAGGGCGGGGGTTGAAGAGACTTGGGCGAGCATCTAGAGTGGGTCGTTTTGATGCGCCAGGATGGCCATGTCGAAGAACCTGTCTACTGGATTTAGACGGCGCATCTGGAAGGTCGAAATAGATCGTTTTAGGAAGAAACCTGGCAGTGGATGTTTGATGTTAACTTCTTATCTTCGAATCTCCGAGTTTCACTTATAAAACCGTGAATGAGATGACAGGGGTTCTGATTGGTGCGCAGTGGATGCTGAGCTCGCAGCAGCGCATGTGAGAAATTTCTAGTCTGGGCACTGGATTGACTGAACGGAAAAAGGACGAGGAGAGAGTGCAGGAAAGAAGGCGATGACGGCAGGCGTAAATAGACAATACTTACAGGGAAGCAACGAAGATAGTCATGATGGAATACTACTAACGCAGCGAGGGGCGCGTAATGAATAGAGTACGGGCTGTTATTCTATAACGGAGAAGGGAAAAACACAGGCAAGGTTGCTTTGTCAAGGGCACGATTGAAAAATTGAAAATCTAAGCTCTTATTTACAATAGGTATCATAGCATCTTGTGAAGGGTATAGAGAGGCAGGGGCTGCTCGGGTTGAGATAGAAACTGAAGGGATCAAATTTATTTTGTCGAGATGATGTCAACAAGTGGAGGGCAGAGTGTTCCAGTCCAGACTTGCAGCAACCAGACGGGCATAGATATAGGATCCCGTAGATCCACCTGCACCGACTCTTCCCGTAGCGGCAGGACAATGCCGAAGTGACTACGTACGAAGTAGCTGTACTGTAGTGTCACCCTTAGGCACGGTACCTAGATAGCCAGATCAGAATTTACAAACATACTTAAATATACATGGAAGGGAAGCTAATATAATTGCCTAAGTACATAGCCCGCATGGTAGCTAAGCACCCAGGTAGGTGGGATTGTGCTGCCTCTGTTCATCAACATCTGCCCCCCCTGCTGCTCCCCGGAGCTCTCTCCGGAGCCCTGCCTGTAAGACGGGACAGACTAGGTAGACTCATGTGAGCCGCGGGAAGCGTTAGGACAGGTCTTTGACAGCTCGAAACCTATTGCACCAGCACGTGTCAAGTCCGTATGGCATATATATTCCGTGGGCGCATACCTATTTGCGTGGACATACGTGGATGAATGTATATGACACTTGAAGTCCGTGTTAGGTATGAAGGTAGCGTTACGTAAAGATACCTGCTTAGCTCCGGCATGCGCAGCACGCAATGCCACACGCATGCAGGTTACCTTAACGGCAGCAGCTGGCAGCTACCTTAGGTAGGTACCGAAGCACAAGTGTGGATAGCCATGGAATGAATACCATCTCGGTGCATCAATTACGTCATCATTTTATATATGTCAAATATGTACCGGTAGTACATACTGGTTGTACAGATGAGCCGAAAGCAAATAACCGTAGCGCTGGAAGGGATCGAATCTAACCCACTAAACTTGGATCCAAGGGTGTAGCGGTCTAACAGGCAAACATTGCTTGTTGTGCACATAATTCTTTGACTTATGTAACGCCGCTCTACCTACGTCGGCGACCTAGCGACCTACCTAGACTACCGGTAGATACTACTAGAACTAGCCTTATTTGAAGCACACATTGATATGTCTCCTCATATCCATAATATCTTCAACTTTGCGTGGAGGGAGCAGTTACTCCAATCAGTAGAATTCTCATGAAAAGAGGAGGTGCGCGTTGGCCGCCAAAAACTACGAAGTATAGTATTGCTGGTGCACTGACCTCCAATCCCATTCGCTTCAAGGAGGTTTTGCTCCTGGCGGCCGTAAGAGCCTCGATGCCCAATCCGGCGCATTTCATTTTGTCAGCTTCCAGTTCTCTACGCGTTGTTTGTTAGGTTTGCAATCGTACATGCCGTGAAACCGAAACCCCGCAGTTTGTTGTTAACCTTCTTTTTTTTTTTTTCATTCAAATGCTCATGTCGCTCCAAGTTCTTCATACCCGCACCTCGCCAGCTAATGTCTTATAAGTATTTCATCGGCTGATGCCAAGACGGCGTTTGTTAGATCTCGATCCATTACAGCAATGAAATTCTCTGTGCTTAAAATAATGGCCACTAGTCCACGAGTCCTGAGCAACTCTAGTATTCCCTTGCCTTGCACAACACCGAGGAGCTTCTCTCATCTAATCATTGCTTCCTGATCTTTTCTTGTCGGAGAAGGAATGCCTATGGGAAAGTCTCCTTTTCCATTGCTAGTGGACTATATAGATGTGATTATAATGCAAATGGCGACAGAATGGGGCGTGTTGCAATGCTGAGGTTTTGTTTCACGTAATCAGGATGGGCAATTTAATGACGCCATATCCTAACAGCTTTGTCTTTCCCACCCGATGCAACACATGTTCCATCTGCTGACCACGCTACAGCATATACTTCGTCTTCGTGGCCCGGTAAGTCAGTTGTCAGTTTGAAGGTCCGCATATCCCACGTTTTGACTGTGGTATCTCGACTACCTGTAGGTCAACAGGGTCAATACTTTTCACATAAATGGCAGATTAGTTCCTAAGAAACAATGCAATACTCACATGAAACTAAAAGTCGCTGTATCGCATCGTTAGTTAATTTCAAGGGAGTATGAGGAAGAGGAGAGAGATAACGTACTGAGTCTGCGCTGAACGCAACCTGAAATACGGGTGCAACCTATCCCATATCAATCGCTGAGTTCAACCAAGGAACCCGTCGTCCTTCATCATGAGATGAATTCGATGGTGGAATCATAGTGCCTCATGAAACTTACATGGCCGCGGAGAGTAGCACAAAACTTGCCGTCTTTATCAAAAATCTTGACAGAATTATCCCAGCTTGCCGTGGCTAAGTACGATTGTTAGTCTCGACTACATTTCATGGATGGGAAGCCTAAAGCATGTAATGTTATACATACCGATTAGTCTACCATCAGGCGAGAAAGCCGTAGAATTCACTGGTTTCGAATGCCCCAGAAGCCTATTGATAGGTTTTGAACCTTGAGATTCCGGATCCCATATATAGACTATATAGATATAGAGTCAGTCACTGCGTTGTATACGTGAATCTCGAAGGGTATAGTAGCGAGTGAGATGGCCGGATAGGGCAATGAACAGCATTCGAGTCGCTAGCTCTCGTGCCAAGGTTACGTCGAAGCGAGCATGGACGGTCGAGATACTGACCTGTGCAATCATCGCTTGCTGATACGAGTCTCTCTACAATTTTGCCATTTTGCATGGCGGCCTTTTCAAACCGAACTTTGGCCTTTGCCTTTTTTTCCTCCATGGAGGGTGGAACAGCTTTCGTGTGATCGTAGAACGCTGTTCTTAAAACACTGTCGGTCGAAAGGGCAACTGCGAAGTGTATGTTAGAGCTGGGATAGACCTGACAATGATGCCTTATGAAAGACACTTACTGTGATTAACCCAGTGAGCATGGGAGTTTAATGAGTGTCGAAGAGTACCATCTGAGGCATTCCAGATCTTTATTTGGCGATCTTGGCTGGAAGAATAAATATGATCTAAGCCACCCCATCGGACCATAGTCACGGCAGACTAAGCTAGTTAGAATCTGGCATGCCAATTGTAGAGAAAGAAGCGCATACTTTGTGCCCGGACAGTACATGATGTGTTACGCCAGAAGTCATAAATACGCGAATTGTAGCATCTTTACTACAAGTAACAGTGTCAGTATTAATGACCTGTTGGCTGTATATATGATAGGAATTACTTACCTAGCACTTGCAAGTCGTGGACCATCTTCCCGCCATAAGTGAAATGGCTGCCATGCTATGCTAGTAATCCACTTACTATGGCCACTACAAAAATGTGTTAGTGACTTCCAATTGGCCTTTCCTTAGATACAACGCAGCTTATAGAATGGAAATAACAAAGAGATCTATGGCAAAAATTGGAAAAAGTGGTAGGATTGGCTTACGTGAATGGTTTTCCTATCTGCTTCCCAGTGTCTGGATTAAACAGACGGACCATCTGCGGTACCTACGTTAGACAGTGCTGGATAATCCTGGAGAAGCATTGAATCACCTTGTCCATACTACCCGTCGCCAAATATTCCCCAGAGGGATCGAAGGAACATACTAGAACCCAACCTGAGTGCTGTAATGTATGTTTCGGGGTGCCAGTCTCTGTATTCCAGACTAAAAGGTGGTCAGAACCCGCATCTCGCCATTAATAGTACGCACAGTTCTTACTTCTGGCTGTAGAGTCTCCTGAGCCTGTTGCAAGTATTGCGCCAGTCTTGGGGGAAAATTGGGCAGTAAGGATCGGTTGACCGTGTCCGGGAATTCTGCATCACAACCGATCGGTCAGTCACCGTTACATGGTTCAAATCATACGCGGTCGAGAGCCGTCAGGATTATCGTTGTAGTGGATCTGGCCCTAAACGGGAGCATACCTATGGGCCATACGGGTTGCCGCCTTGACTACAATAACAGTCAGACTCCTCTTTTCAAAGCCGCAGGTATCTCGGGTCTGGTATAGATGACAATTATTCGCCCTCACCTTTAAAAACGGACTGTGGCTCTGCGGTGAGAGAAAGAGTAGTTTCGAAAGGATTTTCCACGCCATGCTTGCGAAGCACGTCAAGGAACTCGGCCGGCGTGGGATAGGTATCTATGACTGTATTGGAATTCGGAACTTGTATGCGAAATCGATATGGAGTGAAATCTTCGCGGTCCTGTGTTTCCAGATGCACGTCAGAATTTTAGCTTTCTCGAGGATTCATGAGACATTGCTAGCATACCCTTTGGAGCAATGTATTCAACAACGATGAAACATTCCTTTCTGTCGCATCGGCTAGGGGGATCTCAACAGTCTCGGCGAGCTCCTTGCCGTCGCTATCGACAAAGCGTGCTCTGATAGAGCCGGTGAGCGTAGTAGAAGTGACATCTTGCTGTATTTGCGAGCGCTCCAAGATGTCGCGCTTTTGTCGCTTCGAAGGTGGCGGGACTACTGTGGCCATGCTAGAAAAGACGCCGAATGGATTAGTAGTTGTCGCAACTCTAGTAGTATTGCGAGCTCGACCTTACCGATGTCGCGGGGTGACGTTCCCATGCAATTCAGAAAAAAAGTTACACCCCACATATTGATTTATCTTATCGATTAGGTGGCCTTGGCGAGAGGACCTTGCTGGCTTTCCCAGAGTACCACACTACCTACTCTAGGTAGGTTACCTAGGTACCTACATGGGTAAGGTACTAGACTAGGTACCTAGTCTACGTGCAGTACTACGTAGTTAGAAACAGGTAACAACAGTGATGTTCATTTACCTAAACCTCTAGACATTCGGAAGCGGCACTCGACAAGTAATTACTTATGTAGATTCACTTATAGGTAAGAAGCGCCGTTATGGACGGCACCTTCTGTTTGGGAAGAATGGCACTGGCGCCCTTACCAGACATGCCAGGTTAGATCTTCCCCTTGATCTCCTATACGTATGGCTGTTTGAAGTTGCATCGCCAATAGATTTGGATGAACTCGCGAACCTACAGAAATAGGAACCTCACGCAAGCTCTCTTAATAGCCACCGCGCTCAGAAGTCAAAGATGTCTCCTTCCAAGACATCACGGCCCTCGTCTGGCCCTGAACCGCCTATACCTTCGGGAAGCCTGCCGATCTCTATCTCTTCAGGATCTCCATCTTCCATACGTGCCATGACGGCACCTCCAAGGGCTTTCTCCAATGCCAGCCGACATTCCAATTCTTATAGTATGTCCCGTTCCATTACAAGTTCATCCCACCCCTCAAGACAACGCCGTCAGAATAGCACAGCATCTGGGCGGAAGTCTCTCTGGGGGTCTGACTCGCATGTTGTCATATGTGCCATCGCCGAGGCGCGTGGAGTAGCACCATCCGTTGGCCTTTCTTTCATAAATATCACCACAAATGAAGCAGTCCTGAGCCAGATATGTGATACGCAGTTCTATGTTCGGACCATACACAAACTCCAGATGTATGAGCCGTCTACAATCCTGATGGTAAACACCGCACTCCCACCTAACCCCAAGTCCAATCTTCTTTCTATCATCGAAGTAGAACTCCCTGCCACCACAGTTGAACCGCTTGATCGTAAGTATTGGTCTGAAAATGCTGGGCTGGAATTCATTCAGAGTCTTGCCTTTCGAGATGATCTCGAAGCAATAAAGGTGGCCATCGGTGGCAACTTCTATGCCACTTGTTCTTTCGCTGCTGTAAGAGATTCGAATCTTGCATTTGTCGTCAAGTACCTTACAAGTATAGGCCGTCAAGTACGTAGAGCTCTCCTGTCGCGTATCAATTGCGGCCCATTCCTTGCGTATTCGGTATCAGCCATCTGAAAATACGATGATGATCGATCTATCAACTATTCACTCTTTAGAATTAATTCAGAATCTGCATGAGCCGAGGTCAAAAGACTGTCTTTTCGGCCTCCTAAACCAATGTCTCACTCCAATGGGCTCGAGAATGTTGAGAAGCAATATAATACAGCCCTCAAGCCAGATTGAGAGTGTCCTCATTCCCCGTTACGAGGCACTCGAGGAGCTCACCATGAAGGAAGACATGTTCTTTGAGATACGTAAAGGTACGAGGATCTAGTTTAAGGTGTGGTTACAGACTAAATTTTTTCAGCTCTCAAAGAGTTCACAGATGTTGAGAAGCTCCTTACAAGTGTACGTTTCTTCATTACCTGAGCTTATACAATATCTAATGAGATTAGCTTGTTATCGTCCCGCAGCAATCATCAATATCTGCAACCGAATCCGCGATAGATTTAGTTCTGAGAGTGAAGGCATTTGTCATTGCTGTTCCCCAACTGCGAGTGGCGCTGGCAGCTGCACGAACAGACCTCTTGAAGCGGATATATGGCTTATGCGGAGTAAGCGTGACCCAACTAGTGATGAACATAATCACAGACACGATCAATGACGATGTCATCGCGATGAAAGCACCGATTGATATGCGAAATCAAAGGACATATGCTGTGAAGGTAGGAATTAGTCCACGGTATAGCTCGCCAGGCATCCTCTGATGTTATTTTTAGTCTGGTGTTTATGGCCTCTTAGACATTGCTCGACAAACATACAAAGAGGCAACAGAAGATGTATATCGACACATTGATGAACTCAACAGTAAGGTTTCGCTCGAGTGTTGGCGCATAGTGGGGTAAAGCCAGCTGACATATAGAGGTAGAAGAACATGAGCTTGCGGTTGAGGTCAAATTTGATAATCGCCGCAGATTCTGGCTGCGACTGGAACGGAACGAGTTCGAAGACCGACAACTTCCTGACGTATTCATCAACAAAGTCATCAGGAACCGGTGGATTGAGTGTCAGACACTCATATTAGTTCAGCTAAATAACCGGATTACCGATTCCCACAACGAAGCCGTGATGCTAAGCGAGGATATTATTCAACAAGTTCTCGATGACATCCGCGAACATGTCCCTGAACTGTTTCGTGTATGTGAGGGTATTGCCCTCCTGGATATGGTAGCATCATTTGCACAGTCAGCAACTACAAGGGAATACACGCGGCCTGAAATCAGTGGAACCTTAGCTTTGAAAAGCGCACGGAATCCGATCTGCGAACGTGTAAGTTTCGACTGAGAATACTTCGACTTACTCAAATTGATAGGATCTAGTTAAATCCCGAGCGTTTCGTCCCTAACGATGCTTACGCAGACGAACTGCATCGATTTCAAATCATCTCTGGCTGTAATATGAGCGGGAAAAGCACTTATATAAAAATGGTCGCACTCATGCAGGTCATGGCTCAGATTGGATCTTTTGTTCCGGCTCAATATGCAGCGTTCCCAATTTTTCAGCAGCTCTTTGTGCGACTGTCTACCGATGACAATATCGAAGCCAATATGTCAACATTCTCACTCGAAATGAGAGAAATGGCTTTTATTCTGAGGTATGAAGTATCTCCTCCAATCACTTATCTCTCTTCACTATTTGATCAGGTCTAATATGATGTGAAGGAATATCAACAAAGATAGCCTAACCATTATTGATGAATTAGGTCGCGGAACAAGCTCCAGAGATGGTCTGGCCATTGCCCTTGCTATATCAGAAGCACTCATTCAGAGCGGTTCTATTGTTTGGTTTGCAACTCATTTCCAAGAACTCTGTAAGTGATTTCCATCGATATTTACTCCCTATACTAACTTTTACTGCGATGAATAGCGAGAATACTTGGTAGTCGGCCAGGTGTGCTCAACCTCCATCTAGAAACGGATGTCTCGAGTCCATCTGAAGATCAACCTCAAATAACTATGCTCTACAAGATTAAGTCGGGTTCAGTACAAGAGAAAAATTACGGGATCAAACTTGCAAAAGCTATGGGTTTCCCTGATAGCTTTATCGAAACCGCGCAAGACGTTTCACAGACATTATCAGATTCTATAGAACGACGGAAAGCCGCATCCGACTCGAGACAACTGATCCGCCAGCGCAAGGTCATTCTTAATTTGCACTCAATGCTGACACAGTTGAAGGAATCAGAAATTGATGATACGGCCATGGGCAGCTACCTTAGGCACCTCCAAGATGAATTCGTTCTACAAATGGATAGCACTATTGAAGAAGGGAATATAAAAGGACAAACTGAGCCTTTCTCCATCTAATTATAAACGCTGCTAGCTGGAAACTGCTTATCTCCTACAGGAACATTTGCTATATTGCAAAATTTCGGGAAATAAGGCCCATTAAATTCTCAAAGCCTAGGAATCTCTTCTGGCTATGATAACCGCTTACATTTGTAGTATATCTATGTCTACTCGGGGTAGCCTTCGGGAAGCTAGATCGGAATATGATACTTCCATGTCGCTCGCTTATCTAGCACAGACCAAATTGAAATTGACTCCAAAGCAACATATGTGATAGACAAGCAGGAGGTGCTATTGCATGTATGCACGACTCTTATGTAGATCATCTCTGGTATAGTAAAGCAGCTGATTTCTCGAAGGTACGCTGGGCAGTGCACAAGACATATAACTAGTACCCACGCCAGTAGTGAGTCTCGGGCTTCTGACTTCAGAAAGCCTGAACTCGACCTCGTGCTGGAATCTATAGAGAAACCACCTGATTACACGAATCATTCGCAGTGCCTTGTTCTTCTAACAGCCTCACCTTATAATGTTATTTCACAATTATACCCAAGTCTTCCGCTTTACGCCAACTCAACCATTGTTCCTTTTCGCGGGTGCCTAACTCTAATCATATAAACACCTTTCCCAAATACCTATCTATATTTGAATTTCGTCAAGATGATTAGCTTTCAAGATAGCAGATTCCTATATTGGTCAGCTTTCGTGCTCGATACCTCGTTATTTGTTTCGTCTTTTAGAAAGAGACAGTTTGACAAAAAAAAAAAAAAAAAAAAAAAAAAAAGGGGGGGGGGGGGGGGAGGAAGGACTTACCAGCATACTGTCCCATCCCAACCATGCCAACCATGACGCGACCCTAGCCAAGCCACCGCGCCAAATGTCGGGATTTGGCTTTGGCTTTAACAGTTCGTTGACGACCTGTCTCGCGAATTCGTCTGCGTCAACCCAATGGGCGTCTTTCAAAAACTCTCGGCCCTCGATCCGACTCGCGACAGTGGCATAAAAGCTCCCCTCGGGCACCTTCGACTGCGCGTTCTCGAATAACTTGGTACGCACGCTCCCCGTCACTAACGTCACGCAGTGAATGCCCAAGGGCGCAAGCTCGACGCGCAACGCCCTGGCAGCGGCGTGAACGGCGACCTTGGAGGTGTTATAAGCGAGCTGGTAAGGCGGCATGAATACCTCGTTGACGCTTCCCAGCATCGCGACTGTACTTTTAGTCTTGGCGGTTGCACCGCCTTGGTGCATGAGGAGCGGGATAAAGGCCTGCGTCACGGCTAGCGAACCGATGACGTTTGTGTTGAAGACCCTGCTCAGATCGGTTATCTTGGTATCTGAGAAGGGCATCACGTGGTTCACGCCAGCGTTGTTGATCAAGAGGTCTAGCCGACCCCTCGGCTGTTGATCCGGGTTAGATTTGCCATCTTCAGCGCCATTATCTTTGGGGTCGCTGCTAGTGAGACTGAGCTTCTCTCGGACTATGGCTACGGCTTGCTCGATTGATGATTCGGATGTCACGTCCAGCTCCAGCGTTTCGATACCGAGGGCTGCGAGACTGGTCATCTTGGACAGGTCACGGGCCGTGGCAAATACGCGCAGGCCACGCAGCTGGAACTCGACCGCTAGTGCTGCGCCAATCCCCCCATCGCTGCACCCTGTTATCAAGACCGTGTTCTGGGGCATCTGGGGACGTGACATGCAGCCAGAAATTATTTGACGGTGAGAATGAATACGTCGTAGGCACAACCCAGCAAGGCTCAGACATGCCGGGCTAGATATACACACGAATGGGGGTAGAGCAATCAGATGGGTCTGCGTAGGATGCCCAAAGCGGAACGTGCCGTGAATCCAACAGGAGCTTTAAAACGCCAACCCCTCTTACCCTCCACTTCTCCCGTGCTCTGAAGTTCGCCTCTCTACACCTCAGGTGCGGTTCATCCATGGAAGTTGCCGAGGAAACCCATGTCGAGGCAGGGTTGCATGTGCTGAAGGTTGCGAAGGTTCTCTCGCTTCCTTCTAGATGGCTGATGCTGATGTTGCATGCGTAATGCGCTAACCGTATAGGCTGTCATATCTGCCTGCCATGGATCGCTTATCGGCCTGCGAAGTGACGCCTCACGGCACGCTCGGATTCGAAGGAGTCGCCAGCGTCGTCGCCAACGTCGTTGTCGGCATTAGCTCCCTTGTTTTATGTGGTAGCGTAACTAGGAACGGCCTGTCACAGCCGGATTTGGTTCTAGGTTTTTACGGCACAACGAGCATAGCCACTCCCGTGCTCTCACAGCTTTGGAGTCCTACGTAAAGATTTGCTCGAGTTTTCGGCGGTCGCCGATATATGTGGTCTCGCTCTACTTGCTCATGAATGTATCAGAAATTCCATTGCTACGCCTTTGCTACAGAAATGGAGCCGAATCGGACCCCAGCTGCTGACGAACGCACGCCATCCTTTCCCGAAGAGAACGAATCGTCAGTCGCAGTGATCTTAGGGGCCTCCATATCCTCAACAAAGACATTGATTTTAGAAGCCACCGCTGCAACCCTGACATGGTATTCCCTATTTGCCGCAATAATCACTTCTCCCCGGCTCAAAACGGAAAATGTGCCGTTGGTGATTTTCTCAAGGGTCACACTTCCCGAAGCAGATATCCTGGTGTGGTATCCGTTTAAGTCACCCGAAGCGCCGGTTGCGCGGAATAAGAGGCCTGCATCGGTGTGCGAGTCTGGAACCGCGATAGTAGCATCGTACACGAGGTCTCCAAAGTTTGTATCAAGCATCGCAGTAGCTGCTCCTGAGCTCGTAAGCCGTTCATTGACAACGGACCATCCATCACCGTACTGTCTCCACCCTATTGCCTGTCCGTCTGCGAAGTTGTCCTTAACAAGCATCTTAATTGCCCTTATCGTACCGTCTTCGTTAAAGTACATGCGATCATATGCTAATACCCGGTGATTGCCATCTGTCTCACTAAGTGGCCGTCGACTGTTTATACATTGGAGTCAGTAATTGCCGAAGATAGTAAGAGTCACCTCAAGTTTCGGAGTATGCATGGCCAATGAGTCCTGAAACTTGCCGGAAGAGGGAATAAACAAATGCAGGGAACTAACTGATAGACAATATACCAAATATCAGTGCCGGGGATGTGAATAACACCGTTATGACCACTGCCCTTGGCTACAGCTGAATCCTGTTCGAGGATCTTTGCCAGCTTAATAAACGGGCCCATGACTGAGTCGGACATGGCATAGGAGACACTGTAGTCCGGCCCAGTCCTGCTCACACGCTGAAGTCAGTAATTGCCAAAAGAGAAAAACTCCAACATATATCTCGAGAGCATGTAGGAGTGATGAGGCTTGATATATACCCGGGGGAGGAGAAGGGGGGTTAAACGATTCCAGGGGACTAACCATCCACCTTCTGACCACATCAAGTAGTATTTCCCATTACGCTTAATCATTTGAGATCCCTCAACATAGCCCTTGGGGGTGATCTCTTTGAACGATGTTCCATCGTCAAACTGCCCGATGGAGACCATATCGTTATTTAACTTGGCGATGTTGCAGTGTGAGTGACCGCCGTAAAAGATGTAGGCCTGCCCATCATCATCGATGAAGACATCTTGGTCTATGGGCTGCGCGCCGTTATGGTACTCTCCAATGAGTGGCTTCCCGATGGGATCAACATAAGGACCCTCGGGCTTGTCGGCTACCGCGACTCCAATGCCGCCAATGACACCAGCCTCTGGCTCGCCTTCCTGAATGTCATTGGCACCGAAGTACAAGTAATATTTCCCGTCTCGAAATATCGGTGCAGGCGCCCAAACAGCCCTCGTCGCCCATTTGACGTCTGCTATCGTCAAAATGTTCTCATGCTTTTCCCAATGAATCAAGTCGTAACTCGAGAAGGCGTCAAGATACGTCTGCTCGTCATATGCATAAGAGGACGTAGGGAAAACCCAATACTTTCCTTCATAGAACTCGGTATCGGGATCCGCGTACCATCCGTCTACAAAGGGGTTCCCGGCCTCCGATGTGGAATAATCCAGGCTCATCTGGCGCGTGAAGGGTAGTGCACGTGTTATTGCCGAGAGGACAAGAGCAACAAGTGAATGTACGAAGATGCGTGCCATGGTAATGGCCGCTATCAGTTTATTGGTAATGGTATAGTCCCCGTCAGAATAGTCGTCCCATTGTCGAGCTGAAGCAGGTGAAAGGCTGCCAGATAAGGGCCGGATAAATGAAGCTATGTTGAAACCGTGTCTCTCGATGACAAGAGTGAGACTTATACCCAGAGCTATATAGACGCCAAATAACCAGCGTTTCTCGAAAAGGGCTCTCTTGCACTGTGCATTTGCGCTCGTGCCCTTCTCATTGACGACCAAGGCACTCATCGTGCCCGGTGACGATGGCACGGGGTCAGGCGATCCAGTCGCAAGCTTCGGGGCCATGCTGGCTTGGTTGCACTGCACAGCGTCCGAGTGACCAGCGATGTTTCCACGATAACACCTTGGAAGTAACATGGCGGTGGGTCTGGCTAGATCGAGGTCTTGGTCCCCATACCCATCGCCCCGGACAGGAATGCTAAGGCGGGGTGGTATGGAGACCCTAAACTCCAGCAGGAAATGGTCTCTGCGATCATTTTGAAAGACGTATGTGAACCATGTCATGCCATGAGTAGATATATCAAATTGCAGGCTTAGCTTCGTCCACCCAGCGATGCCTCCGACGTGCTTCTTCATTCTAAGTGCTGAATGGCAAAGCCTGTATCCATCCAAAAGGTAAGGATTCTCATGCATGCAGGCGTATTTTAACCTCATCTGAAAGACCTTCTATAATCGGGAAAGCTGTATGTGCATATCCTACTATGGGCCGCGTCTTATGCACCTACGTGATTTGGTTAGGCAACTCTGGTCACAATTCCCTATTAGTTGTGGGCTACCTAGATGTTTAAATACCTACCCAGGAGGTATTGCGTTGCTTCGAGAGCCGTGATAGAACCGCCAAGCACTTTGATCATGTTGTAGTGGATCAGCTTTCACAAGTTGTAATTTGCAAGCCGTTAACGTTAACCTTGACAGATTCATTCCATGTGTTAGGGCTGAAATGGGTAAGGGAATCAATCTCAAGCGGTCAAGACGTAGAGCAAATGAGGAAATATTACTAAGATGCCCGCCAAGATAACAGTAGAGGTGATAGTTGATTTTAAGAGGGTTTTGGAGCAGGGTAGGTCCGTGATGAATTAATATGATGGGCAAAGAGTGACTACTTCTCTTACCTGCGAATAGTTGGGGTGCGCATACCGCTGTATACTGAATTAACAAGTGCATCCCGAGGGGGTAATTAATGGCGTTCGTTGACCTTTGGAATTCTTGAAACAAGAGCAGCGAATTGCTAGATACTTAGAAAACTCCAGTGTAAAACATTATTGCATGAAGATAAAATTCACCTGGGATCAACAGGGACTCCTAGAATTGGATTATCTTGTTGGCGTCTGTCCTAAAAAGTTGGAGCCGGTGATATGAGGAGTTGGATGTGAGGGTGATACGTCTCGTATTATTGGCTTTTCATGTTCGATGGAATATGACCTCGGGCGACGACTATTATTAGGGATGTATATATAACCATTTAATACAACAGTTAGCTTTCAGTAAACGGATTGCAACCATTTTCATATCACATGAAATTGAAAGAGTTACGACGGGCACGGCAGCCGCCTATTAATTACAAGACAGTCATCTTTTATCAAGTGAATGGTACCTTATATTGATATGATATTATATACGTAGCGTTAAGTCTACTCAAACGTTATCGTCACCATTATTGCGCCAGACACGCGTGTCTCCTAGACTAACCGAGCTTGATGTACTCACTGCTGCGTTATGACGATCAGACTGGTCTTCATAGTCGCTTGGGTGGTATGCATTGACAGATTCTGTAGGAGATAGAGGCGGTGGTGGATCTTGGTAGATCCAAGGCTGTTCTAGTGGAGTAATTAGAGAGGGATTGATGAATGATAATCCTTTCTCCCGGTCTTCGTCAATCGTACTCATTCGTCTGGTGAGCCGTGTTGAATCTTCCCCATTTCGCTCAGGATTGCTCTGTCTCCCAGGATCCGACTCGCGGTTGATGCTTCGGAGAGCAATGAATTTGGTGAGTGGAACGAATTGTCGATGGAAGTAGCTATTATACCACAACGTCAGAACTAGCAGTGGAGCAATGAGGGCTGCTTCATAAATGGCTTTGCGCAGCACTAAAATGGCAAGCATGACAATCTGGAAAGATATGAGGCCGAGGATGATACGCCTGCATATCATTGGCCAAGCTTTGCCTGTGGCATGCTGCGGCTGATCCATAGAGTAAAGAAGCTGATACTTGTATACAAAGTAGCCAAGCGCGAAGTAACAGACACCTAGGAGCAGCACTAGCTCGGAACCTGGAAGAACGCTATAAACAAGACAAACGATGAATATAAGCAGGGCGGTGGGTAGATAAAAGCCATAATTGAATAGCGTTGGTTGAACAAGTTCGGCGAAGTCACGAGGGGTTTTGGCACCCATACGGTAGAATGGATAAAGGAAAACGCTGCCAAATTGCAGAAGCTTGAAGGGGAATAGCCCGAAACCTTGAAGCATGATAAAGTTTAGGTAGAAGTTGCTGAGGCTTTGAATGGATTGGGCAATCTTTGACGCGATCACGTTCGTGTCGCTTAACGAATCTTTGATAATTTGCCAGAGATCCGCAAGCGCAGCAGAGCCGGATACTGCATAAACGACGAAGATGTTGAAGAAGACGAAGAAAAAATTCTTCGATATGACAGACAATTCAACATCGCCCTGCGAGATAAACCCCTGGATATTTGAAAGATAATCGTAAAGGTATGGCACAAGCACGTTCAAGAGCGACACAATTAGGGTTGGTAGTCCAGTTCGGACCAAAGCTTTGGTGACCTCATGTCGTTCAAGTGATTCACCCAGCGACGGGGCAATATGCTTAATAGTGCAAATACTGAGCAAAGAAGCCAAGATGGCAACCGGGAAAAACCAGAGAATCGATAGGGTAGTGATGAAAACAGTGACCACCCCGGACTGTAATCTCCTTCGATATCGCGGAACATAAATATTTTTCCATATCAGATCATGCGGGGATGGTGCTGGCTTGGCTAGCAGCTGGCCAGGCCGTGGATCTACCGTGGCTTGAACCGCCATTTGACATGCTGCAATGGAATCCATAGTCACAAATGCTGTGTCTGTGGGTGTATAGACTTTCTTCCGTGCAGCCCCGATTTTCTCATCTAGTCGACGCAGCTGCTCTTCGTAATAGTCTAACGCACTATAGGAATTTCAGGGTCAGTGATGGCTGTTTATAGTAACGTAGGTTTGCGTAGTGTAGAAAATAGTTAACGGGGAAGGGACATACTCAATTTTACGATTCCGCATCTTAAGAAAACCAAAGCGTAAACGGATTTTTGGACGTTCTGTTTGAAGGTCGTTACTGCCAAGCAATGGGCCATTCTCATTCGTATCCTCTCTGCGACCATCTTGCTGATCGTTTCCATCGCTTACAGCATTATGCCGCATAGCGGCGCGTGGTTTCATAGCCTTTTGTGATCTGTAAGCGCTCCAAGCTTCCTCAAGCTTGTGGAGAACATTTCGTCGCTGGGCCATAAGGCCATCAATTTCCGCCCAGTTTCGACACAGATTTACACTGCGGACGTGTCCAATCTCTAGATTTTCAACAAATTCTTTGATTTTTTCTTTCGTTCTCAGATCTTTTGGAATCCCGGTCAGTCTGAAGGTGCGGTCTGTCACAGTAGACTGAGTACCAAGATAGTCTTGCCTGATCTTGACCACTCTGAATGTCTCTGTGTTGACGAAGTACATTGTCAAGAGTGAGAAGAACCATGTGAAGACGAGGTATGACCAAAGATAACTCCATCCTTTGTCGTCATGCTTATTGGTATTTTTTGCGGTGAAGAGAAACGATTCGTCAAGATATGGGTTGTTGAAAAGCAAGCTATGTTGAGCCGAAGAGTTATCGTGACGCTCCGGAGGGTTCCAGTGGTAGGTATCGAATGCTCTGTGTATAGGCCACAAAACTGTTACAGAGAAGAAGAACATTATCCCAAATAGGCGGAGAGACATCTTGAAGAAAGAGAGGAACTATTTGGATCGTCATCAGTTTATGTTTCTCCACCACGCTGTGCATTACGATGCTTACCACAAACGCGTCTAAGCCGGCAGAGGCCAAGACTTGCTCCTCCGTCACCTTATATAAGGCTGGTATCCATCCTAGAAAACTATCGGGAAGAACAGGCAGGGCAATTTCGGGGTTGCTGTGTCGCTTTCTTGCGGCATAGAGTGTTTTCCATCGGGGACGAAGAATCTAGACCGAGCGGGTACATGTTAGTGCGACACATATGCCATACCAAGATCAGCGAGAACTTACACAAAAAGCTATGAAGGCAGATATCCCCAAAGCAAAAGAGATGACCAGCTGTACAAAGATATCTTTGCTTCCTGGGGCGAGGGCGGCCTCACCTTGGCACGTCCCGTCATCATCCGCCATGGTCACTACGAGCTTCAGCCGACAGCAATGGAGATAGCTTAGCAGGTTCTAGGGGTCATAGTGGTGATGAGCATGAACAACGAGAGAGTCTGTACAATAAATCGTCGGGATGGCAGTGTGCTGGAGCTTCTCTGGGAGATCACATCACTGACGTAATTGTCATGCGCTGTCCCTTCGTCCGCCACATTCGAATAACAGTTTTAGGTAGAGGTTCCTGCACATTGTTTCAGTGGGGCACAATGTGGCTGAAGCACTACGCACTAGGTACCTAGGTAGGTACCATCCCAGCCTCCCCCTGCGTAACACGTACCTAACGCGTCAAAACGCGTGCTGTAAGGTACCTAGTAGGTACAGTCCACCTCGCCTAGTGGTTACCTAATCTTCTACGTAGTACTCAACAATGTCGATACATCTAGATTGCCCAACATAACACCACCTAAATAAAGCTTGGTTTTGACACTGAAGGGTGCCCGCCATGGGAATATCTCTAGGAGCATCCTGGGGCAACCTTAAGTAGGTATCATGGGTCTCACGCTAAGTCTACATACTTAGCACCTTGGTCTAGCCTGCCGCAGGTACCCGCCCGGGGAACCTTTTATGGGCACAGAGGTACCTACTTACCTACTCCATAGGTAGGTACCGTATGGTAATAGGGCTGGCTTGCTGCTTTTAGCTTGGACCCTTGTTTCTGTTTCAAATGGCTGGCATAAATCTTGGAAGTCTTCACTTGGAAACACACATAACCCTATGAGTTGCGAAGAGGAATTAAAAGTCAGAAAAGAATGAAGGGTAGTATGCAAGCTTCGACATTTACGCTATCGTGCGTCAAAGCATCAATCGTTTAACGGAGGAGCACTTCGCAATACGCACTCTTCACTAACCTCCAAGTTAGTGATTTTCAATTTCTGTAATTCATGGTTCTCATAGCAAAGGCCGTTGCTCTTCAAGATCACGCCCACGAGCGGAGTGTTATAGATTGAGTGAGTTAACAAGAAATTAAAGTATATGGCATGAATGCCAGCAATAAGCAGATAACTAAAGGATTGTTCCTCATATGTATGCCTTCGACCTAAGTTGGGCTGTTGGGATGCAAATGATGGTTCTTTACCGTAAGCACCAGGCCGAACGGCGCTGCGATCACGGAGACGCTCCACTGCGGCGGCTGCTCGGCACAACATTATTAAGATGTCTATCTGCTTTCTTAACCGGTTGGGAGTCACAGGACTGCGAGTATTTCACAGTTCTGACACAGCTAACGTAGTACCTAATGACCCTCTTTACGCTTCGATCACCATTACTTTGCTCACAGCCACCGCTCTAATGAATGCATTTGGGTTAGGCCAGCTTCCAACAGCCAGAACAGGGCGCAATAAGCGCGCGTGATGACGAGGTACGAGGGCTTAATCTAAACTCGATCAACATATACCCTAGCTGCTGGGAGACAGATGATCCAAATTTCTGCATTTTCATTCCTGTGACCGGTACTGATCCTTCACTGAGGAACTAAGGCCAGTGGACTATCTAAGATACCAAAGCACAGGCCAGGCAACACAAGACCACGACGACCTATTTCTCTACCTTCACTTTCCCTACAACACTGGAGCAACTAGTCCTCATCAACATATGATGACGTTCTTGAGTGTTATAGACACTTGTGACAAGTAGGTGAGCCAAGCAGTCTCAAACAGGCGCAAGTACTAATGAAATAGCTTTCCGCAATGGGATCCTCAAGCGCCCGAGATCTGGGAAAAAGCGACGTCTGACCTCTGGCGATTCATGTTGCCGGGGGATAACCGCACATTTGGATTTCTTACCCCCACCACTGTATCTCGAATGCCCTGGACGGCCGACTTCAAACTCCACCATTCCTCAAGAACTGTACAGCTGGCCCCGGAGACCGGCACAGACGATGTTGTCCAATCCAGCACTGTGGCAGTGACGAAACTTTTGCAGGCAGCACAGGCGGCCAGCTCATTCCCCAGACTATATAACTGGCCAGGAGAGAAGTACCCTGTGCTCGGAGCACCATTCCCGTTTGCCGTGGACCGAGCTATAGCACCCTGTTTCGGCATTGTAACCACAGGCGCTCAACTAACCGTCTTCACTCGCGATGACAACGGCTCGATTGCTGGCATTTGGATTGCCAAGCGAGCAGCTGACAAGCCCATGTTCCCAGGCATGTTAGATAATGCGGTAGGCGGGGCGGTAATGGACGGCGAGACACCCCGCGAAAGCCTGCTGCGTGAAGCGATGGAAGAGATCGGGATTGATGTGAAAGACGCTACGCCTGCAGGAGCAGTGTCTTGGTTCAACATCAAAGATGAAAATCATTTGGAGCCTGGAGTACAGTCCGTCTACGATTTAGAACTCGAGGCTGGAACCTTACTACGCCCCGCGGAAACTGGAATTGAATGGCTCCGGCTGCTAAGCATTGGCGAGGTTATGGACGCACTGCGCCGCCATGAGTTCAAGCCGAGCTGCGCGTGTGTCATGGTTGACTTCTTCGTTCGACATGGTATAATTACTGCCGAAACTGATCGTGACTTTCCAGACATTGTGTCGCGATTGCACCGTAGGTTACCATTCCCAACAAAGCTGCCTCCCCAGTGGTCCATTTAGCCAATGTCAAATCAACAATTCAGCATCCAGGTTCTATTGCACATCTCTCCTGCTCGTTCAAGCCCAATGGTGAAGTAGGGCCATTGTTAGGCTGTTGAAACTCATGAGCCTTTTCTATGGTCACTTACATCTATATACCTACCCAGCCGGCAGCTAGCCTACTGGATAGATCTTAGAGGTTCTAGACTAGGTCACGCCCAATGTGATAATGAGGGACGGTATCGCCATCTAAGTACAGCACGTTAGGTAGGAGAGCTACATGGGTAGTGTAGATGAGAATTTCCAGAATCTATTTCTGCAAATTATTCGCCAGCAGCAATTTCACTTGGTTACCTGTAGAGTAGAGTACCCATTGCTCGCAATTTAAGGTAGGCAGGCAAGAGTGAGGCAGAACAGCACCTAAGTAAAGTCGTACCTACTACATGATAGAGGTGGGTACTTGGGCAATTACCTAAGTACCTACCTAGTGGGTACATAGTAAGTACCTAGGTAGGTAGGTATTGTAAAAGCGGCGTGGCTCAAATGCTAGGTAGTTGTGATGCTGGGGGTGCTTGCATTAGCGTACCAGCAACCTGGAAAGCTCCATCGTGAATTTCATCAGCATGCCTTGACAGTAGATCCCAGCCAGCAACCCATTCCAACCTTCTCCTACCCAGACATAACGCTATGTGAATTGCCTCAGGCGAATACCCGAGCGAATGAATCATTCGGCACTCCTCACGCTTCTCTATGATGGCTGGCCCGACAAAAGAGAAGAGACAACAGTCTCTAACCAGTTTCTTCACTCCCAAGACCGTGAACGCCACTCCTCGCACGCCTTTGGGTCAAGCCCATGAGCCTGCCAACTCTAATGTGCATGTCGACAGTTTCCTCGACGTGCCCCAAAAACGACCACTCGAGGAGGATACCGACAACGGCAACCCGGCGCCGGTAAGGAAGAAGTCCAAGAGCACTCTTGTGGAGCGGCAGAGCACTACTCTTCCTAGATCCAAAGCCGAGAGTCTCCCTGTTGCTACGCGTCCCAGTCAGCCGAACGCCCGCACGGAACGCTACCTTTATGATGGGTCGAGCCCCCGCGACGGACAGCACACGGTCAACGAGGATGAACAGCAACAGGATGATGCGGAGGAGAAGAGGAGGAAAGAAGTGCTGCATCGCAAGTTTGTGCAGAAACTCGGCCGGCCCGACAGCATCGCACTGATGAAGCGACGCAATCACCAAATTGACGATGAGACTCATGCTCTGAATAATGAAGACGGCGAGGAGGAAGAGGAAGACGACACGCCACAACCCACAAAGGCGAGGAAGAAGGGCGCCAAGACTGGCAAGCTCACACCAATGGAGATACAATTCCTCGACATCAAGAGGAAGCACACGGATACGCTCTTAATTGTTGAGGTTGGCTACAAATTTAAATTCTTTGGCGAGGATGCACGAATTGCTGCGAAAGAGCTTAGTATAGTCTGTATCCCTGGTAAGCTTCGCTACGATGAGCATCCATCAGAAGCCCACCTCGATCGCTTCGCGTCTGCAAGCATACCCGTCCATCGGCTCCCCGTCCATGCGAAACGCCTGGTTGCTGCGGGCCACAAAGTTGGCGTTGTGCGCCAGATTGAGACTGCAGCGCTGAAGAAAGTGGGAGACAACAGAAACGCCCCCTTTACAAGAAAGCTCACAAACGTCTATACAAAGGGAACGTACATCGATGAAGTAGGGGAACTCGATCAGCAAACAGATGCCACTACTCCCGCGGGCGGTTATCTCCTCTGTATCACTGAGACGGCAGCCAAGGGTTGGGGCACCGATGAGAAGGTTGATGTAGGAATTATTGCTGTTCAGCCTGCCACAGGCGATATCATCTATGACATATTCGAAGACGGCTTCATGAGAAGCGAGATTGAGACGAGGCTTTTACACATATCGCCTTGCGAGTTCCTCATAGTTGGCGAGCTTTCAAAAGCGACAGACAAGCTTATCCAGCACTTATCCGGCAGTTCCACAAATGTATTTGGCGACAGAAGTCGTGTTGAGCGGATTGCCAAGTCTAAAACGCTGGCCGCCGAGGCGTATTCACATGTCACCCAATTCTACTCCAATAAACTAAAAGAAAATGAAGGGGATGACCATGCCAGCGCGCTGTTGAACAAAGTTTTAAAGCTGCCCGAAGCTGTCACCATCTGTCTTTCTTCAATGATCAACCACTTGAAAGAGTACGGTCTTGAGCATATTTTTGACTTGACTAAATATTTCCAGTCTTTCAGTGCTCGGCAGCATATGCTGATTAATGGTACTACCCTAGAGAGCTTGGAAGTGTACCGCAATCAGACCGATCACTCCGAGAAGGGGAGTCTCTTCTGGGCTTTGGACAAGACTTTGACTCGCTTTGGCCAGCGACTTCTTCGCAAGTGGGTTGGCCGCCCACTGCTTGATAAAGAGCGCCTAGAAGAACGTGTTGCAGCTGTTGAGGAGCTCCTCAATAATGCCTCGACCGCCAAGGTCGATCAGCTAGAGCATACTCTGAAAACCACAAAAACCGACCTCGAGCGAAGTCTAATCCGTATCTACTACGGCAAATGCACCCGTCCAGAGTTGTTGGCGGTGCTTCAGACCCTACAGAGAATTGCTTCCGAATTCACTCGCGTCAAAGACTCGTCAGACGCTGGTTTTAGCTCAGCAGCGATAAGCGAAGCTATCGCTTCTCTACCGCTTATACTCCCTACTGTCCTCTCTTATCTAGAACGCATTAATGCAGAAGCTGCCCGAGCTGACGACAAATACGCGTTCTTCCGGGAGACCGAAGAGACGGAAGCTATCACTGATCACAAATTAGGAATCGCCTCGGTAGAACAAGAACTCGACGCCCACCGCAAGGTGGCCTCGTCGAAGCTTAACAAGAAATCGCCAGTATCCTATGTGACGGTAGCTGGTATCGAGTACCTCGTGGAAGTAGCAAACTCAGATCTAAAACATGTCCCGGCATCATGGATCAAGATCAGTGGCACTAAGAAGCTCTCGCGTTTCCACACCCCAGAAGTTGTGCGCCTAATATCGGAGAGGGACCAGCACAAAGAGGCCCTCTCCGCCGCCTGCGACGTGGCATTCGCATCACTTCTTCGATCTATAGCCTCAGAGTACCAACCCATTCGGGACGCTATCTCCTCTCTTGCGACCCTGGACTGCCTCCTCTCGCTCTCCAAAGTCGCCGCTCTACCAGGCTACACAAAACCCGACTTCCTCCCTTCCGACACGCCGCCCACCATCTCCGTAACCGCCGGCAGATATCCCATTGCCGAGCAAACCCTCGCCACCTCCTACATCCCCTTCAGCACCACCCTCGCATCTCCAACACCCCTGGCACACCTCATAACAGGCCCGAATATGGGTGGCAAATCCTCTTTTGTCCGCGCCGTCGCGCTCCTCGTCCTCCTCGCACAAATCGGCTCCTACGTCCCAGCCGACTCGTTGTCACTGACGCTGGTTGACGCAATCCACACGCGCATGGGCGCCCGCGACAACCTGTTTCGCGGCGAAAGCACCTTCATGGTAGAAGTCTCCGAGACAGCGCGCATCCTGCGCTCTGCCACGCCCCGGTCCCTCGTCATACTGGACGAGCTGGGCCGCGGAACAAGCACGTATGATGGCGCTGCTATTGCGCAAGCTGTCTTGCAACATGTCGTTGAGGACATCCGGTGTCTGACTCTCTTTATCACGCATTACCAAAGCCTCGCCCGTGTCGCCGACGGGCTCGCGGGCAGGTGTACAAATGTGCACATGCGATTCACAGCTGCCAATAAACGGCGCTGCAACGGCGGTAATAGCAGTATGATTGAGTCGCAGGATGAGGATTTGGGTCGAGACGAAGGTCATTGCCATGGTGATGAGGAGATTACATTCCTATATGAGGTTGGCGAGGGTGTAGCTCACAGATCTTATGGTCTCAATGTTGCACGCCTGGCACGGATCCCGCGCAGAGTGCTAGATGTAGCAGCCCAGAAATCGCAACAATTGGAGGATGAGATAAAAAGACGCAGATTAGGCGGCGCCACCAAATTATTGGCAGACGTCCTAGCTAATGGTTCAGATCAGCTTGATCATCTTGTATCTAGCATCGAGCAGTTGTAATAGTACGACACCTGTAGTATTTTGCGCACCGTGTCACAAACATGTATGGTATAGGGACTCAATTGGGCTTGTATATAAGCTGGTATTATCTAAGTAGTATTCATGATACAGAGCGTGGATTCTAGAAGATCATGTGTCATAGCCACAATTGAGAATCTCTAAGATGCGGATATTTCGGACTATTAAACCTATGCCCCGGAATGATCAGATCAAAGAATGAAGGAAATATATGTGGAATGGCAGATTTACCCCAACCTATCACATCCCACAGGAATACGGCAAGGTTTGCTGATTGGTGGTGAGACACCAGATTCATCCCAAAGGTGGTTTGGTTCAGAAGGCAGTTCAATCCTCTATTATCCACCCTGTCCGAGAGTTTCCCAGCGCCTCAGGATGGCCGAGTGATAGGATACATTTGATGGGTGACTAGGAGGGATAAATCGTTGAAATGCTGGGATTGTGGTTTATCGGACCGGAGAGTTCGTTGAATGGAGGGAATGAACGGACACTATCTAAGATGATTGCATACCAATCGAAGATAGTAAATTGATGAGCAACCTACGATGGGTATGCACAAGAGCGTCTTCGAAAGTCACGCCAAGAGCGCGTAAATTGAGAACCGACAATACCTTCTTCGAATGTATAGAAGTTCTAATCAGCTCGACTTCCAAGCGTGAAACGAGGGCAGGAAACTTCATCCGCATAAGCAATGAATCTATTGAATCTTGCTAAACCATCAATTTGCGTACGCCGGTTAAGTTGTAGGAGAAATCAGAGGGGTAGAAAACAAGTGGTGAGCAAGGCAGATCGATCATGAGAAACTTTGTCTGATAATCGACACTTCATGTGAGGGCTGTCCCACATATCGATGGCTTATGATAAGTTCGCGAGACTTGGAACAGGCTGGCCAGACCCGTCAAAACATACAAACAACTGGCAAGTTATACTAGGACTGCGATGAAGAATCTTCGTTCTGAAGAGATGATTGTGACTTTACAGTGGATAGTCATCACCGCCAGACTGACCACGGTGATATGGATTGCCCGTCATATTAGGCATGTGAGCTGAATCGTAAGCCGAACTGCTGTTGATGGGATTGAAGCCTGAAGATCCTGAGGTTTTGGGATCTTCATCATATGGGGAGTACAGGCGGTAGCCATATCCATCCCGGGGTTGTGGGCACAGTGGGTTATAGCTGTTGGGCTCCATTGAGTCACCTGAGGGGTGTAGGTAGGGACTGAATGAAGATGGTGATTTGATAAGGAGATGGCTGTTCTCTTTTCCAGAGTACTGTGGTGGGGATTTCTTGAAGGTGGAGGCTGGTGAGGCAAAGGCGGTGTTAGGGTTACCTGGTCGCAATGCCAGGCCAGAGGCGCGCTCATGCCTGCAAGCTTCAACTTAGCTTTCACTCAATGTATCTGAATAGTTGGACTCACTGCTGTCGTCGTACGGTTCTTCCGACGGAGTTGTGAACATGGGTTCGGAAATCTGCCATGGAGTCATCAGACACTGTCCTATGAGTCCATGGTAGGCCTGCGAACCTTCATCATCGTCTAATTCATGAGCATCAATACGAAGCGATGTTGCATCAGGGTGAAGCCCGTGGTGATGAACTGGGATTTGCCTATTGGTGGAAGATCGCGTGATTCTTCTATTTGCTATGGTGAGTTGTGGTGTAGTCGAGAGAGATGCATTTTGAGATTTTCGACTGGACAAACGAGAACTACGCGTTCTTCCTACTGTTTGCGGCTGCTGGCGAGGCCTAGTATTTGTTCGACGCTTGGTCGACGTATAGGAAAACTTCGTCTTGGTTCTGCGCTTGGTCCGCGTTTCGTTGACAGCAACATCATTCTCGTCCTATAAATCTATCAATCTCTTATTCATGAATGAGAGGCCATTAGTCATATTTACCTCACTTCCATCAATTGATGGCTCGTCGTATACATCTCGCGTTCTTTGATGATCAAGATTAGTGTCTAGAACCTCCTCAGCTCTGGTCACTAGTTGGGAGTTTGCCTCCAGTTTCAGGAGCACAGCAGGGTCTTTCTTCTGATTTCTCATGCGTCGATCTTTCTCTGTTGCAGAGTCGAACCCGGCCATTCCTGGATAAACCACTCCTTTAAGAATTAGTGCGCCTGTGTCATCCTCAATTGTCTCCGGCGTGCCTTCAGGTGGGAATGGGCTGTAGAGTTCTGAAGGCTCGTACTTCGATGAGTCCTCATCGTCATCAAAACAATTGTTGTACTGGCCCGTAGTATGGTTCAGATAGCTGTTGGCATGGGCCGAGTAAGGGGAATCAGAGGGCCACGCGTACGTGGGATGTGTTGAGGCATAATACTCATGTCGTTCATGAGCACCATCTTCCTCTGATTCAAGTTTGATAATATCCCCATTGATTGCATCTGTTCTTCCTTGGCGACTTCTGGCTTTCTACGGCTTAAGATTAGACTAGAGAAGGCCAGGCATGTGAATAGGAAAAACAGGGCTGGAGAAACTTACCCCGCCGCCTCGGCTCCTGCGGTTAGAGCGGCCACCACGAACATTTTGATGTAGAGGCAGTGAAGTGTCCCCTCCAAAGCCCAACGAAGCTTGACTCCGTCGTTGTTGACTGTCTCTCTGTTCCCTCGCAGACTTTCGAGCACGCAGCAATGCGCTGATGTTATTTTGCTTATACCATCTGTCGAAGTCTGTGAGAGCGATATCGGCACTCATATCAACCTCGCGGGAAAGATTGAGCTGGAACATGTTGTGGAGGTGGCCTTTGGAGCTTATATGGGTTAGTAGGTGTGAGAGGTCGGAGAAATGGGAGTTCTTTGGACATATGAAACAGGTGAGAGGAATGAGGTCTGTTCTGGGAGGAGAATCATCCTGAGCAACATGGGCGTTCGCCTCAAGCTCGTATCCTGCGGGCGTAGTTGAGGTATCCATCTTAGCAACCGATATTTATTGGACGCTCGTAGCCGAGCCGCCTCGCAAGTTTATCACGTTCCGAGAATCTTTTCGGATTGAGTATGTCGGATTGAATATGTCAGATAGAACAGCCGAGTCCAATATCTTGTGCTGAGGTTGATTAGCAGAATTCAGTCGGCTACTGGTCCATGAATCGGCACAGTTAGATATGGAACACGATTCAAATCGTAAGCTCAATCCCGAAGGAGAACAAGAATGTGACTGCAAGATCTTGGAAGTGTCCTTGTAGGCAGAGGAAGGACTTGAAGTCACGTTCTGAATGATCTCCAAATCAGTAACTATCAATCAACATCTAGGGCATTATGGCACTGGGCAGAAGGACAACGGTAAACTACCGTTACCCTGACTGACGCAGATCAATGAACCAAGACTAGGTAGGGCTATGGCGGAAATAGGGAAACCGAGCGAGAAGAAAACAAGACGCACGCGTGGGCAGTTCGGAGTAGGTAGGTAGCCGTAGTGGAGAATGATGGGGTTTAACATATACAACAAAGCTGGGTGAGGTTATTGTGGGTTAGAGAGGCACAATACCTAAGAACTTGAAGATTTTCATGAGTTTACAGGAAGGGAGTTGTGGAATTGGTATTGCAAAGGAAAGGTACGGAGGATAGGTAGGATCAATTGACAAAGGCTTGTGGGTCGAGCATTAGTGATTAGCAGTTGACATCGTTGTGACATGACAAGATATCTCGGAGGCTGGTCGCGGAAACACGCAGGAAGGGAAAACAGAAGAGATATGGGAACTTGACTATGGAGCTCCCCATGTCCTGATAGCTGAAACATCGACATACCTCGAAAGAACCTCTGATGTATGAACTAGATGAGGCGGGCGTCAAAGAGAAACGTATAGGGACCTGAAGAGTCGGAAACAGAGCCACTACGCACTGAGCGTGATAGAACCGTAAGTAGTGGCGGCAGAGAAAGAATGAGTTAAAGGGTTGAGGATCGAGGATCGAGGGATAAGGGTCGAGAGGGAGATTTTCAATGCTGGACCTGATGAGTGGGAGAAGTAGGTGGGTAGGGAAGTAGGTAGATCTCTAAGGGACGAGGAGGTAGGTGAGCCAGAGGGCGGGAGGGGAGCAACTCGCGCCTTCCAGCCTGTTTCTTGATTACAGGTAGTCTGTGCCTTCTCTAGGAACCCATACTCTCGTCTGGGCAAGTGCACTCGGTACCTCCTTCCTCTGCATTTACCTAGGTTCCTAAGTAGGTATGCAGCTTCAGGCTACCTGCTAGGTGGTCAGTACACCTATGGATGTCTACAGCAGAACTGGTCTAAGGGCGGCTGAGGGCGGCTGAGATAGGCATCTGTTGATACTCTTATGTGGCTGAGGAGGTGGGTTACCAACTTAGCTGGCTGCTTGGGTAACATGATATCTCATAGACACTTACTTGGTAGGAGGTTGGTAGATAAGTACCGAGCACCACCACGGAGATCACATGGATATGACTGCTAGGACATGATGTATCTAACCCATACCTCTTGGTATCTCTAGTTGTTGAGCAACTGTGCTATTTTTCATGCTTCACCTCAATGAGTTTACTCGCGGGATTATAAGTTGAATAGCTCATACATGCTACCTCCTAGGTAGGTAATCAGTCTTTGTTCTGGCTATAATACTTCAAGGCTGACTAGACACAGGTTGGTGAATGGCCCCAACCCACCTGTAAAATTTCCCATGTATTTCAACTTAGCAGTTGTTCGGGAGGCAAAGTATAGGGGATTCAAAGAGAGCAGACAGTGGTAAATGACAAAGTAAGCCTCTCATTCAATGACCGAACTATGAGTCTATGTAATAGAATCAGCTTAACTTCAAAGAGATGACCAAAGGTACCCTGACAAGAGTAGTATTGAGACAGCAGACGGTCTCGTGGTCTTATATGACTATGAAGATTATATGAAGTTTAGGATAAACCTGAACATGAGACCAGGGAATGCAGGATCTGTCACTACGACTTCGTGCCCAATATCCAAACCCAAATCCGTTTTCAGCCTCTTGTCTAGGTTTACCCGTGTCTGTTCCTCAATGCTAGGAGGAAATTGCATGTAAAGAGTTTTGTCATCTGCTCGTATTGAGGGCTTCTTAAGCTGCAAATCTGGCTTTATCGCAAACGAGTCTAGAAGCTCCCTGAGCGTGATGTTGGGATCAACGCGTAGAGGCTTTGCAACTTCGCCACAAACAGCACAGTCTGGTTTCTTGTCGTACTTGAAGGTTGATGTGTAGATGCTGTCATCTCCCGAGTACATCATATAACTCTCTTCAAAGCCTAATGCGGGGGCCGCAGTAGTAGCGATTTTCAAAGCTTCATTACAGCAGCTGGCGGCGATGATAGCGTTTGTAGAGGCGATGGCCGGAATGATGTTTTTCACGACACCCTGCGTAAGGGAATATGTCACACCGGTAATACCAAACTCGGAGGCTCGTGTTGATGCCTTTTGATACAACCAGGTAATGTGTTCTGGATCATCCTTGTCTAGAGTAGGGAATGGTTTTTCTTGATCCCACGCGATGATGTGGGCCCACTCTATGCAGTGCTCTGGCTGGCGAGGGATTGTGGCTAATGTGCAGAGAGGGACTGCCGCTCTCGGGGTGTAGAGGTCCAACTGACACTCAATACATGGCGTCAACGTTGGAAAGATGACACGAGTTTGGCCCTTGAAACCTGAATGGGCTATCAGCTATGAGAGTGAGGTGTGCCAATGTCTTACTGTACTCACCTTCGGTCCCGCCGTCTATTAATGGCTTCAGTGAGTCCTGATTGTCCATATCGACCATGTTCACGAGCATCGCATTGATCCAGCGTCTTGCCTCTATGCTATCTAGTCCACAAACGACGATTTGAAATTGCATATAAAAACTTTCATCGAAGTCTTGTATACGACAATTATGGGGTGTAATTCTGACGCCCTTGACTCTTCTCTCGACGAAGGCCGCAGCAACTTCAGCCTTAAATTTTCCTACATCGTCTTGGCGAAAGAGAAACTGTCGGTTGAGGTTGGATATGTCAATGGTGTCTGCTCGCTCGGGGACATATTAGCTCGGATGAAAGAGGCTTGGATTCCCAAGGTTCTGACACACCCATATCAATAACATGTATATTCCTGAAGCCCGAAAGCGCCAGGTTCTTGAGAATTTCACAACCCAATCCGCCAGCCCCTATGACCAGTATCTTGGCCTGGCCCAGCCCTTCTAGAGCGGCTTCGCTAACGTCTGAATCTTGGTTGAAGGGGCCAGGGTTCCTTCGTATATGGTCTAGGTACTGCCATCGCCTTGTCCCATTGCTGCCGGTCATGTTGGAAGTGGAGTTGCAAAGTGTAGCTCGAAGGGCTCCCCCGCAGCCGATCTCAGTAGAAGGTGCACCTGTTCTCAGGAACGATATCTCTCAGGGAGTATCGGATCGTTGAGTTTCCCTTAAAGACGGCTGATACCGACATATTACAGGTATAGCATGCCACGGTGGAGGGGGAAGCTAAACAAATATCCCGGCCAGTCGATTAGTACCTAGGCGAGTAAGCCTCCACTGCTTGGAACAAAGGCCGCTTATCTCTTATCGCTGTGTATGCCCCGTCAATGAAGCTTGTCCTAGGTAGAGGATGTTTAAGGAATTATATAACTAGGTAGCTGGCCATTCTTCGCGTCTTCATTTCAATTTACCAACTAGTCATGTTGATCTGAATACCTGGTTATCTGGAAATGAGAGCATCTGCCTACAACCTTACAGTTAGCCTTGTATTGAGTTCTGATACCCAGAGCTTTACCACAATCCCTTCTAAGGAACAACGTCATTGTGAAATATATGGGGCGCGGGTACATCCATAGCGGGGGTAGTGCCCCTAGCCTCTTAAGAAACGCTAAAGTTCTCAAGGTTACTGGTAGGTAACTTGTGTTGGTAGGTAAGTACTTTGCAGATAAGGTACCTATATAGGTAGTTAGGTAACTAGCGCCCTTTATCGATATTGAATATTGTTAGATCCGGCATTTAAATAAGCGTTTCATCTCAACGGCTATGTAATTATGAGTAGGATTAGGGTATTTGGGCACCTGCTGCTGCACTGGCATAGGGTCCGTCTAGGAGGTTGATTGTCCTCTGCTGGCTGAGAAGGAGTAAGTAGGTTACCTAAGTATCTACCAAAGAGTTTCCTACAACCAGGCCCTTGGGAAGATATGTTGCGCACTATATCGGTAACTGAATAAATATCCACCTAGAGGACGTTAGATTATGCCCGTAGGGATCTAATCTGCGTGCAACGATGTGCAATGTTTGTCGCCCGATAAGAGGATGGTGAACATGTTACAAGCATCTGCTTGAGCAGTCTACACACATGAAAGTCTGCTCGCTGAAGCCATGGCAGATTCTCTCAGACTGGCCCGCCCGGCAAACAAGAAAGGGGATCGACCTGATGAATTCCTGAGTCTTTCAAAGGCTACCAACCCTCTAGAGGTTCCACAGGCCGTATTCCGAGGCAAATCACCCGAAGAAGCATTAGAGTCCCTCAAAAACCAGCCCAGTTATGATACACTACTTGCAATTCTAGAATACCTGCAAAAAGGAGTCAGAGAGAAACACGACTTTGATATACGGAAACCCGGTCCGCTCAGTGCGCAAATCATCCATATCCTCGTCACCGAGGTAATTCCAAATTACTGGACGGTTCTGCGAGAGGCTTCCGACAAAGGCGGAAGTGATCTCATACTTGCCTGCCTACGAAGTCTGCCAGGAATCAATGCTACACTTACGTACATACGATCCCTTATACAGTCAGCCAAGACTCGAGCCAAGGACTCAAGCACATCTCATATAATATTCAACTTGATTTACACATCAAGCCTACTGGCCGCGCTTCTTGACAATGATAATGAGGTGATGCGTGTATGGGATCATATCGCCGCTACTAACGATCTAATACGCTGCCGGACTTTGCGACATGAGTTCTTGTCGCTTTTTACTAATGGGAGGATTGTATCCTTATCCGCGGAAGCTGCGGATATTTGTCGACAGGCTGGTCAACCTATTGAAGCCCTGTGGACCGCTGACAGCAAGCAATACATACGCTGGCTCGCTCATACTCAAGCCCGATGGGTTAAATCTCAGCCCAAGGAAGAAGACCTCAAAGTTTGCGCTGAGCTTGGTGCACGAACGTTGAGGCTAGGGCATTCCGGTACGCTGGGATCTTGTGTTGAAAGGAAATCACTAACTTATTGCTACTAGAAATACTCGTGCAAACACTTTTGACCGAGTTACTTCTTCGAGATGAGGCTGGCAAAGAGATGTTCAGTACGCTGGTCAATAACTACCCCTTGACTGAGCAGCGAAAAGTCTTGCTCTTAGTCTTGAAGCTGCTGTCAGACTTCTATCTCAACTCTATCAACAACACTGATGCCAACGAGGAATATCCAACAATTTGGGCCTCTGTGGGTGTTCTCGAATCCATTATTGCTAATAATGATGCTCAGAGGGATAATCTTGTGACTTGGCTCACAAGTGCAACTGGAGCAGGGGTTGGGGAAGGATGTGGCATTAGACGGGCCGCTGTTGCTGCTCTTGCTGTACACAGGGAATCCATCTCAACAGTGTTGGAGAGGAGCCTCAGCCAGTTCAGTGACCAGCTATATATCAAGCACGCTCCAATACTACAACAAGAAGGCATGTTATATCAAAGATTTGATCTACCACACCACCTGAGGGCTAACCAAGGTACAGCGCATGCCCAAGTTCTCCTGCTGAGTGCTGGATACGTTCATCGATTAGCTCCCATGAAGCTCACTATCCTTTTACGATCTAGTTTATACCTTAATGCTATATCTAATAGACTTGCCGTATCGCAAAATCGGGCACGTTTTCTCGGAATGGCTGTCGGTGAAGCGCTTTCTGGACTAATACATGCGAAAGACACCAAGCTCGATTTTAAAATGGAGGAGATGGCTACAGATGAGGCAGATTGGTATAAGTCTTTGGTTCATGTGTCTGACAAAGCTGGTCCTTTGGACCCGTTGAGGACCTCCATGTTTTCATCACAACCAAATAACCCTAAACAACCAGCTAAGCTAGCGAAGGAGCAAAGAGCACCACCCTCTAAAAAGAACATGACGAAAACAGGCTTCATTATCGAAGAAGTAGAAGATGACGAGAAACAGGAAGATCCAGACCTGATGCCTTACGCGAAACCTGACTCGGATGCGGAAGATTCGGATGATGACCCAACACTAATAAACCGAGACAAACCCAAAGCACCTGTCTATATCAGAGACTTGATCAATTATCTTCGAGATATAGAAAGCTACGACAAACAAAAACTGGCTTTAACAACAGCACCTACTCTAATACGACGGAAGGCGAATTATGGAACAGAAGTCATATCCCATGCAGAAGAATTAGCATCACTTCTCGTTGGCCTACAAGATAAGTTCGAACTAGAAAACTTCTATAACCTCCGCCTTCAAGGCATGGTTGCTGTTATTGTGGCGCAACCAGAGAAGATGGCCCCTTGGTTCGCAAAGACGTTCTTTGATGGGGATTATTCTCTCTCACAGCGGGCTTCTATCCTCATTGTCCTGGGGCTGAGTGGGAGAGAGATAGCGGGATTTGACGCTTCGGAGTATACGCTGGCTGCACAATTTCCATCCAAGGCTCTACCAAGCAAGATTGAGAAGCATTACCTGCAGCCATCATCTACATCTAATACAGCTCAAACAGGCGCTAACCTCAAAGCACTACCTCCCAACGCCCTCGACACCCTCGCACAGTCATTATCCCAGACATTCCTCGCCCCCATGGCAGCTGAAGCAGCAGATGCTGCGACCGGACCCGACGCCCTCAAGCTCTCTTCATTCACGTCACGTCTCAATAATTCCAATGCCAATCCTCTGATATCCTCTAAGTCCAAGTCTCGTGGGATCCGCTCAATACCAAACAAAACGGCATCCGTGATCTCCACTTCGTTCTTCTTCCCCCTTTCGTCTCGGTTTCAAGCCGCAATGCGGAGCCCCGCAGCCAGCAAGATCATATTCCAGCCCTACCTTCTCGCGCTCTACCTCAAGACTCTGGGGCTGCTCGTCCACGCTGCGGGGCCATCTACTCTTGCGCTCCCTCAGATGACAGCCGAATTATGGGACTTGTTGCTCGGGGTGCGGGGGCAATGTCTAGGCTCGAACACCACGGATAGTGAGAGCTGGGGCGACATGGCCGTGACGCATGCCGTGCTCATGGCCCTAGCAGCCTTGCTTGACGTCAATGAACGGGATGTACGCGGGTTATGCGAGCGTCAGGGCCGTCAAGTTGTCGAGAGCATGGAGTGGGTTGGCAATCTATTCCACAACACGCGGGGAGGCGAGGGCGCGGGCGAAGAGAACGATGTGAAGATGCTTGCTGCTGGTATCTTGATTCGTTTGCGTGAGGCTGTAGACAAATACCAAGCTGTTCTGATGGGAGATCTCGTTGGGTTTACCTAGATGCGTCACTGTAGAGCCCGACATCGAGATAAAGCGCCTCCTAGTCCACCTCACCTGGAAGGCACTATGGAACTTAGAACTGCTGATTTAGTTGTCCGTTACGCATGCAATAGATGATGCAAACCATCATACCTACTGGTCGAATTTAGTTACATCGTCTTAAGTGCAAGGTACCTTTACATTCTACTTTGAGAATTGCGAATGCTGAACGAACTTTATTTCCTTCAGACCTGGTATCTACCTATTAACTCCAATACAGACATGAAGCCCGTGTACATGAAACACGCTTTTCTGTGAAAATATCTAGCTATCTAATCATCACGGGTAAGGTGGCCCCCAGCCCGCCGGGCATCCATCTCCGCCACCTGCTCGCCTATCATGGACAGGTGCTCCCCGAGACTTCCAATTAGTCTCCTCATCTCTTCTGCTACTTCCGCTCCAGAGGCCCGTCCCTCTAGGACGTGCAAAGCTGGCGGTTCGACAAACGGTAGTTGGACACTGTAGTTGCCATTCTCCGCATGATCAGGTGGGTCTTCTGACTCTGGTTGGGTTGCTCGCGCAATACGCTGGGCATATTCCGAGTCCTCGGACACATAGATTGATGGTTCTCGGGTGGTGAGGGGGAGGGGAGCATATACAGAGGCATGGCGTTCTAGATCGAATGGGCCGACGCCGCCCATCTCTGAGCTAGCAATTGAGCCAACGTCCGAATGTGAGGTCGACGGCCGATTTAGTTCTGGCGCATTTGGTTCCGGCATGCTCATGTCAAGGTCGATCAAGCTACCAACGGACATACGATCATTTACACTCCGGGGTACTTCTAGATCGTATCCCTGCGAGGGCAACCCAGCGGGCTCTGTTTCATGATGAAGCAGTCTGGGGCGCTCCTCGCCGAATTGAAAGTGCGAGAACTCGGGATTCGCAGAGGCTGGCGGGATGTTAGTAGGCCAAGACCAATCCGGTGCATGTCGCCCGTTATTGAGATCTGCTGGATCGCTTAGAGGGGCACGGTTGTGTGATACAGGCTCTGCAGCAGATGCAAATGACCAGTTATTGTCCATGGAAGCACGAGGGCCAGGGCCGGGAGCGGGTTTGATAGTGCCCATATCGGCAAAGCTAGAAAGTTCTTCTCCGCCTAGCGAGGCATCTAGATCTATGAGTGACTCTCTGAGCGTTGCGTGAAGCGAATCATCGCGGAGGGGAAGATCGGATATAGGCGGTTCAGAAGGTGGCGGCATCGTAGGACGGCCATAGTATGCGCGAGAATTCTCATCGTAATTAGAGATAGTATTGGGGTCAAAGACCTTTTCTAGAGGAGCTTTCATAGCGGCTAAAGCCTGGGGCGGTGGGCGGCGGCGCCCTTTTGCTTTGGGGCGAGCTGTATCCTCACCACTGAAGCTTGGAAAGTCAAAGGCCATGCCATACACATCTCGCACAGCTTCGATTTCTGATGTACCATCTCTCTCGCTTTGAAGTTGTTCATCAAACGCAAGTGTTGTTGAGAAGTTCCACTCATCAGCTGCAAGAGAAGTAGAGTCAAGGTCTGCTGGTGCCTGGGCGCCAAACCCCGCAAACAGGGACTTTCTGCTCCCACCACGATCCTCCCAAAGCTTGAATGCCTTGACAAAGGCCGCAAGAGATGAAGTTGGATATTGGGTTTCTGTGTTGAGGATATAGGGATGTTGCTGAATCTGCTCGATGGAGGGGCGCTTTGTCGGATCATCTTCCAGACAGAAAGCAACCAGGCTTTTCAGGTCCTCGGAATATTGATCTCCAGATAGGCGGGGAAGATGCTCACGCAGGTACTCCCCAAATTGAGGTATCCTAATATTGGACCGGACATTTGGTGGCAGCCCCGACGCAATCTCATATACCATAGACCCAAAGGCCCAAATGTCAACCTCAGTCCCGTACTGTGCATTCTGATCAAAGAGCTCTGGTGCCATCCAGTGCAAAGTTCCAATGAAGGTGGTTCGTTTGTCGAACTTTGTCTCAACCATACCGGCCACACCAAAATCGCACAGCTGCACGCCACCGACTTCTGTTATCAAGACATTTGCACACTTGATGTCTCTGTGGATGATGCCTTGTTTGTGCACCCAGTGGATTGCAACAGCAACTTCGCGTAATATAGGAATAATCCACTTCTCTTGAAGACCTCCCGGAGCTGTTGGCTTCATGAGCGTTGCCACACTGCCTCCAGCACAGTATTCGGTTACCATCCACATAGCCTGACCAACAGGCAATGCCTCAATGACGGTATTCACGTTCTTGGCACCACTATCGCTCAATAGGCGTAGTGCATTGATTTCTTTGAGGAACTCACTGTATGTATCTTGGAGCTTAGGGTTTAGAGTGTCTTGTTCGTCGACGTCGATGATTTTGACAGCCACAATATTAGATGTCTTCACATCATTTGCTTTGTAGACTCGACCAAAACTTCCTTTTCCAATCAGTTCTGTAAGTCGATATTCTGGGACTGGTTTCCCACTTCGCGTACACTCTTCTTCCACGAAAGCCTGCATCTTCGCAGCATCCTCCACAGCTTTCTGCCGTGATGCAGAGGCCCCCAGCCCCAAAACTTGTAAGCGCTCCATATTTCGTGGACTTCTCTTACTTCTTGAAGAATGCTGCCAGTATCTTCAATGCTATGAAAGACCGTTAGCACAGGCTGAGATGCATCAGAATCAGATATGCTGGGACAGTCAGTGGAGAGAGAACGGAATTGGTCAGGTCTAAAAACCAGGGATGGGACAAATGCTACTGGGTAGATTATTTGGTAATGAAAGGTTAATAATACATAACGTAATAGTCATGAGAGATCCTATTTGCAAGCGCCCATGCCACGCTAAGTTACTTGCCTCACGGTGTCTTTGTTTTCAGGAATGGTTGGCAAGTGTGGCCTCCAAGGTCCTGGACGCCCCTGGAAGTGCCCAACGGCTACAGCGCTCATGGAGTTTCTCAAAAATATATAGTACTGGTCCATTTTCTTTCGGGTGTTCATGACAGAAGATGGGATTTGGTGTGTATTGGTTGTGCAGTGGTTGTGTGAAGCTTGCATGAAGGGTCTCGGAAATAAAGATGGAAGAAGATGACTCACTCAATGTTAGAAACGCGTCTAAGGAAGCTGTATCTTCTGGAGCTGGTAGCTGAAGTCGATTCTTTCACCAGTCCTTCCGTCTTAGCGACGGTAAGCAAAGCTCCATAACCAGGCGTATCACACAACACCCAACCTTGCTTGTCTCGTGCCCCTCAACGAGGAGGCTGAGATATGGGTCCGGACGAAGTCGTAGAGTTCAAATCCACTACATGTAGAATCATTGGGAAGAATAGGCTAATACCCCAGGATGGTGGTTGCGTGGGCCGAGATGGCCGGATCAATGTTGTTGAATAAGTTGATATGAAGCATCCTGTTATTGGATTTTAAGTGGCATCATGAGGCGGAATGCTGCCCTTAGCAGACAGAGTACCTTACCTCCCTTCATGCGACAGGGGGTGTTGAGTATCACGCTAAACTAGATCCGGTGCTAGTGTAGGGTGCAACCGCGCTAAAAAAGTGCGGCTGCTAGGTACACGTAGATATTACTACTCTGTAGGTATATGGAGTACTTTGGGTACCGACCTACATTATGTGAGGTACCAACCAAGTCTACCTATTTGATACATTTGATACCATAGGTAATAAATACTCTGTAGATGATACTTACTATACATGTAGAGCTGGGCATTGAATCAATTCGCTATGTAGGTACCTAGAGATGGTCATAGAGTTTTAAAGTGTTGTTGAAATGATATGCATTTATGTATACCTAGGTAGCTTATGCAACATTAGGTGTTATACCCAGGTTTCTTTTCCTTCTCTCTATTCCTGAGCCTTGACTGGAGATTCCACTCATGTCTTTGATGTACCTCGTGTGCGAACCTGAATCACTGTGGCACGACCTGAAGGGGCTGTATAGTCTCAAGAGAACGGCGACTCTGTAACCCATCTTGTTGGGAGAGTCTGCCTGTCTGATGGGCATCTACATTAGACTGCTTCGTCCACCGATCTCCATGCTGCCTTGCCCATCACGCATTTCACCACTGCGTCCTACGACAAACTCATGGTAGATGCGTTGTAGTCGGCCTCGTTCTTGAGAGCTGATGCTTGCCCGCGTGCCTTCGAGTGCTTTTACCATGTGCTTCCAGCCAATTAGCACTTCGGTGTCTTTGCTAGACTTCGGCTTGTCGCCATGATCTTTACTTGCAAAACTAACGCCTTGGTCGCCCAGCTTCGCATGCTTTCTGGCGGCTTTAATTTCGGTAATCTTTGCAGCAATAGCCGCATGTTCAGCGAGCTGAGCCGACCTGCTATTCCCTTTCTTTGCCAGGTTCTCGGCTTCCGCCAACGACTCTTCAACACCATAGCGAAACTGGATAAAGTTGCGCGCACGGACAACACTTGCTGACTTGTCACGCTTATTTCCGGTGCCTCGCCTGCCATCTTGCGGCTGCGACTCCAGCTCGTTGAGGACGTCGTGAATAGCCTCAAGCTGAGCATTAGACATGAGTGCCTGCAGGTCGGCGCCTGAAAATCCTTCGGTGCGCTTTCCTAGTTCCCTTAATGCGTCTTCTGAAGCTAGTACTTCTTCGTTTATTTTGACCTTTTTAGCTAATGCTTGGAGAATGTCAATGCGATCTTCTATGTTGGGAAAGTCACACAACAGGCTCTTGTCTAAGCGCCCAGGACGCAACAAAGCAGGATCGATTAAATCGGGCCGTGAGGTAGCAGCTAGAACATAGACGCCAGATAGCCCTTCGGCACCATCCATTTGTGTGAGTAGCTGGTTGACCACGCGGTCCGTAACTCCGGTAGAATCATGTCCACGTTTAGGCGCAATAGAGTCGAATTCGTCAAAAAATAAAACACAAGGCTTCGCTGCCGAGGCTCTCTCAAATAAATCGCGTACACTCTTCTCACTGGCACCAATATATTTGTTCAAGATCTCTGGGCCCTTGACGGAAATAAAGTTGAGTCCGCACTCTCCAGCTACTGCACTCGCTAGTAGCGTCTTGCCACAGCCAGGATAGCCATATAAGAGGAGCCCAGAGCGTAGTCGAAGAGGGCACTGTGCGAAAATCGGGGCGTACTTGGTCGGATATTGTAGAGTCTCCAGCAAAATCTGCCTTGTCTCCTGGAGGCCGCCAATTGAGTCGAAAGTGGTTGTCGACGTCTGTAGTGTAACGTTGCGAAGCGATGCCGGCGTGAATCCTTTTAAGGCACTATCAAAATCTGTTCGATTAAGTTGAACGATATCGAGAGATTGCTTGGAAGATATTTCACCCAAAGACCGGATGAGTGCCTCATTTCGAGCTCGAGAAACAAGGAGGATGAGATCCCCGGGCATATATCCATCCGTTTCTCCAGCAAGATCGAGAAAGTCAAGATCCGGGTCCAGAAGGAAGCCATCACCCTTGAAGTTCGATGAAGTGGTGTTATGGGTGGGTTCACTACCTCCATCCATCCATGTACCTCCATCTTCAACACTGCCATCAGCTGTCGTAGGCCGGCTACCGTCTGCAGTAGATGCTGCTTGTACGGCGTCCGGCGCTACGGCATACTGGTTGACAACCATTTCTAGGACCCGCCTGCGCCCTTGTTTGTCAGGCGCTTTCAGGTCGATTATTTCACGGACAATATGACCGCCAATAACGACATTATTGACCGACTCTTTGCCTTGAGCGGTTGCCAATAACACTACTCCGCTATTCCGACTGCAGTATTCGCGCACGATAACCCCGATAATCTCACTAATTTGACGGCTCCGCCCGTTATCATTTCCAACCTGTAACTCGGTCTCAACTGGACATAGCTTATCTATGTCATCGAGGATGACGATTGCCTTTCCACCAAGCCTAGCTCCCCAACTAGCTGCCATGAAAATACGCTTGAGGGTCTCCTTGATAGTAGATATTCTGCTCTCATCATTTACGAGCTTCCGACATGTAAAGTAAGTAGTGTGGAACAGATACTCTTTGCGGAGTGTTTGGGCGAGTTTCTGTGCGACAGCTGTCTTGCCAGCCCCAAGAGCGCCGGTCAACAAGACGGATGACATATGTAGTAAGTGAAACCTCAGATCATCCAGGAGAGAATCAATACCAACCAAATTAGATGAGGTTGGGCATGGATTTTCATCGACACCACCTTGCTCAAGCCATGTTGGACGAGGGATTGGCGCCTGCACATCCATGGATAAAGAGCGCTCAGACCCAATATGCCATCGCAACAAGTCTGGAGTATTTGCATTTGTGCCTGATGTTTCTAACTTCAAGACGCCACCTTCCCAGCCCCAGGGGCAATCCAGCGCATCGTATACCCCTAACACCATTCCATCGGTGAGAGGTCCGTTGAGAAGGCCCGCGCCAGAGCCCTGCGATCCATATATTTGAGCGATTCGTTTTCCAGCCGCTTCCTTTTCGGATTTCGTTTCTCCGCCGAACTTCAAGGCGGCGGAGGCTTTCTCACTCTGGCTTGCAAATGGGAAGATCTTTATCTTGTCTGATGTAGCACGCACAGATGGTTGTGGAGCGGGCTCGACTTTGATAATACCCCCTACGATTCCCAGGCAACCTAGTGAGGCACACAGTGGGGTTGAAAGAGCAGCCGTTTGACTGCTCGGGGGTTCATCCCAAGGCCTCAAATGCACAATTACCCTCTCACTCGACTTTGCAGCTTCAGGGTATGCTATTTCTTGTTGTTGCTGCTGGGGGTCGATAGGGGGCTGAAGCCCCGCTGGCTTGATGATATTGACGGCTACATAATTGACGCCGCGGAAATCCTTTGTTGTGAACAGGTCTCTATCAACCCATACACATAAATCGTTTGAAAAAGATTGGTCGTCGAACCATTCACTGCACAGACTCTTGTCAACTGCCCTCAAATAGATCGCTGGCTTTTTCTCCTCGCGCGCGCTCCTCCTCCGTATTGTGCTTGTTGAACTCTTCCCGCTGCGCCGTGATGTACCGCCCACACTACGGCTTTCACGGCTACTCTTTGGGGGTTGGGCGCGAGTTTTTGGCGCTACTATGATCTCGGCTTCGGGGGCAATCTTGACAAATGGAACATCCCCTGAAGGAGCCGGCGTGATTGACAAAACTTTTATTCTGGCTGTTGATGTCGGCGACAAATGAAGCGTCAAAGCGTGTGGGCTAGAAGGCAGGCCCGGGGTTGAAGTGTACGTGGGGTTTGGCACAGCTCGAATCTGGGACAGCATGTTTAGCTCAAGAAAGGTGGCGTGTAACTCAATGATTTCCCAATCTTCGGGTGTAAGAGGTTCAATGTTGACGGTATGCGCGAGGGGCGGGTCAATGTGAATAATTGCCGTAACTTTCTGGCCCTCAGATAATCCCAGAGTAGCGGCTAACGTGGCATCGAGCTCGACAGACGAAACCTCACGGTCCCTTCCGTTGCTGATGCCATCACGATCTACTATAGGCACAAGCTTGCGCTTGCTGGGCATCCCTGTCCAGCCGACATAAATTGATCGTTGGTTGGGGAGGGGATTAGGTTGGCCTGAGCCATCTGACGTAGGCGCAATGCGGTAGTTGAGTTCGACGACAACATTTTGGGCCGGCTATAGGAGTTCATTTAGTCCAAGGAGGGTATTAGGAGGCCATTCAGCAGAAGGCTTACAGTATTAACATTGACAAGCAGGTTGACAAGAGATATAGGAAGATTCACAAGACACTTCTTGAGATGTACAAGGGAGATCTCGGAGGCGGCTGACAGCGCATTCTTCTTGGAAGCCATGACGAGCTACCATGGAGAACAGTCAACTTTGTACAAGGCGTGAAGATTTGAAGAATGAATGGCAGCTAAAGCACAAAAGTGTAGCGCGCATTTCTCAATGCATAGCAGAGGATAACGAAAGGTTGCGCATGACGAGGATTGGCGAGCGCTGTAAGGTACGTTGACCTACCGGTATCTAGGTAGCTTTAGAGTTATCTACCATAGGTAGGTAGGTATCCATCTGCGTCTGGCTTCGCGGCGCCAGTCCCATTGAACCGAGGTCTGGGGATGGGAACCTTGCATAGACTAGGTACATATATATGTACTTATGTAGGTACATTTGGAGGTACTTACTTAGTTCCTCCTACCTAGGTACTGTACATAGGCAGGTACCCGTCGAACATGATGTGGAGACCAGGCTTTGGGTACCTAGAAACTTCAAGGGTTAAATGGGTGTGGCTGTGCGCTACGCGAAAAGTCGCGCTGAAGCGCGTGTGCCGGTTGGGCGTTGCTTCCAGCCTCCCCTCGTTCAATTGTTTGTAAAGTCGGCTGGTCAATTACATGCTGTGACGGCGCCCACCCTCCATTTTATACTCAGACCTGCCCCAGCGTAGCAAGAACCTCTAATTTGTTTGCGACGATAAAGACAATTGTCATGGCGCTTTTACAATATCGGAATATCGTTAATTACGAGGCGCAACAAGGTGCGAATCTAGTCATTTACAAGTTAGACTTCCTGTACCTTCTGACAACAGAGTTATAGCGGCCTTCGAGACCTTCCTGGAGAAGTTCAAGACATCGCCAGAGCAGAGTCTGACACATGCGATCGGCCAGATCAATATTGACGAAGATGACTTGAGCGACGAATACGATTTCATGGACGAGGACGACGAAGGGCACGAACAGCGCCGAAGAGAAAAAGCTGCCTCGAGACAACCGACGCACAAATATTCCGATTTGATGCAAAAGCTCGCGGATCGGTCAATTGACGAGGTCCTGATAGAATTAGACGATCTGGTCACTGCAAGTTTCTCATGTGACCCCCGCCGCAAGCTCTTCCTGCTAACTAAGCCATGTGTGAAGTACGAGAACGACACAGATGATGGGCTCAAACTAGTTGAGTCAATCGAAGGCAACACAAAACACTATGTCGAAATAGTGTCTAGAGCTATTGATAACAAAATGCCTGCGCCCACCACTGGTGTCACGTACGAAACTGTCCGCAACGTTGTCCAGTTCGACATGCACTAACAACAAATTAAATTTCAGATTCAAGGATGACGTTCTAGATGTAATCATGGAGCGAAGACAGGCTCGGAATCGTGATCTTCTTGAGGCCGCTGCTAATAGTAACGACCCTGAATTAGCCGAAAATATTTTCCCTGCGCAGCTTACTCGCCGATATACCCTCGTTTTCAAGCCAAGGACATCGGATGGAGACAAGCCAATAAAGGCGCTTGCCGTGCGACAAGTAAGGGGCGAGCATTTAGGCCATCTTATTACTGTGCGAGGCATCGCCACTCGAGTGTCAGATGTCAAGCCGATGGTCCAGGTTGGTGCATATACCTGTGATCGTTGTGGTTGCGAAATCTTTCAACCAGTCAATGACAAGCAGTATGCGCCTCTGACAAACTGCCCGTCAGCAACTTGCCAAGCGAACCAGTCAAAGGGTCAACTTTTTCAGTCTTCCCGTGCCTCCAAATTTCTACCATTTCAAGAAATCAAGATACAGGAAATGGCAGAACAAGTCCCTATCGGCCAAATTCCCCGAACCCTGACCATCATGTGTTATGGTAGTTCAGTACGAAAAGTTAACCCTGGCGACGTTGTGGATATCTCGGGTGTTTTCCTACCCACGCCGTATACTGGCTTCAAGGCCATGCGAGCCGGACTATTAACAGATACCTATTTGGAAGCTCACCATATCGTGCAACACAAGAAAGCCTATGACGAGATGATCATTGATGACAAGCTCCTACGACGCATCAGTGCATTCAGTCAGTCAGGTGCCGTATACGAAATGCTAGCGAAGTCGATTGCGCCTGAGATTTATGGGCATCTTGATGTGAAGAAAGCTTTGTTGCTTCTTCTTGTTGGTGGTGTTACAAAAGCAATGGGTGATGGTATGCGAATTCGTGGTGATATTAATGTCTGTTTGATGGGTGATCCTGGTGTGGCTAAATCTCAACTGCTGAAGTATATCTCCAAAGTTGCGCCTCGCGGTGTCTACACCTCTGGCCGTGGTTCAAGTGGTGTTGGTCTCACAGCCGCTGTTATGCGTGACCCCGTGACAGACGAGATGGTCCTGGAAGGAGGTGCTCTTGTTCTAGCCGACAATGGTATCTGCTGTATTGATGAATTTGACAAGATGGACGATAACGACAGGACAGCTATCCATGAAGTAATGGAACAGCAAACCATCTCCATATCTAAGGCGGGTATTTCAACAACATTGAACGCAAGGACGTCGATCCTAGCAGCCGCCAATCCTATCTACGGCCGCTATAACCCTCGCATCTCGCCAGTAGAGAACATCAACCTACCCGCTGCCCTACTTTCTCGTTTCGATATCTTGTTCCTTCTTCTTGACACACCAACCCGCGAGAGCGATGCCCAGCTCGCCAAGCATGTAGCCTACGTGCACATGCATAACAAGCACCCCGATCTCTATGCCACAAGCTCAAACGGGGATGCTACTACAGCAGCCAGCGTCGTATTCACGCCGCATGAAGTCCGCGCGTATGTTGCGCAAGCACGCACTTACCGTCCGACGGTTCCTGAGTCTGTAACAGAGTACCTGACAAAGACGTACGTGAAGCTGCGTGACGCTCAGCGCCGGGCTGAAAAGAAGAACAAGCAGTTTAGCCACACGACACCCCGTACTCTTTTGGGTGTCGTGCGCCTCGCGCAAGCGCTAGCCCGCCTCCGATTCGCTAACGAGGTTTCCCAAGACGACGTCGACGAGGCCCTGCGCCTCATTGAGTCCTCAAAGGAGAGTCTCGCTGCCCACGAGGGTGCGGGTGGTCGACGTACGCTCAACGCCGCAAGTAGGATTTACAACTTGGTCAAGGCTCTAGCAGACAGTGGGGCATGCCGTGCGGCCGACGACGAAGACGACGATGACGACGATGACGAGGAAGGCACCGTCGAACTCAGCATGCGCAAGGTCCGGGAACGCGTCCTCGCCAAAGGGTTTACAGAGGATCAGTGGCTCAGTGCGTTGGAAGAGTATACGAGCTTGGATGTAAGTTTCACAATTTTCCTTTATCACGTCCAATTCGTTGCATCCCCCTCTATTTACCCCCATCCGTCTTCCTTCTCGTGCCTTTCATATACAACGGGAATGGAGTGAACACAAACTAACATTATCTAAACCAGGTCTGGCAAACAGCCGGTAATGGCAGCAGGCTAGTCTTCATCACCGCCAATGACGGGGCGGCAGATGAAGACGAGTAATGTTGTTAACAACCACACTTAGTAATGACAAGAGTCATTGATTTTGTCTTGTTTTGTTTTCCTTCCCCGATGAAACACTTCGACACCGGCGTTTCGGTAGGCTTAGGTTCGATATCTGTGTTCACTGTACTAGAGATGGCCTGGTCCGCGTAGAGTGGTGAGATAAGGGGACTGTCAGCTTTGGGACCACAACGTCAAGATCTGGAGTTGAAAATCACAGATATTACTGTTTGTTTCGACACCAAAATCACTAGCTACGCGCTTTGTCTGGCTACACCAAGCGAAATGAAGAAAGATGGCGAGAATACAATAAAATGAATTCATCCGATTCGCAGATAATATGCCCGCTCGATTTGGTCAGTTACTAAGCCAAAGATTATCTCATTCATTAGCCTAGGAGTTGAGATTAGAGCTCCATGGTAAGGAAACAGAAGCAGTCAGCACTGGAAATGAAGTCAATAACTGGTAGTACAAGGATCTTCCTGTATAGTATCCGGCTAGATGCTAGGTAATATGATGGTTATCTACAATATACAACATGCAATGATACAGCACATATCAGCCTGTAGCCCAGCCCTTACATAAAGCACATTTTGCTTTTGTCATTGGACTTGGACGCTCCCTCTCCTCACCATTACGTGGTAGCCCGCAAGTCGTGGAACGCAACACGCTCCATCTCGGCTACTACGCCACCGCCAGCCATAGTCCATTTCTCACTGACGTTCTTCTCGTCAATACGCGAGCGCAGAATGCCACTAGCTGCCCAGTATTCCATAAGAGCGCGAGCCTCTGTCTTTGAGACACCTTGGACGTCCAGGACTTTAACACCCCGTAGGGAATCGAAGACCCGCTCGTCGTACTTGCGGAAAAAAGGGTCCCGCTCTGGAACTTTCTCGCCTTTCTGCGTAGCTATCGCTTGGGCAATCGCTTTGTCCATAGAGGGGATTATAGGCGCGTTACCCTTGGACGTTATGCCAAGAATAGCCGCACCGTTGGCAAAAGTCGTCTTCCCACCTAGTGCATCAGTAAACATGCGCAGAAGAGCCAAGTCGTGACTGTGAATTAGTTCAAAGGCGGGAGACCGGTACTCGCTAACGCGCATGATATGAGCAAGGCCGTCGAGGGAGAATAGGATGGGCGGGCGGCCAGGAAGGAGTAGCTCTTTCCAGAAAGCCTGGAAGACTGGCCACGCAAAGTCGGGCTCCTTGGTTGCATTGATAAGGCCGGCTAGCGTCATGTTACGGGTTACAGAGATGGACAGATGCATATGATCCAGCATGACCTTGTGCTGTGATAGAATAGACTGATTCGCCTGGTAAATAGCTTGCATGAGCTTGACAGTATAGACAGGCTGTGAGAACATTTCCGAGTTGGGTATCGAGGCGTATTCAGTTGCCGCAGTCGTTAATTCCTGTCCTACAAAATAATTTGTTAAACCATGATTCAGCGGCCAGGCTTTTTGAACACATCATTCCGTACCTTCTGGTATGTTGATGACAACCCATTTATTCAACAACCCGGTGGCAAGAGCTTGGAGACCAACTATGCTCTTCCCTGATCCTCTATTTCCGGCCACAACCAGTCTTAGCGTCTCTTTCTTCTCAATCGCGTCCATCATCTGCTTTGCCAGATCTACTGTCTCTTTGCGGACAAGCATATGCGGTGACCGAAACAGGCTCCAGCTCTGGCTGGATTTGAAAGCCTCACACACCCTCAGTTGATCAATACACTCGTCGGGAAGACCGAAGACTTTACCGACCGAGTCGGGATCCCTGACATTTTCAGTGGTCAGGACGTCGAGACCGGTAACTGCGAGAGCATTGTCGTTACTGAGCTGGATGCGCTTGCGGAAGGCCTTTCGTTCGCCAGGTAGCGGAGGTTTGGTTTTATCTGGTGTGCGCTTGTTTCTTCTCAACGAGAGCTTCTTGCCAGCACGGATATGCTTCGTCATCGAGGGCTCAGGGACTTTGCCTAGCTGGGTAGATGTCGTAAAAGCAGCAGACGCCGGTGCAGAGGTGACTCCAAAAACAGGCGCAAGCAGCAGACGCTGCGAGGGCCGAGCGAGGCAGCGCCAGCAATTTGTGCTCGCCATTGGCCTACTTGCCTGGCTCTAATTGGCGGGAGAGAGCAAGTTGTTGAAGTGCTGAAGAGTCCCTTGGCGATGCACACGCACATTTACAGCCTCACCAGACGATACTGCCAGGGCAGGCCGCAGGCCCAGTAAAATTTCCAGATTAGAGGGTTCGCACCGCGCCAAGCCCCACCCAAGTCGAGAGACAATAGTGCGCCGATGTACCTACCTACCTACCGGGCGTCTTGGTAGCGACTACTTAAGGTAGTGGGTAAGTGCATGTACATGCTTCCGGACTTTATCGATTACGAGGTCCCGCCAAAAAACTATCAGCTCCAGAGATCTGGGACTTTTTCTCGTCGCATGCTATCTCCAGTCGGAACCACTACCTACTGTACTACTGTACTCTTGAATCGTCCAATTGAACAGACAATCTGCCTCTGTTCTCGGGGGATCAACCATCACGATGTCTCTTGCCACAGGAAAGACGAGGACAAAGCTCGAGGTGGCTGTTGAGCGGCCTACACCTTACACCTTCGATCTCGGCCTACTACTAGCAAACGATGCAAACCCCATAAACACATCAACACCAGCCGAGAGCACGTCGATGGGCGTCGACCCACTTGAAGCGCAGCTTATTGCAACAGCACGGGACGGTGCGCAAGGTCTAATAAGTACGCCTATTCATCCGACAATCTCTCCCTCGACTACCCAGCTAATGTCCCATTAAGATCAACTCCTAACAACATGTCCGATCTCTTCCACACCACAAGGTGTGCTACTATCACTCCCGCCCCCCAGCACCTCTCTGCCGCGCGAGAAGCCGGTGCCCGAGCCCAAGGCCCCCACGAAATGGGAGCAGTTCGCCGCGAAGCGTGGAATAAAGCCGACGACGCGCGAGCAGCGACGCATGAAGTCGCAGAAGTACAACGAGGAGACGGGCCAGTGGGAGAAGACGTGGGGTTTCAATAAGGACGGTCGCATCGATCGGAAAGAGAAGGGCATGGTACAACAGGACTGGCTCGTTGAGGTAGACGAGAAGAAGGAACGTGAAGACAAGGAGGCGAGGCGGAAGGCGATGAAGGGGAAAAAGAAATGAAATTCCCATAGGTGAGAGAATGGGAAAGGGTATGTGTTGATGATGGAATGGCCTCTGCCCACAGCATTACAGGCGAAGGTGATTTGCCATCCCTTACCTGGCATTATTCATGATACCCCCTTCCCCCCAAAACCCCCCTAAATATTTATGAGAAGGTGAAGCGTTTTGGTTGTCTTTAAAAACCAGGGGTGTGGCGTTAGGGTGGTTAATTCTGTGCCTCATGGGTCTAGCACAAACATTCTACTGGCGTTTGAAAGTGGACAAAAACGGTAGCTTATATATTCATTCCATGCGTCGTCCCAGTATCCATACCCGCTATGATATGTACCGCAAGCAAACAGTATTCCACACCTCAAGATTCCAAAACGCCGTCAACCCAGGGCGCCGGACGACGTGTCATCACATACACCTTACCAGAACCTTACCATGCTTCCTCTCGGCGAACCCCGCAACATCCTCCTAGGCTGTTTACTGTTTTCCGGTAATACCCAACGGTAAAGCACAGCCATATTCCAATGCAGTAGCAGGATGGCATGCCCCAACATAGAGACATGAGGTTAAGCTGGTCAATTAAGTGGCCTGTATGCATGCCTCAGCTTTAGTCTTTCTTCATACGCCCATCGTCCAATCCCCACCACCGTCCAACGGAAATATACGCACTTGGTCCAACAGATACCGCAAAACAATGCTATCAACACAAGGGGTATACCAAAAGCGAATACAGCTGTCATCTCTCAAAAGCAAAGAAAGTGGTATGGAGAGTAGTGAGATTAGGCGTACGTCTGATGAGTCATGAAGAGCCAAGAGAGTCGAAGTGTAAGTGTCCAGTGTCAATCGTAAAATAATAATAACAAGAGCGCCCCCACATGAAATGGGACGGATTTAAGAGTCTAACCGTGAGACTTGGTGTTCTGAGAGGGAGAAGAACTAAACCAACCCATCCACAGCGCTCTCAAATAGCATCACTTTCCGTGGTGTCAGATTAACATAGAACATATCATATGTATGATCATTTAGAAGTTCATTGGTGACAACGGCTTGATGGGAGATAATGGCCGTAGTTCCCGGGTTTGCTGTGAGGGAACTTCTCGGTCAATGGATTGATTAGGCGAAGACGACGAATAGTCAGCTGTCAGATTTCCACTCGATTGGCTAGAGGCCAGTGCCTTTTTCTTCGGTTTTCCATTATGCACTTCGGTAGTATGTACTGAGCATTTGCTGCCATCGGAAGAGGAGATAGTGCGATCGTCAGGCGATTCGTTTCCCCCCGCAAGACCTCGGGGCAAAGGCTGTTGAAACAGTTTGTATTCTTCTTCAATGTACTTGGCCTCGTTCCTGCAGCCCTGCCAGCAGAGGCGCCAGTCGCAAACGAGAAACTTGAAACAAAATGCATCTATCTTCATACAGGGCTGAAAACAGATGCAAAGATTTCGGAAGTCCATTTTGTTCTTATCGGAATGAGCTAAAAGCAGGCTGAGATGGCAGGTAACAGCGAAAAGGAGGTAATATTTGAATGGTGGAAGATTCGACAGTTCGTCAATGAGCATTTGTGGCACCTTTTCAGAGCCAGCACAGTTTCGGGAGATACGCTCCTGGGCTTCTTTCGGAAAGAGCTCATCTGGTAGCTCACGAAGCCAGGCTTTCAGCATAGAACCAATTATATTTATATCGTAGAGATCATCTTGAGCGAAGAGATCGACGTCATATTCTCAAATCAAGTCAGTTTGGGGGTCAAGAACATTAGGATCGGAATACATACCTTCGTCAAATCTCCGCTGCCACTTCTTAATCTGCGGGCCACTTCCAGGAACGCGGTAGAGACCTTCCACATCAGTGCCGTTGAAGTTGAGATAATCTATGGCTCGCCAGGGAAAGGCGGGCATCCAGAATTCTGTCTTGTCTCGCGATTCTTCCAATCTCTTTGAGATTCTAGTCTTGCGTGTCTGCTCAACTAGTGGCAGATTGATAACTTTGAGGATATAGTGCTCATCGTCCACCACTGGTTCCCTCTCAGAGGTACTGGCACTGCGGCCACCTTTTCCAAATAAACCCTTACTGATCATGTCGGCGGCTCGGCTACCTGAACTCCTGAGTCCGCCGAAAAATGTAGAGGCGCCGTTGTCTTTGATGGAAGGAGGCTGGCTCCTATTTTCTTTATCATTGCGATATTCTTTATGCGATGACGTATCACGAAAGGCCCGATCTGCCGAATGATTGCGCGTGGACGAATTCATCATATTTCTAAAAGACCTATCATGTGCCTCCGGATTAATTGGGGCCGTCTTGAGTGGTGGGTGCTCATCGAAGTGTGCCGCTTTCTCCGGTTCGGTCATTTGAATTGTAACATTAGGCTGTAGATTTTGACCATCCTGCTCTTTAAATGATCTATTGCGACCTAATAATGTAAATGGCTTCGGCTTGCTCTTTTTCAACGTTGCCGGCTCATGTTCACTAGTAGCTGGTAGAGGTACATCTGATTTTGCTGCCAAAACAGGTGCAGGTTTTTGTATCGTTAAGTCAGGAGAAGATTGGTCTAAAGGTTTACAAAAACAGTCAGCATTTACAGAAACGTAAGTGGGGGGCTTGTAATCGTTGTCCCTTATGTGACGCACCGGAATTTTTGGAGGATTTGCTCGGAACTCTTTCTGCCATTATAGGTAAATCGAGGCCTCGCGACATAGCCTCACTATTGCTCGCAGTGTGGGTATGTGGCTGAAGTTGGTTGTTGGACCTTGCGCCCTTCCCAAAGTTGAAGAACCGGCTACCACTCCTCGTGTGCTTCTCTTCGTTGCGGCCTTGGACCAGGGACAAATTGGGCGACGTCGTAGACTGACTAATAGATGATACAGCGGGTGTGTTCTGTGGGTTATGGTTAGAATAATTGGGTTCCTTGCGAAGGAGATGCGTATCGTCGGCAGAGCGCAAGGGCAGCGGCGGCGGGGATTCTTCGACTGGGAGCGACCGGGGCTCCCCTTGCCGGGTTTGCGGCCTCCTAGTCGGGTTGAATTTACTGAAAGGAGAGCGAGGAGATTTGGGCGACTTGTTCGAGAGACTCGGTGACAGGACTTGAAGAGTGTTATCGGGGGCGAATAAAGAGCTCGGGCTTGGTCTGTCTGTGATACCCGGGGCAGTGGATTCGGGAGAAGCAAGCGTGGCAGCGGTAGTGGCAGTGGAGGGGAGCGGGCCCTTGGATTCCTCGCTGAGAGCAGATGAGGAAACGTCTTCAGCCAAAGCCAGCGGCTGAGGTGCGGACCTGCGTCCCATTATTGCATGTGTGGCGGCGTTGTACGGCCGCCGCAAGCCAATTTGAGCAATGGAGGGAGGTATCCGGGTATTATTGGCTCGCTGGCAGCTGAGCAGGCATCGGACCAAGTTCAAAAATAAACGGATTATACGCGCTGCCGCAGACGGGAGGATGGCAAGGAACAGGCTGTTCGTCTCGCGCGTCGGTGGAATGTTGTATCAGAATTACCCAATTCCAATTCCTAACTCCTGGGGGTGGTGTCAGGCTGGTTGCGCTTAACTGATTGGTAGCGGTAAAATACTTTGTAGATTGTTGAAACCCGCGACGAAACCCCAAAATCACCCACCATTAGAGTGGCCCAATACACCAATGCAACGACCGGCCAATACCAACAGGCCAGAGACAAGATGGCTGAGCGATACTTGCCTTAGGCAAGACAGAGGTAGTTGGACAATCCAATGTGCATAGATTCTGAGAATGGCGGAAGATTCGGTTGCCTGCGACGCATTTGTTCTGTTACCGAGGCGCAAGATGCTTGAGAGGCATTGGTAACAATTAGAGAGGATGCCAGGTGACTTTAGGAGGTCTAAAAGCTTGGCTCATGATGAGCGATGGACGGGGGCAGTATGGTCGTTACCTGTACAGATCGCTAGGGGGTCAAGGACGTGGGAAATGTTACCTGCCCACGAAGTACGTACCTACATAGGTAGGTAGGTACTTACTCGGTGCGCAGTGCAACCTAGAATTACGTAGGTACATACCATACCTTTATACATAGAGGTAGGGTACTTTCGGTACCCAGGGATTCTCCTTTATTTGAGCACTAAATCTACCTATAGGTACCTAGGAGGTAGATACCTAGGTATTCACTTAGGTAGGTAGGTGCTACCACTGCAAGTAGCGTGTGTATGCTAGACTTGGAACTCCTTTAGGACTCATTCTTTCACCACCTAAGCACTTAGTAATCTTATATCTACCTCAAATATGTAATATATCTGACCGTTGAGATAGAATACAGATAATTAGCGCTACCTGCTACGTAATGCACTAGGTAGGTCAGGATACTCTATAAGTACGATAGAGGGTTCGGTCGAGTCCACTTGAATACGACTCAGTTCTACTTAGAGTTGCCTCCGTCTTCAATACCAAGCAGTAGTACGTACACACCTTACGCAAGAACACGCCGCTGGCATTCGTAATACTATACCAACATAGCAGTTATGCACAAAGCATCAAATCCACAACTAGACAGAAGCCTACATACATATCTACATACATAGTATAGTAGTGCATGGTTTGTAGGTACTAGCAGTAAGTAGAGAAGGTGGTGATCCATCTCCAAGGCTGTCATACACCTACTGTACATACAGTAGGTATGTACTTGGACAGAATGTATCTTTGGCTCTGTTGTGCGCCTCCCGCAGTGCCAAGAATACCACACTCAGCAGGGGGTCTCGGGGGAGTTTGCATTGGCGACGAAGCTATTGCCTAGTCCAGATAGAGAAGGCTTGACAGGGGTCTCGTGAACCAAAAACACAACCCCACTTGATATCTGAAACGCGCCAGACCCTGGGTCTCCTCAAAGCTCTATCACAAATTAGTACCAAAGTACCTCGAAGAATCCGCAACGTTAGAAGAGCCCCCAACAGTCACCAACCCGATGTAAAAATGTAGAGAAAAGATGAGGAAAGAAGGTAGGTAGAAATAGAAACAGCCAGCACCAAAGTGCTGAGACAGAGAGATACCTACCTACCTACCTATCTACAGCACTCCCATACAGTAGCAGTGTCTGACCCTTACGTCATATCTAAGGACACTAACCTGTGGTAACATGCGTTCAACCCTTCCAGCTTGTAGGTGACAATACATAGTATGAGATTTATTGCAGCAGTTCGATGCCTACATAGTAGAGTAGGTATGCAATAGATAGGTAGATAGATAGGCTTAAGGCTACCAGGTAGCTAGGATTACTAGAGTACCAATGCTGTGAGAACAATGCGATGGGATGTTCCGTACATTATCGATGGCCTATCGCTGCTGCTGCTGCTGAGGCATACAGGCACCGTGTTCTAGAACAACTTGAAGCAAGACAACCCCATGCTTGGCTGTATGATTGAAATCCATACATACTTACTTAAGTACATATAGGTGCAGCTATTTATATCACCTTCGGCTGTCTTGCTTACCTTAGGCACCTAACATACTTCGTAAGATACCTACGTAGGTAGGTAATTAATAGTACGTGGGTACATACCCGGTACTCCCCTTCTGGGGTTCGTCGTCTATTCTGCATACTTAGTACGCTGTACCGGTACTTAGAGCAGGCAACAACATGTACATGGCAGATACATGGGTAGGTATCTCTTGTCATTGCACTGTAGCCTGTAGGTTCCCCTCCCACCCCACCTCTCACTTCTTCTTCCTCACCATGGTCGACAATCAGTTGGCGAATATCGTCAACCCATGTGTTTGATACTATCATCCTAAGAACCAAGGTACTTGGAGCCCATAGTTTGAGTAAGCCTCATAGTCCCAGAGATGGCGGGCTTGAATCAACTACCAGAGGAACTACAGCTTGCCACAGCCCAACACGTCAAGTATATACAAAGTCTAGACACAAGAAAGGACGAGTACGATTACTGGCTTACCGAGCATCTGCGTTTAAATGGGCTCTACTGGGGATTGACTGCACTACACCTCCTCAGGCATCCCAATGCGCTTCCTCGAGACGAGACAGTCGACTTTGTCTTATCATGTCAACATGAAAATGGGGGGTTCGGTGCTGCACCAGGCCACGATGCACACATGCTCTACACCGTCAGCGCTGTGCAGATTCTTGCTCTGGTCGACGCCTTTGACGAGCTTGAGACGCGCGGCACCGGCAAGCTGAAGGTTGCGCAATGTGAGTCAGACTGGCTAGCTGCGTCCGGCTCATCGGATTGGCAAAACTAATAAAAGTGTACTTGCCAGTCATGGCAGGACTACAGGATCGAGAAAAGGGCACCTTCGCTGGTGACGAATGGGGAGAAGAAGACACTCGCTTCCTGTACGGAGCACTGAATGCCTTATCCCTTCTTGACATGCTACATCTAGTCGACGTCGACAAGGCAGTGAAACACGTTGCTGCTTGCGCCAACTTCGACGGCGGATATGGTGTCAACCCGGGCGACGAGTCGCATTCCGGTCAGATCTTCACCTGTGTAGCTGCGCTTACTATAGCCAAGAGACAAGACCTGATCGATGTAGACAGGCTAGCTGGGTGGTTGAGCGAGCGACAGCTTCCAAACGGTGGCTTGAACGGCCGACCAGAGAAGAAAGAAGACGTTTGCTATAGCTGGTGGGTCTTGAGTAGTCTCTCGATGATTGACCGCGCACACTGGATCGATCGAGAGAAACTCATCGGCTTCATCCTGCAATCTCAAGATATCGAGAATGGCGGCATATCGGACCGACCTGGTAACATGGTCGATGTCTGGCATACGCTTTTCGGTCTCACCGGCTTGAGCCTTTTAGGTTACCCCGGTCTGGATGATATTGACCCTGTGTACTGCCTACCAAAATCCACGATTCAGCGTATAATAGGCAAGCAGACTTAGACCAATCCAAAGGAGCGAGATACGCTGTTTGCCATGTTAGATGAACTATTTTTGACTTTCCAATACACTCATCCAACTAGAATAAAACGCATATCCCCACTCTTGTGGCTGGTTAACCTCACCTCTTGCTACACATTCAACTCCATGGCTTTGGAGTGGAGATAAAGGAGAAGTAGGATCCATCCCCAGACGTTTAGTGTTGTGCCGGGGCAGAAAACGCATGTGATGTCCATGATTAAGCAAAGCATATTGTACACCAGTCAGTAGGCTATCAAGCCATTCATGTAAAGTCATTATATATCATTGAGACATGTACTTGCAATGAGATAATGTTCCAGTCGAGTGCAACGTTGATTTATACAGTCATTAGGGTGTCGCACTCCACTGATCATTCGATTTTTCTTCATGTCCCGGAGTCTCTTGGAATAAAACATTTGTCCTAAGTGAATAACTACTTGGGTATACCAATCATCAGACATCTCATGGGGAGTTATCGACCTTGCTGAGAAAATGATAGCATGGTGACAGCTAAAGGCCCCCCTACTAATACCTAAGTATTGTACTTTATTTGTAATGGCACATATCTATGGAAATTGGCTATTTCATTGGCCAATTGAATCCGATTTGGAGGAGTCAATTCGGACTCCTTCATCAGTAATCCTGCTGCCACAGGTTCTTACTTTACCAAGACTCCTTTGGGACTCATAGTCGTGCCAGATTGTAAGGGGTCGCGTGAGAATGTCAAGTGTATCCTAGAGCGTACCTAAACACAGAGAGACCTTTGCGTTGAAATAAACATGTGGCATCTGTACCAAAGGGTCGCGAACGACATTTACAAGCTGACACAGATGGCATATGATCATGATATATTTACGGGGTACTTTATAAATAAGCATTGTGTAGTAGAGTTCGACTCTACCTGTTTGCAGTGTCACGATTTAATTCACCGTTGCGTGTCAGGAATACAAATAGATGGCACTTCCAAGCAGGAAGCCAGGACTGGAGCCTTGATTTCTTTTTGATATGAAACATCCGAAATAACGCCTGTCCATTCTGCAGCAGAACTCCGTCCGCACATGCACGCAAAACATCAAGAAGGAAAAAAGGAAGAAAGCAGAAGATGAAGTATACCTCTTCCATCGACGTCTATATGTGTTGCCATCAATATGCGAATCGTATAGGCGCAGAACAGATACCCCTGAGGGATTATCGATCTCACCTATGCAAACGTCCGTCGCCAGCGCTTAGCCATTTAAAAAGTTTGAACCATGTTCGTGACCTGCGGTCTCAGGATCCCACACTTCTTTTTTAGCGTCTTGACGGATTCTATGAATAGCTCGTCGCTATCCCACTGCCCCGCGCTTTCGACGGAGAAGATAAAATGATCTTTTCTGCGGCCTAGCGTAACTTTGCCTTCGAATTCCGGATGTCGCAGCGCTTCGCGGCTGACAGTATCCCGCATGGGGTCTTTAACGACGGCCTTCAGTTCGCCTTCGTGACCTTCGTATCCACTTCCTTGTTGCTTCGCTTCTTGTTTAGTCACTTTCTCGAGACTGATAACGCCGGGTATGAAACAACCAGCAAATTTCTCGGCCTCGGCGCCCAGGATTGGCCGCAGGATTGTGATCTTTGGCATTAACCTGTAGCTTGCGGTGGCGACGGGCGAGTATTTGGCGTGATCCCAGCCAAAGCCTTTATGCATGTGCATCTCGATATCGATCTCCTGCCCGGGACGCATCTTCGCGATTAGAATATCGGGATTGACTGGGCGGATGGTGTCTTCGCCCGAAAACCACTTGGCTTGGCCGCCAAGGGGCTCGAAGACTATGTCCCGCGCGTAGATGTGCGCATTATCGTAAAGCACTAGAGGGTCTCTGGCGTCCTTTGGCACATCCTTTTTGCGTGTACATTTTGCGGCGAGCTTTAAACTAACCGTGTTTGTATCGTAGGTCGTCGCATATGCGTCCTCTTCGGGACCAGGCTTGCGCCAGAACCCCATGAACTCGCGCAGACCTTTCTTGCCACCTGTGAAGGGAATAAGGCCAAGCCGGTGCGCGAGGACCTCGTCTTGGATCACCGATGTGTTGTTATTAACGAAAACTGTCTCGATGGCGAGTGTGGGGATCTCGGCGATCATTATCCTGCGAAAAGCATTGGCGATGGAGGCATCGACGCCAATGAGGGAGAATTGGGATTCGAATTGGTCATTTTGATGAAACTGTATCCTGAACTTGCGGCGGAATTCCTCCTTGTCCCAGGCATGTTCTTCGTTTGCATAGTTTTCAGGATAGTCGTCTGAGACGGTGTTCGTTACGGTTTCTTTATTGATACCGACGGTCTAGTAAAGTGGTCAGTATCCGACTACGAAGAGTGCGAACAATAATGAACCTACATTGCGCTCCTCGACCTCTGCAGCGCTCGGCACTCGTCGTCCAGAAGAAGGTGCCATAATCTCGTCTATAAGTGTGGTCTCTATGGATGGTGGGGTGAGTTGAAAGAGCTATGTTATCCAAAGGAAAAAAGTTGGAGAGGGCCGGGGTTATCGATAACAGTAAATAAGATAAGTTGCACCTATTCCGGGCGCTTAGTCTAGCTGACCAGGGACCCCCCACCCATCTAATCGATCTACCTCACTGACTCCCTGCATCAACTGACTGGTTTGAATGTAAAAATTATCTTCACTCTATAGAAATAGTAAACTTGCGAAAAGGTCGAACATTTTGAAGTATATTCTATATGAGTATACGCTGCTGAGATGAATTAGAGCTGGCACAAACCTTGCACATGGTTGGAGCCTTTGATGTCTATGTATCTATTAATTTAGTTCAGCCAGATCAGAGCAAATTCTTGTCAGATCCCAGCCGATAGCTACTACGGCCTGCTACTTGTACAGTTTAGAATACACCAAAAAGTGACAGTGAGCAACAATGATACGGGCCTAAATACTAATACAGTCAGTCAGCGTAGGCTTAGAATAGTTTGGTGCCAGCAGCTTGCTGCATAAAGAATCCCTTGAGAGGCCCCATCGCATTGACGGCGCTCAAACCCCATGAGCGCAGCGGGACAAGCGGCCCGCTCTCAACCGAATATAGCTTATGCAGCTTGTCTACTACACCGAGCATGATGTGATTTGCAACGTATCGTTCCGAGGTGTATGATTCCAAGGACATACGCGCTCCAATATCCTGGCCGTGTGATACCGCGTAGTCGATGGTCTTGGCTAGGGTTTCTACATCACCTTGTCCTTGGTTGAGACCTTGGCCGGCAAGTGGATGGATAGTGTGCGCAGCATCACCTACTAATGCTACGCGCTCGCCGATATAGGTATCTGCGTGGCGCATTCTCAGGGGGAAAGACGCGACAGTGCCCTCCTGTACGCCGACGACATTCTGTGGTACGGATTGGGCGTTGAACCGCGTGTGCTGCAGCCTCCAAGCTAATTCTCCCTCATGTCCCGAACTCATCGTGTGCATGAATCGCAAATCCACGGGGCTGAGACGAAAGGCAGCATTGACAAGAGCGATAAAATCTTTTGCCGAAATGCTCTTCAACAATGCCGCATTTTGTGGTGTCGTAGACCAGACGAGGGTTGAGCGATTGCCGGGAAGAGGTAGCATGGCAATTGGCCCTGTGGGTAGAAACCTCTGGTAGGCAATCTTCATGTCGTCTCCAGCCCAGCCGTTGCCTTCTAACTCTAACGTCGCGACAACGCCGTGGCGTCCGTAATCCCAACCCTTGCTATCAATACCGGCAAAGGTTCTCACCGGACTGTTAGCCCCGTCTGCACCGACGAGTAGCCGAGCTGCTAGTTGCTTCCCTCCACCAAGATGAACAATCGGCCACTGCCGGAGATCCAGCTCCTCTGTCTCTTCGCCTAGGGTAATATTCTCTACACGAGCGCTGTTGAACGTCGTAATGCCACTGAGCTCGTCGATACGTTTTAGGAGACCCGATGTAAGGTTTAGGTTCTCAATCATATATGCGATGGTACGTCCGTTTGTAGCCGACCCTGGCGCCCAGTCAAATTCAATGCGCGCATCCGATACACCATCCCAGACTTGCATCTCGTGGTATGGCTGAACTCGATCTCGTTGTAAATGCCTCCAGGCACCAATCTGGTCGAGGAACTTGGCTGAAGACGGCGTGAGAGAGCTACAGCGATTCGAAAAGCTATCGGGGGAGAGCTGCCATGACCGTAGCTTGCCTAGGTCCTGAGCTTCGACGAGCGCCACCCGTAGATCGGCGGTGATGGGGTTTGCCTCTGTAAATACCGTACTTAGTGCCGGGTCTTCGAATTCGCATATCAACGAGACATACTCAATGCAGCAAGAAGACTGAGGCCCGCTGGCCCGCCACCAATACAGACAACATCGTAGATGTCAGGTTGGGGAGCAGTCGCATATGATCTAGCCAGCGATTGCTTCAGCTTCCTGTTGCAGCTTCTGCATATATTTAGTGGCGACAATCGCAGGCGTCGAGTTGCTAGCTTGATTGCGTCCATGCTGCTTGCTTGCACAGCACTTCAAACACCCATCGGTAGTGGGATGATGATCGAAAAATACCTGGATATACCTAGGTAGAAGGTAGCTCATGCCAAGAGTCAGTGCCAATCCATACCGGGCTGAGGTTGCAAGGTTAGGTAGCTCCCGAGCTCCCTGGATTAGTATATCATCGCCCGAAGATTACCCACAACATGCCGGCCTTCCTAAGTGCGTAAGCTCGGATGTCAAAAAGTAATGGCAGTATGATATCCTTTTCTCAATTTACAAAGACAACTTGATACACAATGCTCTACCAAAGCCCCTACCCGCAGGCAGTATAGATATCCGTACAACAAGCCCAATTACAGATATTTAACAGCCAGCTCCAATCCTAACCTGCTTACTTTGCTTTAGTACCTTCACCATTAGCTTCCAACCCGAACACCAAGATGCTATTCCTCCCGGGAGGGAGTCGAAGGTGCCAAGGTATATTCTTCATTGTCGGGCTTGGTCCCCTGGTCCGCCAATGTTTCCGTGCCACTGCCCTTGGTGGAATCCTCGCCTCTTCGTGAATTTCCACTGCCGGTGCCAAAGTCTGCTGCTTCTTGCTCCATGTATGCGTTCTCCCGGTTCTTCTCCCAGCTCTTGAGGTCGTCCTCAGCGTCGTTGAGGACTTGTCGGGCGGCACCTCCGTGTTCGTATTCTCTTCTCGCATCACCTGGTGTCACTGGAGTGTCGTCAAGGAGGGTCAGCAAACGCTTCCCATGCTTTGCGAGAATGATTTGCTTTTCAGCGCGCTCTATAACAGCTGCAAACTCTGCTTCGTACGCTTCCCTTAGCTTCTTACGAGTCTATTTCCATGGTCGCGATGGTCAGCGAATAAGTGCTGTTCTCGAAGGATACTATGTCATTAAACGTAGGGTATAAACGCACGACATTTGTCAGCTGTGCTTCAGCTACCAAGTTCTCTGCTTCTGCCCTCACCAACTCCTGCTCGAGGATGACGAGTCTTGTGCTTTGGGGCTCCTTGGCCTTGAGCTTCTGTATCTCGTCGGCAATCTTCCCTTTGTTGTCACGGCTCGGCTGCACACTCTTTTCGGTGTTACGGATCGTTTTGAGAATGCCGCGGGCGTCGTCAAGATTATGAGCGTAGCTATCCTCTTGTGCACCTAGCTCGCTGAGGATGACGCCGATCTTGTCACTGATGTCGGAGACTCCCTCATCTTGCGTTTGCTCGCCCCACTCTGAAAGCTCTTGAGCAATCGTGCTACGTTCTTTTCCCGCCGTCTCATGTGCTGAGATGAGGTTGTTGGTTGACTTGATTAGACGATAGAGCCTGCGGGAGAGTTCGGGCTGGATCGTTCCGCGGAGCGAAGCGAATGAGAACCCTTTCCGGTGCGTAGGCGAAGAAGAATTGGCGTTTCCCTTGCCGGAACGGATTGACAATGACCGGTTCCTAGTTTGAGAGTTAGTGTCACAGCATATCGAGTTCGTTAGAGTTGAAGTAGGGTTCGAGATAGGTACACGTAAATCAAGTCTAGCGAGGCCCTTCTGCTCGACTTTGGCTGTGGTGTGGAATAGGCCAGAGGCGATCGCGGGAGTTTCCTCTCGAGTTCCGCCACGCCTTTGGAACTGCTTCTGAAGAACAAATCCATTGTGGTGACCTACATGATGTGTCTCTGGGTCTGAAAGCGATCAGGCAGATGTCGGGCAATTCACTGTAATAGCTACTGATGTGTTATTAGACTGCCTCCTTCCTGACTGTAGGAGTAACCGTCTACGGGATATGTTGCACGGACGCTCATCCTTCCTCATGCTCGTGCCATCACACAGGTGCAAGCTGGGAAGTATCGATGCTTACTTACAGCTAACTACCAGTAGTGGGTCTTTGCGGTGATGCTCAATACCAGCAGCCAGCAAGCTCAATTCTAGAAGCTGCAGTGTTCGTGTTGCCGAGGATTTGTCTAGACAGTAGCTATTGACGCTTTTGTTGATGGAGCATTATTCAGGAATACTAGGATCCCTGGCGTTCGAGAGCCATATTCGTCACACAGCTCAGAAAATCCGGGGTTCTTAGAACATGTAAATACGTCATAGCTGATAATTGGTAAAGACTCTTTCTCCCTACCCAGTGCATGGGCACCTACCGTATCTGATTGCGACAAAGCGTGCTACGGTAGCTCATCTCAAAAACAAAATACTTGGCCGAAAAGGCAATAGGATTCAGGCACACCACTGATGTCATGGTTTTGGTTGATGCAATCAATATCGTGACCTATGTAAGTATATATCCATGTACCCTACGTAGCCTACCACCTAGACCTGTACCTGGTTCAGCTTTATGATACATGTAGATACCCCGCTTGCCATTGTTCTACCAAGAAAGATAATAACCCCTCCATGTACAGTCTAACGATCGATATTGGTACTCATTCCGAGCAGATAATAAGGAACCAGAGCATTAATGGCGTTTTCTTCGGAGAATTACAAGATATAGAAGATGACCAACAGATACAAGTATAAATTGAAAGACGGCCAATTGAGCAAAAAGTCTCAAACGAATAGAGAAAGTAGTTGGTGTGTTTGTTGATGAATTGGGGTGTTGCCTCGAAGTACGCCAATGACGTAAGCACACACACGCGGGCCCTGGTGATAGCAAATGTCTTATCTGGCCATGTGGTGTAATGTTCAGCTAGATCCTCGAAAGCCTTTGTATCGAACTGATCGCTTGTTCGTCATTTGCTGACATTAGCCGTATCGTCTCTGGCTGGTGCGCTCATATACGATTGGCCCGCTGTGGCGGTGGCTGCTTGTGCTCACCCGTGGGTAACTGATATGCACCGGCGTTGCAACTCGAGGACGGGGATGGTGATGGTGATGGTGATGCCCGTGATGTTGACGAACGGGAATGTATTCCTCGTGGTAGTAGTACTTGCGTGAGGGCTCCGCACGAAAACACATGGTCTCTGGCTCTGTGCGGTGATAATACCTCGTGATGTGGGTAGTTGTGTACGGCATGGAGGAGAAATATCAAGATTTCAATCCGCCACTGATAGCAGACAATAGCAGCGCCGTAGAGTGATGGGCGAGGTCGGATAGGTATGTACACTATTGTAATGGTTGATGTAATAAGTTAAAGCTTAAGAGTGAGATATGCTGGGAGAATAAGAAATGGGGGGTTGAGACCGATCTTCAAATATATATACTACTGAGCGGACAAGACATAGACCACAAGATCTGATCAATATATATCTAGAGTATGTAGGCCTCCCTCCATCTCACTCGTTCATCCAGTCAATCGGTCAAGAAAACGTGGCTTAGGTGGGCAAGGGTCCTTGTCCAACAACCCGCCAAGCCTACGCAGCACTTTTCGCTTCAAGCCGAGATCAACGGGGTCTGAACGGGGTATCGAAAAGCCTGGGATCTGTCACCGAGATTGGCGAGGTGAGTCAAGTCAAACTACTCCGCCCCCAGTCCTTAGTCCGGCTGATCAGGATAGTGCTTATTCTACGTAGGACGAACATGCTGATGGTGTGAATAACGTGGCCGACAGCCTCGGTCATCGCGATATATGCGTCAAATGCCTATGCCTCGTTGAAAACAGAAGGCGAGGGATATGCGTGGGCTATGCGGCTAGATAATCAGTACAATATGCCTGATGAATATCAAACTGTACGAACTAATGAATACCTACTCCCCCCATCACCGTGCAGACTTGTGCAACGAGTTACGAGATGCGTAGCTACGCTATGTAAAACTTTGACTTATTACTTGGTGTTAGCGACAAGATCCTCGATTTCTTCTGCAGTTGTTCCACCCACACCACGATTTTGAGAGGTTACTCTATGCCACTCCCTCGAGTTATACGATAGATAGCTCCCAATAAGGTAGGCTAGCAGGTTGCTTGTGGCGAATTTTTACATGCCACCATATTATTTACAGCCCTGTTCGTGGCGTGTCATCTGGTCTTTTGTCAAGTCATTTGCGTAAGGCAGACTATCAAGGCAGCCGCGGTGAGAGGTGGCCTCAGACTTTGTTTTTAATCACCCATAATAGTATTGTCAGATGGCATACATCTACGAAATGCAGGGAGGGAGAACAGGAGGCCAATGTATCTACCTATTAGAGCATCATGATCAATGTAACCGAAGCTCTCAAGGACCGTCCGTCCTATCCTATGATGTTGCAGCGACGTCAGCATGCATACCCCACATTCGATTTCATGCATAAACGTACAGTAGCGTCTAGGTAGGTACGGTACTGCCTCCTCGACCGACAAGGGACAATATGCTGATCTACTAGTTGACTGAGGCCCTCAAGACCCTGCGTCTATTAGCACAGCTCCTCGCACCGAATATGGTACCCTAGTGTGAAGAAATCCCAGCAGTAGAGGCTCTCGAACTAACAAAATGATCAGAATTATCTTTAGCAAGATATAACTTGCGAGTTCTATGTGAGAAATAGTAACTGAGGAGGAGTAATCTTCCACCACGATCACTAGGTCTGCAACCTAACTTGACCGATGAGCGAGATCAAGGCGTCGGTATCATTACTGTGGTTGATAATTTCGCTCAGCGATCTTTATTTATCTAGGCCTTACTTTACATCTAAGGCCTCCGGGTTTAGTGTCCCTTTTTTATATTCCTACAAAATGCATCTGAAGATCTTCGCTGCTCATTGATAACGAAATTAACATCATCGTTTCGTCGAGAAGCTTACATCGAGCTTCGAGAGCAGCCAGATGCCCACAAATACCGCCATAGTACTCGAGAAAATAACGAACGGTTTGCGAAGAGCGGCGACTGTAGAGTACTCATATGATACAATTAGTTCACGGTCACGCAGCTCGTCCACCAAGTTCCGCGCCTTGATCGTGAGAACAGTCCGGCCAACCGTGTCCAGATACGTCCTGACAATGTCGATACTGTGCTCAGTGATGGATGAGCCGGGCGCCGAAGTGTAGAATTCGACGTTCCTATTTCATATTAGTATTAGTAGTATTAAAGCCCCTAACTACCTGCAAACTTACTCGGCACCCTCAGGTAAGATAACGCGAACATCCACATGTTCGTACTCAACACCCTCTGCTTGCTTAGGACCCTCAATGAGGGGTATGTTCAGCAGGAACTTATCGCCGGATTTCTTTAGGTAGTTGTTGGAATCTGCGTTCCAACCGACTGTGAAGGGGTATTTCCAGCCACCAAAGACTGGGTAACGAGGTTTGAGCTCAAGAACGGCTTCGCGCTTGCTCGTACGGAAGCGGGATGTTGACACGTTGCCAATAACATCAGTGAAATATGCATCCTTACTTCCAGCCCCAAGAACAAACTTCATCTCCTTCAAGGCGAAGGTTTGCGGGCTGAAATACTGAGATTGCGCCCACTTGACTCTACTAAATTGAGATGAAAGGTTTGCGCCGTAATGGAAAAGCGTATATCGTTCCTCGAAGGCAATGTTTCCTCCCCAATGACTAACCTCAATGTCACGCTCAAGTTGCGAAACGTGGGTAACGGGTTTGTTAAATTCGTATCGTACTTTGACGGGCGAGCTTGCGCCAGCCGAAACCTCAGGGAAGGGGCCGTAGGTGAGCTTTGACCCTTGTCTAACCGGAAATTCTTTTGTTTCTTCGTTTCCAGCGATCTTAGTATACTCAGGGGCTTCCGAAGAGGGCAACTTGACTTCGGTTTTCTGCTTCAACGTGGAATATGCCGAGGGGCAGTAGGCGGAGAAGGTGTGGACCAGATATTGCTTGTCTGTTTGGTCAATTGAACCAGGCAGTGCTTTCAAGGCATTTAAGTAGTAGAAGGAAATGCCCAGGGTTTGCTGGCTTCCGGGTGCGAGAGGCGCAGGGAGTTTGATCCGGTAGAATTGGGTATCACTGCCAGGTCGAGCGTTAGTAGAAGCCTCGCCAGGACGGTAACAGCACAACGCAGAAGGACCAACTTGCCTTAATGGATCAAATTCAACCGCATCAATACCAAATCCTACAACCTCCGAATTCTTCCTGTCCTTGACTTCGAAGCCTCCGACCTTCTCCATCTGTTCGCTCGTGAAGGGTAAGAAGTATTCATCCTGAGGCGCCTCGGACACGTTTTCGATTAGGACGTTTATGGATTCCTTGACGTAGTTTTTCTCTAACGAGATAATGTGGACGAGGTTGGCATTTTTGAAGATCTGCGGTGGCTTGAATGTGGAAGGTAGAAGCACTTTGGACGAGGATGTATCAACTCTGCTATCTGCATAGGCTGTCGAAAGTAAGGAAAGACACGCAGCCACAGCGGCAGTGAACTTCATGGTGAAGGAACACCGAAAAGAGCGCTCATCAATTGAGCGGCTCCGCAGTTGCGTATGATACTCGGGATAGAAGAGAAAGATGAAGAATAAAGAGAAGCTGGGTAGATACTGTAGCTCTTCGCGCGCAGCTCGGTGATGTCGCCTTGGCCTGGTAGCTCAGCCAGTAGTGTACACCTCTCCAAAACTTACAGCTTACGTTGCTCAATTGCACACAGGACCGAACAACTTAGAAAGTGGGTCTGCCACTACCTAAGTACCTATGCTAGTGAGTGTACTTACCTGGTATGTACATACTCGCCGATCGACTACCGGTACCTATGACTTCAGCCTTATCTTATCGGCTATCTAATCAGAGGTCAACTCCACCCGTAGGTACCTACACCTTCACTTCTTTAGCTGAGCTGGTCGAGATATTCAATAAAGCATATTGGGTACGGCCGTTCACTCTCTAGGTACCTATGTACATAGTCAATACCTACCTAAGTTTACCAGTACCTGATTGGCAGTAGGTAGCAGCGCTGTAAATCATCCCGTCTACTCCCTAGGTAGGAGGTATGTAGATTTAGCCCCCATTAGTACCGAAGCTGCAGTCATTCACCTAGGATTTACCTTGTGCCCATCTCCTATTGCAAAGTCTGGATCGAGATCGGAAACATAGAGTTTCGCCAAGAAGTCACTATAAAATGTCGGATTCTGACGGTGAACCGCGCTCCAAAAGAAGCAGGTTTAAATCATTTTTGTATGTAAGAGCTTGTAGCATGGCAACCTTGTGTCGTAACTCTCAGAAGCTATAAATCCTAACCATTGACACAGGAAAGAGGAACTCTCAAAGGGACTCTCAAAGAGCAAAGAGGAATTTACCAAGGGAAAGCTACATGCACAACATGCCCTAGGCCTGTGAGCGATTTTCAGCTGATAAACCGCATTGTGTGCCACGGGTGTATGTACTGAATCCCTCCAAACAGAGGCCACCAACCCAATGTAATTCCACCGGCTCACCCGGGCCTTGTCGCGGAGAGCCGCACCGTTGCTATCGGGTGGCATCCTGTCCCTGGCGGGGGTTGGCTTGCAGAAACAGGGCTCGGTCAACTTATATCCAAAAAGATCAACAATTATCCTGACCCTACCCAGCACTGGGCCATTCTAGTGGGTGAATACTGTCATCAGCTGTGGATGGTCTGTTACTCTTATGACCTTGCCCGTAAGAAGCGGCTACTACTTACACTCAACAGGATGAGAACTTGGACATTATTTACATCAATGGCGAGCAAGCAGGTACTGAGTGGACACGCTACGAAGTTGGCAAGACAAAACTCAACGATGAGGCTCTTAGACAAGCTGGTGGGTCCATCATCTCTTCTACTAGTCCTGATCTTGTAGGAGCACATCTCTCTAACGCAAACTGCTTGACATGTAGGTGAGATGGTTATCTACAATATGAGGGAAAAACAGAAGGGCTACAATCTTATTACAAACAATTGCCAGAACTTTGCTTTGAACATGCTAGATGCGATTCAAATTGGCAAACATAGAGAATTTGGCACGGCGTTGGCCATCTTTCAAAAGGCAACGGGCAAGGGTAGTGTCAGCGATCTGTTTCTCGAGAAGCTACCCGAGGCAGAGGAGCAGGATGAACAGTCCCCCGATCAAGTAGTACAACACGCTTCTCAAGTCATGGACGAACACACCACCAAGATCGACACTCATCAGTCACGTCACTGAAAGCCCCGAGTCCCCTCCCCATGCTCCCATTTGATGAGAATGCATCTTGTCATTCCTTGACACGGATTTTTGCCTTGGGGGATGCCGTAGATACTTGTGCTAGGTTAGATTTTCCACTAATCCTTATTATATGGCAGTCTTGCGCATCTTCTCGTTTTCGGAGTCGCAAAAGTAGTTCAGGTGCTCTGGGGTGTCCCAAGCTTAGCGAAATGAAATCCGGGGAGGTTTCAATTTACTTAGATTGTGAGAGTGTCTCCGCGTGACCAAGAAGAACTTGCAAACCCATTTTAGATAATATCATGGCGACACCCAAACCCCAGTGAGAATGGAATCTACATAGTAAAAGGTTGCGAAGTATATTTGATCGAGGATACCTGTACACACCGCTGTTCCGATTTTCCATGGATTGCTTGCTTGCAGGCCCACAGCAACATCTGGCTTGATGTTGAGGTCTGGATGCCTGCTCCTCGGGGATTAGAACATCGCGCGCGCTAACGGTATGAAGCTCCCCACGGCCTACCTACCGTACTACTGTAGGTACACGTATCTCCACATACAATTACAAGCGTGGAAACACTTTCTGGAGGACAAAAGGATGGTGTCAAGTCCACGGACATTACTGGTAGATTCCTACTACCTACTGTATGTATAGGAGCTCCGCTCCGGCCGACAGAGGTTTAATTGGGCAGCTAAAAGCTATTACTAACAACTGTATCTGTACCTTAGGTATCTAGATGTCATAAGGTTATAGTGTATTAGGTAGTTATAGGCTGCATTTATGATGTATCATACCTACCTACATATCTACATAGGTGGGTATCTAATACCTATGGTACCTGGAAATGACGGGATACGGCCCTGGACGGGGCCCCTGGGGGTCGTAGGGCTTACTTACCTCTTACCTACTCATGTATGTACCTAGGTAATAAATTTGCACAATCTAGAGGCTCTGAGTTTTAGGCCGGTGACGCTTGTCTAGACGGTCCATTGCCTACCTACCTACCTACCATGTACCTAGTGGTGTAAAGTAAATATTTGGTAGGTTAGGGCTTCTCCGGTGGATCATGACAGCAATTCGACCGAAGCTTACCTACCTGGCTCGCCTGGCTAGTGAGGTCCGGCCCAGGGAGGGGCATCCAGATGTCAGCTCTGCCCCTCACCCAACCCCAAGACTTCGTCACTGTCGAAATGCCCGCAAAGCAAGCGCCCCCCCCACGCGCTGTCCACTAGATGGCTAGGTAAGTCTTTTGTATAATTATGTCTAGGGGGTAGGGTAGGCCAAGGTGAGCTGAGTAAGGCCCATTTCCCTGGATACATCTATTACCAACGCTCCCTCATCATCACCACTCCTGCTCTCCTGAGTTTGTATGCCTTCTTGCTTCTGAGATAGCCGCCTTGAGTTTCACTAATCCGGAATTAGAAACCGCAGCTTGGGGCTCATCTGGATTGCCTCATTAGCAAACCTCCCTTTCTACACCAAGATATCTCTCATATCTTCACCGCGTCTTCAGAATGGTTGGTGTAGGACCACGAAAGCCCCCCTCCCGCAAGGGTACGTATTTTCTCGGTTCAAATGTTTGCTTCTCGTCTGCCCCGGAAGTCTGGATAGGTGCGCCAGAGCACAGAGCGGTCACGTCAAGTCATTATACGCGCAATTGTCCTACTGATACTCCGTCACCTTCGGTGCATGTGCGGCCGTCGGGTTGCACATGATCAACCGCGCTTTTTGTTTATAATACCTCCTTCCCACTGTGCAGTCAGCCAAACTCTTTTCTTTGGGCACAATGTACCATGCTTAAACTCGGCCTGTTGGTTTTCACACACCTGAAGAGTTTCATTCAACACGCCTCAAATCATAAAGGCGAGTCTTTGCATGAAGCACTTGGTATCAATCCCCCCCTAGGAGACCTATAAACCCTCACCTTAGCTGGCAAAAACATCGATTTCTTACATATTAAGCTATGATTCCTGGTATTGTCCCCTGATTACTCTGATTCAATATACCCGTCAGCTATACGAGGCGTTCCTTTGTATATCTAAAGGAAATCGCCAATTGGAAACCAGAAGCTGTTTTTAAACTACCACCGTTACAATCATTCGTGTTTTTAAATGATCCCTATTACGCCTTCCCCACATATAACTGACAGTCAGAATAACATAGGATCAATGGCGGACGTGCCCAAAGATCTGTTGGCCGAGATTAAGAGCCTGGAGGAGGCTTTTGCCGTGGACACGGCTAAGCTTAAGGCGATTACGAAGCATTTCGTGGCCGAGCTTGAGAAAGGTGTGTGGCACTCATTATATGATAGGCACCTCAATAGCTAACGCATACAGGCTTGAGTGTCGAGGGAGGTAGCATTGTAGGTCACGTCGGAATCAGCTTCACCTACAGCATCTAGCTAATTGAAGATCATTAGCCTATGAATCCGACTTGGGTTATGGACTTCCCCGATGGATACGAAACCGGTAGATACTTAGCGCTGGACATGGGCGGCACCAATCTGCGCGTTTGTGAGATCACTCTAACAGATAACAAGTCGGAGTTCGATATCGTTCAGTCTAAATACCGTATGCCTGAGGAACTAAAGACAGGCCACTCGGACGAGCTATGGGAGTACATAGCCGACTGCTTGCAGCAGTTCGTGGAAGTACAGCAATGTGAAAGGCCTGCCCAGGGAAAGATTCCTCTTGGTTTCACCTTCTCTTACCCTGCCACACAGAACTATATTGATGAAGGTATCCTTCAGCGATGGACAAAAGGTTTTGACATTGATGGCGTGGAAGGTCAAAATGTTGTCCCCATGCTTGAAGCTGCCTTGCAACAACGGGTAGGCTTATACGCGCCTGTGGTCTTGCTCCTGAACTAATTCGTGACTAGGGTGTACCAATTGTGGTTTCTGCATTGATCAACGATACTACAGGTACACTCATCGCCTCAGCTTATACCGACCCAAAGATGAAGATCGGGTGCATTTTCGGAACCGGGTGCAACGCTGCCTACATGGAAAACTGTGGTTCTATCCCTAAGCTAGCACATATGAACTTGCCTCCTGATATGCCCATGGCTATCAACTGCGAATGGGGTGCCTTTGACAACGAGCATAAGATACTTCCTCGGACCAAGTACGATATCATCATCGACAAGGAGTCCCCACGCCCAGGGCAGCAAGCTTTCGAAAAATGCATTGCAGGACTGTACCTTGGCGAGATTTTCCGCTTGATCATGGTGGACCTGCACGACAACAAGGATATTCACATCTTCGAGGGCCAAGATATCAAAGCCTTGCGGAAACCGTATTCATTGGATGCATCCTTCCTATCTGCCATTGAAGAGTCGGTTTTCCATCCACGCCCTCACCAGTGAAGTTAAGGTTATGCTAACAATTTCCTTAGCGATCCATTTGAGAACCTACAGGAAACTGCAGATTTATTCAAAGATAAGCTCCACTTGACCTGCACGCAACCCGAGCTAGAGCTTATTCGTCGGGCCGCCGAGCTCATCGGTACCCGCGCTGCTCGTCTTTCTGCATGTGGTGTCGCTGCCATCTGTACCAAGAAGAACCTGCAGCCTTGTCACGTCGGTGCTGACGGTTCCGTCTTCAACAAATATCCTCATTTCAAAGCTCGAGGTGCTCAGGCTTTGCGGGAGATCCTTGATTGGCCGGCCAAGTCTAGCTCGAAAGAGGAGGACCCAGTGGAGATTTTGGCTGCTGAAGATGGTAGCGGTGTTGGCGCCGCCTTGATTGCTGCCTTGACACTCAAAAGATTCGGTAAAGGCAATGTTGCAGGTATCCTGCACCCTGAGAATTTCCAGTAAATGGACACCGCCTGTATTGTACCAGGGGACCGAGAGTTGAAAAGTAAGCCGTTGATGTCCAATAGATCCATAGACATATAGACGAGGGCCTCGAGGAACCGGATATACAATCAATATGTACCTTTCTCATGCCCCAGAGCGGTCCTCCCTAGCCCATTAGTGTGATAACAGGTAGCCGGTATTCTGTTCCTTGTCAGTAATGGAAGAAGCGGAACTTATTGAAGGAAGACCTACTGTCTAAGGTCCAATAACGCCGCTTGACACCAGACCATTCGCCCTTGCCTTCCTTCTCTAAACCTTTCATATCAACATCTAATTCGTTCCACTCAATATCCAGCCCAGCATCTGCCAAGTGCATCTCAACAACCTTTGTGTAGACATCGTAGCAAACCTTACGATCAGCGCCTAGGCCATTGAAAAACCCGAAAATGCCACCTTCATCAAGCAGGGCAGGAACATATTCGGTAAAAAACATGCGTAGCTGGCTGTAGTCTTCGCCGAAAGTGTCAAAATAGATGGCATCGTATAACTCGCCCTGTTCCAATAACCCCGGCACAACCTCCTGCCATTTACCTGCATAGATTTTATAGGCGCCTTCACTAGCGCTAGCCTCCCAGTCCTTGCCAAAAGTACAATCGGGACTTGTTTCGACATGCTTCAAGACTTCAGGATGCGCTTCAACAATATGATGGCGGGAGGGCTGCGTTTCCCGAAACATGCCGTCTATGATACCCATCCCGAAGCCAATATTCAGAATTCGCTTCCCGGCTGGCAGACCCGGGAGCAGGGCATCTACAGACGACCGCATGATTGACGTCTCCCAGGCCATCATCACGCCGTTGTTCTGGTCATCTACCAGCTTGCCGTCGGTGTATGTCAGGTTTGCGCGTAGGTAGGCCGCGCTCGTCACCGTGCCTTCTGTTTGCGGGGGCAAGAACGCGCGGTCGGGGTCGGATTCCAGGATAATGTCTTCTGGGGCATCATCCTGATGCTCGGTATCCTCATTAGTTGCTGCGTCCTCGCGGTTATTGGCCTTGTCCTCGCCATTGTCTTCGTCCTCCTCCTCAGCGTCGGAATCGAGTGCTTCATAGCCGTCTAATAGTCCAAACAGCAGCTCGGCGCGCATCCCGGCACTGACGCATTCATTGTAAAGGTCATCCTGCGCCAATCGTGCTGCTACGCAGCCTGGGGTCTCGTTGTTGCTGTCGACGTCGTTCCAGATTGCGCCACTGAGAAACAGCTCATGCACGACGGCTTTGGCAGCCTCAATATCAACGGAGGCAGACTTCTCCGCCGGCGCCTCGTTATTGTTCTTCTGTGTTCGTGCTCCACATGACCGGATCGCGGCGTGGAGGGGTGTTTCGCCGGTTGTCGGCTCTTGCACGCTGGCCCGACCTGGGACGGAGAGGAGGGCCTTCAGACCGGCTAGATCGTGGTGCCAAGCACGGCGGAGGATCTCAGATATCGTAACGGGGCAAGAGGCCGGGATGCGGGCCTCAATTGCATCGTCGGGCATTATTGCGAGGTGATTGCTTGTAACCTGCAACTGGTAACTGTAGATTCATTCTAGCTTTTGGTGTTGCGGGGCAAAAAAAAGCATTTGGCAACCTACAGGGTAGCTCCTCAAGGCAAGGGGCTAGAACAACAGGGGAGGGGTACAGTGATAATTCACAATGTGCACTGTATTTGTGTGCTAAAATCGGTCGCTGGACACGTGCACCACTGCGCTATATCATTGGTCAATGCATCGCGGTGGCCTCGCGCGCCCTAACGTCACAGCGGGGTGGGGGCACTATGCTATCGAGCTAGTGTGGGGACCTAGTACTGGCTGGACCTTGTTGGAGAAGGGTAATCCATTTTGCGACAAATCTTGTTCTTCACCTACTACACGCAGTGAATCCCGAGAGCGAGAAGCAATATCATTGTTGAAACGTATTGTGAGGACATATATCGCTTACTCGGGGTTTAAGATAATTTGGACCGGTATTTTGATGGTCCAGTGCACTCACTATCCATCGTTGTTTTTGAGTAAACAGCCCTCTTCTGTACGCTTTCTCGCGACTGATTTGCGTCAAACTTGAATGATTTTAATTGGCCATTAACACTGATGCGTAAATCATATAGGTCAATTAATTCTCTCAACGACTTTCGCGACACTCAAATCGTAACCCAAAAAGCTACGGTCGTCAGAGGATTGTAGCCATGAAATTTGGCCAGCAGCTGCGCTCCAGCATTATCCGCGAATATCAGTGGTACTACATCGACTACGATGGATTGAAAAGCGAACTCAAGAAGGCGTCTGGGACTCCTCTTGACGCTCATGAAGAAGACAATGGAGCTGGGCCCTCGGAGGGTTCCCCCGCGAAGCAAGACAAGAAAGCTCAGCAAAAGAAGCGATGGACTGAGGAAGATGAGCAAGCTTTCATTGCAAAGCTCTATGCTGAGCTAGAAAAGGTTTACACGAAAACAAAAGTCAAGCAATCCGAGATACAGCGCCGTATAGCCGTCGGCGAGCGAGAAGTCAGGGAAGTTGTCTCAAGGGCAACGGAACGCGGATTGAATGAGCAAGGGCCCTCTGAGGAAGAGTTCATGTTGTTAGAAGACGACTTGAGCGACATCATCGCAGATGTCCACGATCTCGCCAAATACGTCCAACTGAACTACACGGGGTTCTATAAGATAATAAAAAAGCACGATGTGCGTGTTTCCCAGTCCCAAACTGCAATCTGTAATGGCCAAGCTTACATATGATATAGAAAACGACCAACTGGTACCTTCGGCCTGCGTTTGATGCTGCGCTGAAGCAAAAGCCTTTCTACAATGAAGACTTCGATGCCGAAGTTGTCAAACTCTCCAACATGTATAATAACGTCCGAACTCGAGGAAATCCAGTCAAAGGCGACAGTGCCGCCGGCGGGACCCAGGGGAGCTTCATTCGCCAGACTACGAAATATTGGGTTCATCCGGATAATGTTACGGAGCTGAAACTTATAATCCTCAAACATCTTCCAGTCCTCGTCTTCAACGCGAGCAAGGAATTCGAGCCTGCAGATTCGGCCATTACCTCTATTTACTACGACAACCCTGATAAGTGGGACCTATATGAAGGGCGACTGAAGAAGACGGAGGGAGCAGAGGCGATCCGTCTGCGGTGGTATGGTGGGATGCAGAATGATACCATATTTGTCGAACGAAAGACCCACCGAGAGGACTGGACTGGGGAGAAGTCTGTCAAAGCACGGTTTGCATTGAAAGAGAAGAACGTCAACGCATACATGAGGGGCGACTTGCTCCCGGCAGCACTTTTTGAGAAAGCACGAAAAGATGGGAAGAAGTCTGAGAAGGCTATTGCGGAGGACGAGAGCCTGGCTAAGGAGACTCAATACTCTGTTTTGAAAAATGGATACAAGCCAGTCTGCCGGTCTTTCTATAACCGAACAGCTTTTCAGCTTCCTGCAGACGCCCGAGTCCGGATATCCCTCGATACTGAGTTGACAATGGTGCGTGAAGATAACCTGGATGGCGTCACACGCTCTGGAAACAACTGGAGACGGATGGATATAGGTATCGACTGGCCATTCTCTCAATTGCCGCCGGGTGATGTCGTAAGATTCCCCTATGCTGTTCTCGAAGTGAAGTTGCAGACCCAACATGGCCAGGAACCTCCAGAATGGGTTCGGCAATTGATATCAAGCCACCTTGTCGAAGCCGTGCCCAAGTTCTCAAAATTCATTCATGGCACAGCTTCCCTGTTCCCCCAGCATATTAGACTTCTTCCATACTGGATGCCACAGATGGATGTTGATATTCGCAAACCCGCTACACACAATTTTGGAATCCAGCGACCAGACCATTCTGTGAGTGGTACTACATCTGATGATGAGGATGATGACTCGGACATGGAGGATGCACGTCAGCTGTCAACAAATAGCCCATCCAATGGTAATAATGGTGCATCTCGTCACGCACCAACCTTGGCGATTGGCGATATTGAAGGACAAACCTCGTCGGTTCCAATGCCCAACGAGGATTACCCAATATATGATTCGGATGATGAATCAGATGAAGAAGATCGAATAGAGGAGGCTAGAAGGATAGGAGGTTGGACCTATATTTCTACAATGGCACAAAGTTATGCCAAGGCAGCAGGGCGTGGAGCTTTCCAGGTACTGAGTACTATTACTCCCCGACCCCGAGCCACGCCGGTACCACGAAGTAATCGTAACCAGATGTTCTTCGGCGACCAAGAGATTCAAAATAGAAAATTCAAAGCACCGAAGGGCAAGAAAATTTATGTACCTGTCAGGGTTGAACCGAAGGTCTATTTTGCCGCAGAGCGAACATTCCTTGGCTGGGTAAGTGTTTGATTTCCCCCCAAGTCAAGCGATTCATGGTTAACTAATATGATCATCATAGCTTGAGTTTTCTATCTATGTCGGTGCGATTGCTGCTACCCTACTGAACTTTGGGGAAAAGCCAACCACACTCGCGTTTGTGGCCGCCGGCGTCTTCACCTTGCTGGCTATCCTGGCGCTTTGCTACTCAGTCGGTATCTACCTGTACCGAAGCAAAGCCATCCGCGAGCGCAGAGTAATCAGGTACTACGACAAATTGGGCCCAACTGCTCTATGTGCTGCACTGTTCCTCGGCGTTGCATTGAATTTTGCCTTTGAGGGTAAGGAGAGACGTTTATGGTAAGCCTTCGTATTGCCGATTGCCCGGAAGCCTGGACCTAAGTCTAAAAGTACGAGTTGGCTAGCTGCCTGGAATTGTGGCTGCCACCCTTCTGTAGATTGTAGCTATGTATATCAAGAAATTGTTACCGTTGTTCTCAATGCATCCTGTATCAATGATCCCAAGAGTACCTATTCACTATCTGGCCCCGTTTGCCCCTGTCTAGCGCGCATGGCATGCATGGAAGGATTCTTGTATGACCTTCTAGAAGGCTACCACCTTCTATCGTGGGTCTTTTGGGTCTTATTTTTTGGGTTTGACTGACTGACTGTATTTCACTGTCAGCGAGCGTGGCAGACTGGAGTTACATCGATCTATCGTTCCGCGTGGCCTGGACAGATTGGTTTTTGTTTTACCCGCAAGAAATTAGCGCACGGCGCACAGTAGACATGCACATTTTTTACATTCTCAGCCGGCCTATACTCAATCTCGAAATCACCCGTTGTTCTAGTGCCACGCCCTCGGCTGACTTCCATCTTACCTCCTCCCTCGTTCGCTTTTTCCTGAAAGCGTGTCACATGTATATGTATACTACCCGGGCGCCTCGTGTTTCAAGACGCGGTTGACGTTGTATCGTCAGGCTATTGCGAGGTGAGGCGAGAGAATGATGTTGCAGTGCAGGCAGTTCTGTACTCAAGTACTTAACTTACCTACTTATGGACACTATAGATCAGCAATGCTTTCCCCTCTTTCTAGCCTTCCGTTTCTAAAGCCAATCGTAGGTAAGCTTTCCACGCCCTGGCGTAACTGCCCTGCCTGCGACCTGTCTGTAGGTGTCTAGGTATTGTTCGACGGTGTATTTCACTACATACCCATCCGAAGGTATCACTGCATATACGTAGTATCGTAGTATTTTCTTAGGTATATGCTTCGAGAAGTGCCGTGGTGCACGGAGTTTAGATGTGTGTTGGTATTTACGGGTGGCTTAGCTGACTGTATTTCGTTTGATATAGCGCTCCGGCTGGTCAAGAGATACCGCTAAATAGGATAGGTAGGGATACATAAGTCTTCTGACACAACTGTCTAGATCTGTACAGATAACACGGTCATCAAGCTTCGTTCCACCGATATACCTCGTACTATACCTGTTCAATCTCATAACCAGGCGCTTGATCTCGCCACATTTTGAGAAGAGCTCATACACTTGCTGTTCAGTTAAATAGAAAGACCTAATTTTTCAAGTTTATTAGCATCTTCGATCTTCTCCTCTCCTTCCTTTCTTTAGGATACCTAGTTGAATTCTAACGGCATACGGCGCGCACGCAAATAGGTAGATAAGTAAGGTAGGCAGTAAGATTGTGGAATAAACATGAATGAAATGAAATAGATACTTAGGTTAGATAAATCGATGAATAGGGAGCTCACCCCAACCCCTCCCTGTCCTAGCTCTTGTTCACTGGATTCTTGCCATACCTAGGTATACGTATGTACCGCTCAGTGGATGTCCAGTTAGTATGTTCTTCGCTCAAGAGCTCAGGGATCAGACCGTTAAAGATTACGTGTGACACGACGCCGATCTGCTTGGCTGAGTTGGCCGTGCATCGTGCATAACGACATGTGACTCACTATTCCATCAAAAGGTCTACTTAAGGCTATACTCATTGATGGTTATCTCATGGCATCTCCAGCTACGCTTTTTGCCCGTTTACTTGGTCGGAGAGAGCAGTAATCTCGTGACAAGTGGAACGCCAGTTCATGTCTAGACTATATATCTCTAGAGAGCAACTGATCCTTTGGGATTGTGTGGGTTTGAAAGATCCGAGGATCCGAGAACCCAAGTGGAACTAGGATTCCCGCAGCCAACACCGCATCATCTCACGAACGGCCTATATCTATATCCAGGTTTACTGCGATTATCCTCTCCGCGGAGATATACGATCTACGGGATGGACCGAACTGAATAATAAAAAGGCTTCAGAATTCCATGATATGTGAATCTACACCACCCAGGCTCGGGCACACCCTTTAGCCGCAATACAAGAAATTTACTAGGCCTCACGGTGAAAATCATAATGCCTTCAAAGCTCCTCACAGACTACCCCTGGACCACCGGCCCCGTGATAATCAACGCGCCGATGGCCGGGTTCGCGGGCTCTGCGCTAGCAATGGCTGTAACACAGGCGGGTGGGATAGGGACAATCGGAACAGCAGACAACATCACGGCTCTCGGGACAGACTTACAAGCCGTCGCAGACTTCTACAGCAGCTCCCCCTCCCTTTCACCCTCCGCATTCTACCAAAACACCGGCCTCCTCCCCATCGGCATCGGCCTGCTCCTCTTCCTGACCAGTCTAGACGCAGTCTTGCCCGTCCTTCAATCCCATCCGCCGGCGTTCCTCTGGCTCTTCGCCGCGCCAACACTCTCGGATTACGCCCCCTGGACCACGGCCCTGCGCACCGCGCTCCCGCAGACCCGCATCTGGATCCAAGTGGGCTCGGCCTCCGCCGCCGCCGAAGTCGCGCGCACCGCGGCGCCAGACGTCCTCGTTATACAGGGCAGTGATGCCGGCGGCCACGGCTTTGCGCGCGGCGCGAGCGTTGTATCGCTTTTACCCGAGACGGCTGTCCGTCTCGCTGCGAATCTCAGCGTGGGAAAAACAGATATAACACTCATCGCTGCCGGCGGGATTGTCGAAGGCCGTGGCGCGGCGGCTGCCTTCGCGCTTGGAGCCGCGGGCGTGGTGATGGGTACGAGATTCCTCGCTGCCAACGAGACCGTCGTGCACCCTGCCTACCGCGCTGCTATGCTGGCTACCTCAGATGGCGCCCTTGGCACCGCGCGTGCGCCCATTTTTGATGAACTGAAGGGACCGACGATATGGCCCCCTTTGTACGACGGGCGCGCGATTGCTTCACTCAGTTACCTCGACTGGACACAGGGCGTTGATATTGAGGTTATTCGTCAGCGGTATGCGGAGGCTGCTATCCGCGAGGACATGGGCTTTTCTGATCGCGCGCCTGTTTGGGCTGGCGCGGGAGTGGCGCTGGTTAATGAGGTACAGCCTGCAGGGGATATTGTGAGGTCTGTGAGAGAGGGGACGAAGAAGGCTTTGAGAGAGGCTTTGGAGGCGGTTTAGGATCTATTACCTACCCAGTTAGGGATGGATTGTGACGTCTGCTTGAACGCAATAAGGATCTGGGGATCGGTTGAGACTTGGTTTCACTTCCGAAGCGGTGAATTTACAACGATTCATATGTGACCTTGTCAGAGGCTTGCGGGAGGCTTGCGAGATGCACGGAGAATCTCTTACGGAATGTAGTATTAGTTTCGGGGTCTCCGTTTACTGCAGGTATAGTTCATCATGGTGCAATTTCTCGTTCACCTGTGTCGTTACTCAGCACTACTACCTAGACAGCTAACCCAGCCGCCAATACAACCTCGTCTGGTCCTCGAAACAAGACGGTGTGGATGTTGGTGTCTGCAGGCCAGGCAGTCGGGAGGAAGTTAATAGGTAGTATACTTACATGTAGATGTCCGAAGTCCTAAGCATTCCCCATGTTTCACCTATCCATACTCTTTTGTGTTCAGATGACGGGCCCTCATGACGCTCGGTCGAACTTCCTGGCTTCCTCGGGAGGCGAGCGGTGTAATTCACCGTCTACTAGACTAGCATAGCGTAGCAGTAATGATAAATACCGAATTATGGTTGGACAAGCAATGACGAGTCAGAGCGAGAGAATCAGCTACGTGTACTGTAAGTATCTACAGTTCTAAGTAGGTATATCAAATTCCACATTATATGTACAGGGTGTCTAGGATGCATCCCAGCTGTCGAACGATCGTCGGGGGTGTGATGTTAGTTGGAGTGGAGAGGACAGGGGGGTTATAGAAGTTTTCTAGAACGTTGCTGCTTTTGGTTCGCGGCCTCAGCAGCACGTCAGTCGGGATGACTTCCCCGATCCGCTCCTCGTCCCCAATTACCTACCAGAGTATGTAATACTGATCCTCGTCCGGGTCATTACCCCCGACTGACGACGACGACGACAACGACGGCGCCGGCGGGGTGGTGGTACCTATAACGTAGGCAGATAATCAACACTAAGCATCTGCCGGGTTGCAAGCCCCGTTGATTAAAGTCTAGCTCACAAGACAAGTCCTAGATTGCAACTGCGATGCTCGAATCCCATCATCATCATCATCATCATCTCTTTCTTCTTCGTCGGCTTCCGCACCTCGCCCACTTTGGTCTGGTCTGATCTGGGGTTTCTACTATTTGCAAAGTCCTGTACGCATCAATGCCCACGCCGCGATGTCACCCAAATTTCATCCCGCAGCAGTAGTCTGCAGTAAATGTTATGACGAGGTATGTAAGTAGCAGACCCGTTGTCTTGTGTCCAGTTACAGGGATTCAATTGCACACGGGCGTGAGTGAGTCGTTGAAGGATTTCCACCCCTCACAAATTGTTAGTGAATATGTCCGAGTCTGGAAGTGTACCATACTGGGCAGTATGTAGTGTACCCGTCCTCTGCCCGTCGTTGTCGACGCATTGCGTATCGCGACTGTTGGTGTGTGCCTAGGTATGTGGGTGGAACGCCAATGTATGTAACCCTCCCTCCAGTCTGTCTACACTACCTGTACCCAAAAAAAGACATGACAAGAGAGGATGAGTGCAGTGATGATACTACACAGATACTACACTAACCCCCAGTAGGCGTATAGATTAATTCTACACTACATACTATGTATACCTAGGTATGTGGGTTGGTAGTGTTGGTGTCGATCGACGACTAGCCCGTGGCATTGAAACGAAGCCGCGGACGCATGTCCACTACATTGTACAGGTCGGCAATAAGTTCCTAGCGTAGAGTGTGACATACCCTACCGTCCTCCAATTGCGGGTGTGTGTAGTGTCGGACCCTGTCCAGTGTTCGTTTGATGGAACCGAACACTGGGATGAATCATCTGGGCTGAGACAAGACGTCTACAGTAGGTAGGTTGAGCCAGGTAGGTTGAGCCAGGTAGGTTGAGCCAGGTAGGTTGAGCCAGGTAGGTTGAGCCAGGTAGGTTGAGCCAGGTAGGTTGAGCCAAGTAGGTTGAGCCAGGTAAGTAAACGGGTAGTTAAGCGAATTGAATTGTTCGTACAGATCCTGTCTTGAAAAGAAACTGGTTAGCATGCAATTGCTTACATTAGGTCCCTACCTACCTAGGCATCCACCTAGATCTACCGTATCCGCTAAACCGAAGCCAGTGGTTATCGATGGGGGCGTCGAATGTCGGAAAAGTAGAAGTAGGTACGTGTCTGTACGTGGTCCCAACGACGAGGTCAAGCAATTGATCAAGCGACAGTCTAGCAGGGATTTTCTGGACCGGTAGGAATAAGCTGTGCGGTCAGGGTGCCGGTCGGTCAGGGGTCTTAGCTGGCGGCAGTCTGGCAGATGACATTCATTCAGACAACAGATGACCCAGCAATAAACCAATAACGGGTGCTCTCTAGATCATTATCCATGCAGCGTACGCTGAATACCCTTACCATTCATGCAGGAAGGACTCGTGGCGGCGCTCTCCTCTCCTCTCCTCTCATCTAGCCCTCGGCCGCGTTCAGTTTCTTTGAATGTACATGTATATCTCCAATGTGCCCGTCCAGGATGACAATTCGGCGAGTCGCGCTGCGGTTGGGGGGAACCCTGGCGATCCAATTAGTATGGTTAGTGTAGAACAAGAGTAGAAATTGTACACTGCGACTTCATAAGACCTATCGTGAACAGCTGTATGCAGTAGGTATGCGATGGATGTGCATGTACAGTAGGTATGCTGAGATACGCCCCAATGCGTCGTCACTCACGGCTGTATGTACACTAGGTGCTACCTATGTGTGTAAGTGATGTGCTTATTTCCCCAACTCTTTCTCATGTATAATCTGGTAGCGTAGCGGGATGGCCGAGCAATCCCCAAGCGAGAAGCACACAATCCCTATCCTAAGCCCCCCCTCCCCTCCTCTCCCTCCGCCTTGTCCCTGGTGCCTGAGTGACAATTTGGCACACCCAAATGCGATCTACTTTCTTATACATACGTGGGGGAGCAGTACAGTGTAGCATTTCGGTCATGTGCGCCGTGCTTGTTGGGTGATGCAAAGGACCGGTGTAGGTAGATAGATCGATTTTCTGTCCTATCAGAAAAAAAGGTAGGTTATGGTCAACCAACTGCCACCCAACCTACCTATAAAAAAGCCTATCAGATGTGGGATATCTTAAAATTCCGCGATTTCAATACGGGCTTAGTTAGTCTACACTGCCTCTCGCCTTGTCGTTTTGCCAACCTGGTAGCTGGTATGTAAGTAAGCAAGCATCGTCGATTGTGCTACCCAGCGTTATATGTCAGGCCAAGGCATGGAGAGGGTAGGACCAGTGTACAGGAGATATGGCAAGAGGTATACGTACTGACCGTATCTTTCCCCATCTAGTACACATATTCATAGTATTGGTAAGATAATCTTAACTGATAGTGATCCTGGTTCTAGTCGTAAATACCTGAGCTAAGTACCCGCCTACGGCGCTTTAAACTTCAGTAAGTTACATGCTTGAACCACCTGTTATCTGGCGAGAGAGGAGAGCAGCCTGAAGTAAGCCGTACTATCAATGAACACGCTCCTTATTGCCCACTATAGATATATCACAATGTATAGTGGCAGGCCCATGTTTGTCCCAAACATGGCCACAGGAATTTGGTATGTAAGATGCCCCCAAATGTAGCGGCTAGAGTCTGGTACTCTATTAAGAATGGCCCAATGATACGTGCTAGGAAAAAAGCGCTTATAGGGGCTAACCCTGTCCGGCTGCCGTTGTATTGTACCAACAGGATATCGAATGCAGACGCAGCAAGCACGTAAACGGTGCCCAGGCAGACAAGCCTTGGTATGGTACCATGCAGTAAGGGTTTTCACGCACGCTCTCGGTCAAGAGAAGGGGAGCGTGGATACTGCAAGCGTACTTCAAAATTGGTACAGGCCCAGCGTGATGGGATAATCATCGAGGAGGGGATGATTTTAGTACAATGTTTTCCCCTGGTCTCGGTCCAAGGGAATTACTTGCTGAAAGAAGAAATGTATGATGCCGTTGAAAATGTGTCCAGTGATCATCTAATCATACGGCATGTGCTACACTCGGTAACTTGCGCCAATGTCTGTTAATGGTTCGCTTAGGGGGAGTTGGAGTAGGTCAGTAATGCTCCGCCGCCGACGAGACAGGGTGGGAGCATTAGAGCCTCAACATCGCCACCGACTTACTCATTATACTAGGTAAAGCGTGGGTAACAAACAATCATGGGCCGGAACTGAAACAAAATAGTGTATGCACGCTGGCGGCGCATGTCCTTCAAAGAGGACTGGCTGCAGGAAGGTGTGTCTCTATCAGCCGGTACCATCCCGTTTCCTCTTCCTGTCCCGCCGGACTAATTTCCCGGGTGAAAAAACCTTAGACCGCATTTTCAACAGTGACCTCATTCTACCGGGCTAGCTTCTCGCAAAATCCATAATGAGGAATAAGGCAGTATCAGCAGCTTCGAACTACTGCACTTGCCGCAGGCCGAAAAAAAAAAGATGGGCGTACGCAGCCACGAGGAGCCAGCCACGGGTACGCGGCACAGCTACCACAGTTGAAATAACGTTGCAGTTCTAAAGCTTCTAGGAAATATCGGGCGCTCCTCGCTTCTGCTGGTTTGTGGAGACTTACTGGTGCTCGACATTGGGAATTAGGTAGTTTCGAATGATGATGGTACTCACGGTTTCTCTGTCACCAGTGCTTAATATATACCACATAGCTCAGGCTATGTGAGTCTATGATGACATAGTGATCGACCAAGGTAAGCTACCATTAGCAGCCACAACTCGAGCTTCAGGGAAAAGCATGACATTGAGAACAATGATACATGAGGAGGCCGGGGAATGTAGCTGAAAGAAGTCGCTATCGCAGTTGGTCTAATCTTCCAAAAGTGAGGCAAGGTCAGTCAGCTGTATCAAGTGGATTTTAAGCGGACTTAGGTTGGACAATACCAGCTTAAAACCCCTTGTCACCAAACCGCTACCTAACGGGTTTGGAGAAAAGGCAGGAGTAGGCTTGACTTGTTCATCTTGAGGCTGT